TCTATCGATATCCCACCTGGCGCTGCGTCGCACCGTCACCACTTTCCGGTGCCTTCCTGACTTCGCCCTTAATTGCCCAACGTCCCAGAGCGGCCAGTCTGGAGAACATCATCTCCCAACCCCGGTCTGCGCGCGGACATTTTTTTCTCTCGGGTGCCTCCAAACTGGTCTGACGGCAGGTCCGGCTTTGGGCTCTAGCGCAGTCACTGGAGCTGCCCAACTCGGCCTTCTGTGGGCAGCCGGGCGCGGATGTCAGAGACTTTGCCTGGGAGTTCCGCTTCCTCACCCGTGTAACCGTGGCTTGATTTGGCCACTGGCCCTGCGCAGCAATAATGCGTCTCCATCGCAACTCCTGCCATGCTGCCGCGTCTGTGTGCTACGTACTATCCCAACTGCCCTCCCAAGCTGTCCACCGCCTCTTCTTCCACGCGGGCGGATGCACCATTCCGCCAGCAGACACCGATGGGAACGCCCCGCTTGTCTGGTCTATCGTTGCTGATTCCTCTGTCTCCTGGAAATTTCTCCTTGCCCTTAATATGGCTGTCCCCTCGCGCTGTCAGTCGGACGACCCTTTTCTCTGTCCACCTGCTTGCTCCTGCCCGACGACGACACCACCACCTCCCTCCCTCCTCCCTCGGTGACGATGCCTAACCGTCTCACCAGACTGTTCCTCGGCGAACATGTCGACGATAGCTTCCCCTTCAGACAACTGGGCGTTCTCGGTACGTCATCTCGCAGCCTCCTCCCCCGACCCCCAAATTGGCAACCTGTTGCGAGGGAACAAAGAGGCCCAACTAACACACCAGATCAATAGCCATATGTCGCCTATGCGAACCAATCGCCTTCATGTCCATTTTTCCCTACGCCTACCGCATGATTGAATCGTTCAATATCACCCAAGATGAGTCGCAGATATCGGTCTACGCAGGCATGCTCATCACCGCTTTTGCATTCGCCGAGTTCTCGACCGGCATGATTTGGGGCCGGATTAGTGACCGTCTAGGTCGCAAGCCGGTCTTGATAATGGGCCTCGTCGGCACAGCCTTGAGCATGATCTGCTTTGGCTTTGCCCGCACGCTGCCGGGCGCCATCATGGCCAGAGCTCTGGGTGGCCTGCTCAATGGAAACGTCGGAGTCCTCCAGACGACCGTGGCCGAGCTGGTGACCAAAAAGGAGCACCAGCCTCGCGCATATTCCGTCATGCCTGTGATTTGGAGCATCGGCTCGATTATTGGGCCCTCCATCGGCGGAACCTTGGCCATGCCATGTGACAACCTGGGGTTTCGGAGGGGCGGCATTTTCGACAAGTACCCATTCTTACTGCCGAATCTCTTTTGCGTCGCGATTCTCGTGTTCGGAATCACCGTCGGCATCTTGTTTCTCGAGGAAACACATGCCGACAAGAAGAACGACGTGGATTACGGGCGTGAATTGGCCACAATACTTCTGAGAAGCACAACCCGCCGGCGGACAACCCAGACCCAGGAGATGGGCACCACCGGGAAATCCGCCTTCGCCCTGGAAGAGCCCATGAATCTGCTGTTCGACGACAACGACCCGCCCCCGGGGTATCGTAGTATGGAGAGCTCTCCGCTCCTGCGCTCGGCTTCGACGAAAGAGATGGACGCCGAGATGCTGCGCGAGAAGGAGCCACGTGGCGTGGTCAAGACGTTCAGCCGGCAGGTCATCCTGATCGTCGTTGCATATGCATTCCTTGCTTAGTAAGTGCCATGACCGTCCCGCCGTCTGGTTCTGTGACACTCTCGGATCTGAAGCCGCAAACTAACTCCCGAAAAGTCACAGCGTCTCGTTCGACGCCCTGATGCCCACCTTCCTCAGCGAGGAGCGCATGCAGTCGAAGCCCGTCCTACCGTTCAAATTCTCCGGCGGATTCGGCCTCAGCACCCGTGCCATCGGCTTCATGATGGCCGTGCAAGGCGCGTACTCGATCTTCGCCCAGTTCTTCATCTTCCCCTTCATGGCCAAGCGGCTGGGCACGCTGTACTCGTCCCGCGTGGTCCTGACGGTCTGGCCGATCCTGTACTTTGCCGTGCCCTACCTCGTGCTCCTGCCGGACCGCCTTCAGAAGGTGGGCATCTACCTGAGCCTGGTCATCAAGATCACGTTCCAGGCCATCTCGTTCCCGTCCAACGCCATCCTGCTGGCCAACGCTGTGCACTCCAAGTCCGTGCTGGGCACGGTCAACGGGTTCGCCGCCTCGATGGCGTGCCTGGCCCGGGCGTGCGGCCCCGTGGTCACCGGGTCTATCCACTCAGCTGGCCTGAAACTCGGGTGCAATGGTCTGGCCTGGTGGGCTTGTGGCTTGGTGTGTGCCGCCGGCGCGCTCGAGAGCTACTGGATGGAGGATCCCGATTCGCGGCCGGACCGCCCGGCCAGCGAGGGCGACGAAAGTACCTCAGGTTGCGAGCCACTGCTGCATCCGTCGGTGGTCGAGCCGAGCGACGAATTGCTCTCCCCACGCACCGAGCGAATGAGTTTCATGGACGATCTGGATCTGACGGAGACGACGCCAGAAAAGGTATGATCGTACAGTACGACCATGGATCACCGTGAACAGTACGCACACAAGCACATCATGTCCGATTGAATTGGATCGGGTCAGAGCGGGTCATACTTCCTTGGTTCACCGCTTCGATTCCAGCCTCGGGACTGGTCCCGTCACTTCACACATCCTAGAACGCCACGCCACCACGAACACCACACCGATCCCTATTGCACCACAAGCACCACAACCACCTCAGTACACCACATCCACACTAAACCACACCTCATCCAATTTTCTCCACGACAAGTCCACCGCCTCCTTCCACTCATACACCGATTTCCTTTTGCAGTCACAAAGATCTGGATTTCCAAGCGGCGCGAGCCGCGAATCTTTTCATCGTCATCATCATGGACGTATTAGAATGGTTACTTTGCCAAGCTCGGCTGGACGGGCATGGCATGGCAGGAGCAGGACAGGGACAGGACAGGAAAGGAAAGAAAAAAGAACCCACCACGAAACTACCTACTGGGCTGGTCATTTTCGTTGCACTGGGACACACGGCGTGCGTCGCGTACTGCGGTTTGGGTATGGGTCGAATTCGAAATTGGGTCGGCGCGTTTGACTTCTGTTGCTGTTGCTGTTGTCGATGGTGCTGCTACATCCAGCCCATCCATCGCCTGTCTGTCTGTCTTGCCCGTTTCTCTCTCGGCATTGTTACTACTGTCCTTTTCGTTTATCGTCATCCCTTTTGCTGTTCTGCCACGAAAAAAACACATTACTGGGAGGCTTTTTTGTCCAAGATACCTTGCGGGTTTTTGCCCGGCGGCCGCTTTTTTGCAGGCTATCTGATGCGGTGTGATGGGATGCGACGTGGTGTTTCTGTGGCGCTGATGGTGGGATGGGATTGAATGGGAGAGGCGAAGATGGAGATACAATCCCACAATGTACTGTAACATTAGGTAAAGAAGAGAAGAAAAAGATACCTAGTCTAGGTAGGATAGGATATTATATCCAGAACGCAAAGGAGATTAGACAAGACTAAAGAAGGGAACATGGCGCTCGTGATGACATTACTCCGTGCTTGACGCGGCGTGGTGTTGTATGCCAGGGCATGTTCGAACGGATGATGATTACGATCAATGGTTGCTTCGGAACCTGGAAGATGTTTGAGGTTTGCGGTTTGTATGCTCGGACACCTGAGAAAGTGAGGCGGCTGGATGCTTGCCTGTACACGCTCGTACTATGCTCACAGTGACATGGACAGAGTGGCTGGTTCAGTACTGATCAGGCGAATATGACGGGCGGAAGAATACCACCATGAGCGAGGGAGATGGCGCGCCCGAGATTGCACAATTACAATGCATGGAAGCGGTGCGGTTGACATCTTACTGAGGCCACTACGGTATCGTATCGTAAGTGGCGACCATCACTACTCCGTACCCAGGCCTGTTATATGACTTGAAGCAAACCAAGAGTTGAGATGCCGTTGATTGTTATCCCGAATTCACCATAAACTCACTTGGCCACACGAAGAACTGAGGCATCGGTCAAGAAAAGCACATCACCTTGACAAAAATCGCCTCGGTGCTTCGAGCTTGGCGCCCGAACTCGGAGAAAGCGCCGTACACGGTACTGCAACTCCCAACCGGACTCGGTGCTCTAACACAAGCCTATGTTCTCTCACGTCCCTCTGGAGCTCACATACATTGAAGGGGAGCAGGGGAAACGGTCTGACGCGCGATCGATGCCCACTCCGCCGTGATCCTCATTTTCTATCCTTTTCCCTTGCTAACTACTCTACCCACCCACGTCCACATCCACGATGGCACCCAGCCGGGCGGCAAGACAGACCTTCCAACTGTGTCGTGTGAGTGTGCGCGTCTCCCACTCCTCCTTTCAGTCACGGCCTTTTGAGAGAGCATCCTCCCGGCCATGGATATCACGGAGACAATTTGCTTCTACAGTCGAGTCATCGGCAAGCGCCCCGGCAACAGTAACGGCAACCACACAGGCAAACGCAACCAAAGTATCGCCCTTGCAGGGCATTCGAGTGCTGGATATGACAAGGGTTTTGGCAGGGGTACGTACATGTTGACTGAGATGGTACTCTCGCTCTTGCTGCGCCCTGCCCTCTCTCTCTCTTGCTGCGGCCGTACTCTTACCCCGCTGCTGCTGTGCGGACAAAGCGTCACGGCCGCGGCCCATCTGGACACTCACGCTTCGAAGCTATATCGGCCGAGTAGCCCAAGTGGTTGAGCTCTGTGTGTGCATCGAGGAATGGCCTGCTCGTCCATTGGGTTGGATACTGACGCCTGAGACGCCATACAGCCTTATTGTACGCAGATATTGGGTGATCTAGGGTATGTTCGCATTGTTGCATCACGTTCCGTTACATTGCGTCTATCCCTTCCTGATGCATTCTGTACTCTTGGGCGAGTGCCACGTGGTCTCAGCTGGCTGGTGAAGGGATTTTATGCAGCATCCCTATTCCAGCATGCTGGTACCAGAGACTTGTCTTTCTACCACGCATATCCCGCAGCATAAGCTGCTCCTAGCTATTGCCAGCAGTTCCCAGAAACTGACAATACCACTCTTTAGCGCCGAAGTCATCAAGATCGAGCATCCAACGCGCGGAGACGACACCCGAGCCTGGGGTCCGCCCTTTGCGAAATATAAGCCCGACGGTGAGTTATTCCACTCCCTTGGGGCTACGGACACCATCAGTCTGAACGTGTCAACTCCCAAACACGCAATACTGACCACCCGTCTCCCTCAGCCGCCGTCAAAGGCGATCGACCCGGCGAAAGCGCCTACTTCATCGGGGTAAGTACGTCCACAAGTCGCTGTGTATTCCGACCTTGATGCGCCATGTCTTCGCTTTTCTTTTGATGCTTCGCGCACATTCGCACTAATCCCTAACATTGCTCAGGTCAACCGCAACAAGAAATCCGTCGGCCTCTCCTTCCAACACCCCGACGGCGTCAAAATCCTACACGAGCTCGCCAAAACCGCCGACGTCCTCGTCGAGAACTACATCCCCGGCTCCCTGGCGAAATACAAACTCGACTACGACACCCTTCACGCCCTCAACCCGAAGCTAATCTACGCCTCCATCACCGGGTACGGACAGTACGGGCCCTACGCCTCGCGCGCGGGCTACGACGTCATGGTCGAGGCCGAGATGGGCCTCATGCACATCACAGGCGAGCGCGATGGGTCGCCCGTCAAGGTGGGCGTGGCGGTCACGGACCTCACGACGGGCCTGTACACGTGCAACGCCATCATGGCGGCGCTACTCGCACGCCAACAGACATCCACGGGCCAACACCTCGACGTCTCGCTCTCGGACTGCCAAGTCGCCACGCTGGCCAACATCGCCAGCTCCGTGCTGGTGAGCGGCGAACCCGACAGCGGAAGATGGGGCACCGCGCACCCTTCCATCGTGCCGTACAAGGGCTTCAAGACGCGGGACGGCGACGTCATGCTGGGCGGCGGCAACGACCGCCTGTTCGGCATCATCTGCGACAGGCTGGGCAGGCCGGAGTGGAAAACCGACACGCGCTTCAAGAGCAACGACGCGAGGGTGCGCCACCGCGACGTCCTTGAGCAGATGATTGAGGAGGTCACGCGCACGAAAACGACGAGCGAGTGGTTGGCCGTGCTCGAGGGCAGCGGCCTGCCGTATGCGGCCATCAACGACGTCAAGGGCACGTTGGAGCACGAGCACGTGCGGGCTAGAGGGATGGTGAGCGAGGTCGAGCATCCCGCGTGCGGGCCCGTCAAGGTCGTCAGCCACCCCGTAAAGTACTCGGAGAGTGGGGTGGGGGTGAGGTCCCCGCCGCCGACGTTGGGAGAGCATACGGATGAGGTGCTCAGGGAGGTGTTGGGCTTGGAGGCCGCGGAGGTGGAAAGGTTGCGGACGGATAGGGTTGTGGCGTAGGCATCCACCAGAGTGTGTCTGCGAGTGGCCAAAGGTGTATACTAAACAAGATGAACGCAATGCATACTACAGGGGTAAGAGCAACAAGATTATCGTGGGCCAGCATGTGAAATGTCATGCGTACCACGGTACTCGGAACACATAAATGCCCAACAAAACGGGTTGCTTGCGTGTCCTTCCACTAATTTCTCCCTGAACGAACTAAACCGACACAACATATCATACTCATACGACTACCCTTGTTGCCGACTTACAGGTAAAACACACTTTCATCCCTCACAACCCATCATCCTCGACGCCCACCAGCTTACAGCTCACGCTCCACAATCTCCTCGCCGCCTCCCCGTCATCCGTCCTCCCAGGCAGATACCCGCCATCAAGCAACCCCCACCCCTCTTTCACCGGTACTGCCTCGCCACAGTCCTCCAAATACATGGCTCCCCGCCCTTCGAATCTCTTCCCAACCGCCGCCAACACGCTCGTCGCGGCACCCTGCTCGGGACTCTTCTGGATATTGAGAATCCGCATGATATTCTTGACGAAATACCAGCTTCGCAGAACCTCGGGAACCACTCCATCAGCGTGTTGCTGCAGGCCCGTACGGATACCGCCAGGCATGACAGCCAGGCCAAACACGCCGGGTCGAGCGCCGTCAGCGGCGGAGGATCCGTATCGGCGTGTGATTTCGCTGGTCATGTACACGTTCGCCAGTTTGCTTTGTGCGTAGCCCTTTGCCGGTGTGTACACGCCGGGCTTTTCTAGGTTGAGGTCGTCGAACTCGATGGGCGAGTTGCGGTGCGCGCCGCTGCTGAGCGCCACGACGCGGGATCGAAAGTGCATCGTAGACGACACCTTCAAGGTTGGTAAGAGAAGTTGCGTGAGGAGGAAGTGCGACAGGTGGTTCACTGCGAGGTGGCGCTCGAAGCCATCTTTCGTTTTTCCGAACGGCACGTGTCGGATGCCGGCGTTGGTGATGAGGATGTTGAGCTTCGAGGACTGCGAGAGGAAGGCACGGGCACAGGAGCGGACACTCGCAAAAGATTCGAGATCGAGTTGGAGGAGGTGGACCTTGGGGTTGGAGAGGAGGTCGGTACCAAGCGCCTCGCGGGCTTTGGTCAGGTTGCGTGCGGTCAGATACAGTGTGGTGCCGGTGGCGGCTAGGGCGCGAGCGGTTTCGACTCCAAGACCACTGCTGCAGCCTGTGATGAGAATGACGAGGTCAGGCAAGGCAGCAACACGTTGGTTGTCTTGGACAATCTGAAGAGCAGTAGGTCGCGCGTCACCCGGCCCTTTTGGGTGGCGGTGAGCAGCTGCATACGGATTTTGAGGATCATCCATGATCTGTGCCTGGGGAACAATGACAGCTTGAGTTGTTATGCAGAAGAGCAAACAGCCGCATGAGAAACCATGATATTCCGTCGTTTTATGGACCATTTCCCAGTGTCACGTGGTGTCGGGGCCGAAGTAACCTGGCGTCAGCCTGGGGCATTATCGCCGGAGGATCGCACATGGTTGGTACCACTTCCAGCGTCGGCCTGGTTCCACCCCGTTTCAAAAGGAGGTTACTCCAGTCGAGGGCTGGCTAAGTGCCGGCCGTTGATTGCTGCCGTCGACGATCTTCCCCTTGCTGACAGAGCCGCCTAATCGGCGACTGACAGTGAGCGTCATCAAATGCCGGAGCCAGACCTGCCTCAGTCGAAACCTTCAAAAGTATCCCCTTGGCCTGGAGCCTGGACTTGCTCTGATCGAAGCTGTTTGATCATGTCCGAAGTCTCAGCTTCGTACAGTTTCTGATCATCTGTCATCTTCGCAACTCTTTCGTATTCCCTCTTGGCTTCCTTCTTGGATCGCTTGACTTCTTTGCTTGCCTTACGCTCAAGCTTTTCCGACCAGGCAACGGTGCTCTTTCGTTTCTTTGAATCTGCCGCTTTGTCCTTCGGCCCTTCTGCAAGCGTTTGCTTTCGATGTTGTTCTCTCTGCTTGTCTTTGTAGCGGTAGTTGAGCCAGTCAACATCTGGGCCGTTGTATGGCGGCAATTTGATGTTCCTGAGTTCTGCAATCTTTGGCATCTTCAGTAGACCCCATGCGGCAGCATGATCATGCCAATCAATTTGGCCCAGATTAAAGATGGACTTTGCTTCATGTTTGGAGTAACTCCGAACCCAGCTGACGAAGGCTCGTTGAGCCTTATCATGCAGAGCGCGGTCGCCGAGAACGATCTTCTGGAACCTCCCCCGGGCCGCAAAGCATTCCCCGTCAGTTACGGAGATATCGGGATCCGCCAAGGGTTCGATGGGAGTGTGCCGAACCCTCAAAAATTCGATATAGTCCTTCTCGTGAGGGAGTAGCAGAACCACACTGACACCCTTTCGTCCTGCACGACCTGCACGTCCGCATCGATGCAGAAACACTTTCGGATCAGAAGGAGGGTCTACCTGCACGACAAGGTCCACAGATGGGACGTCAAGCCCCCGGGCGGCGACATCTGTTGTCAGAAGTAAGGCCGGAGAAGCCGAGTTGGTGAACCGAACGAAATTCTTCTCCCGAACGTTCGCTGGGTGCTTACCGTGCAGAGGCACCAAAGTGACCTCCGGAGGGAGAATGACCGGCAACAATGCTTGGAAGTAGTCCACCGCAGCACAAGTGGACAAATACACGATGGTCCTCAATGGTATGGGTTCCATTCGCTGTAACAGAAGTGCCAGTGCAGAGGATTTTTCTGAAGCCCTTGTGACCGCATATGTCATTTGCAGACTGGCTGGTGTCCGCTTGTCTTGGACTCCGTTCGCGCCTTTGACTTTGACCTCAATCTTCACCGGGTTTCGTAGCCCTACGCGGATGAGCTGATCCACCGCTTCGCTTACACTTGCACTGAAAAGCCCTGTTCGCCTTTCTTTCGGCAACAGATTGATAATCTTGGTGAGATCCTCTTTGAAGCCATGGTCGAGTAAGCGGTCAGCTTCGTCAAGGACCAGTACTTCGAAGGAGGATTTGGGGTAGTGGACATCACGAGACGTCATGACATCAAGCAAGCGGCCTGGCGTTGCGATCAGGACATTTGGCGCCGTCTTCAAGAACTTGCTCAGATCTTGCGCTGGGGTTGTCGATCCACCTACGAGCAGCTGCGGAACGATTTTGTGAGTCGACCGGTCGGAGCTTCCGACAGCGCTTTCCCCTTCAGTTGGCTCTGGAGTGTCGAGTGGCCCAAGTTCCGCAGCGGAAGGAGGGTGAAATCGTAGTAGCGAAACGAGGACATTGTATATCTGCGTCGCCAATTCCCGAGTGGGAGAAATGACGATGGCACCAACATGATGCTTCTTGATTGGTTCTTCCAGTCTCAGCAGCTTTTCCACGACCGGTATGAGGTAAGCTAATGTCTTGCCGCTACCGGTGACAGCCTCAACCACGACATCCTTGTAGGCCATAAAGAGAGGAATCGTCGAGGCTTGGACGGGGGTCATGCGGGTGAAATTCAAGGCGGACACTGCGTCGATGATCCACGGCGAGAGCGGATGGTTGAGAGCATCCCAAGCCCGGGAAGATGCTCTCTTCGCATGCCCTTTGCCTCTGTCTGGGGCCATGCTTGCGTTTGCAAACAGTCTGTCAAAGTCGAAGGACGGGTGAGGCGCAGGTGAGAGAAGCGAGAGAAAAGTCGAAAGTCTCCGGCGGTTCTTCGGCGGATAACCCTTATCGATAAGCCGGGGATTTCTCGACCACGCACACCACGCGTGACCGCCGCATCGTACGGAATACGCGTCCTGCTCCAGCTTCTCCGCACTATGGATTGTTTGTACCGAGCTGGGACGCCGTTTAGGTCGAGTGAACAGCCACACCGAAGTCTGCTTCCGACTCCTGTGTCTTCCGCTCACCTCAGTATCGGACAATGCACCCATCGCATTCGCTGACATTGCTTCCCAAAATATCGCAGTACGTGGACTACTTGTGAAGAAGATCAGCTTACTATGAAGACGGTTTGGAAATGCTATGCTTCCGCTGTGCCTTGGCGCTGTGTAAGGTCGAGTACTCGTGAATTTTGCCCAGAAATAGACTCTACCGCCGACATATATGCCTTGACGTCGCCCCGTTCTCACTAACTATTCTTCGTATTTGGAAACCGAAGTGCCCTGCTGTAAAGGGCTGTTGGTGAGAGGAAAGGGTGAAGCAGCGAGCTGCGGCCCTTCGCGTGGGTATCGTCGGAGCCGGCATCGGTGGCCTTGCGGCAGCCGACGCCGAGGCCGACGCGGACAATGCGGTCCCCGAGTATATCATGAACCGAGGCGAGGTGGACGAATTCACCCAGATCAGCGAGAACCTGCGTCACAAGTGGACTTCCACCGCCTCTGGGAACGGCATCGATGGAACCTGGGCAGAGCCGGATATTGACTATCAGCATCTGAAGAACTCGCTGTACAAGCCCAATGGCACCACCAGGGACGGTATCCGGGAGTACGGTCTGCGCGAGGAGGAGTACAATCGATTCGGGAAGGGCCTGTGATAGTTGTCTAGCCTGACCTATTTCCCCAGTGCCAGAATCTCCTGCTCAATAGCCTCGCCGAAACTCTTAGTATTTCCTTTGCCTCCCATGTCCGCCGTGATGACATGATCCTCCGACCTCGCCAGCACATTCTCAACGGCCTTTAGTACCGCTGCGGCCGCATCCGTGAATCCAAAGTGTTCCAGCATCATCTGGCCCGCCCAGATCATTCCCACGGGATTCGCTATCCCCTTCCCCGCGATATCCGGCGCGCTACCATGGACAGGCTCGAATAGACTCGGAAACTGGCCCGTCGGATTGATATTCCCGGACGGCGCAACCCCGATGGTGCCCGTGCACGCGGGACCCAAGTCCGACAGAATATCGCCAAACAGGTTGCTGCCGACGATGACATCAAAGACGTGCGGCCGCTGGACGAAATGCGCCGTCAAAATGTCAATGTGATACTTGTCGACTTTCACGTCCGGGTACGCCTGTTGCATGTTCTCGACGCGCGTGTCCCAGTACGGCATCGTGATGCTGATGCCGTTGCTCTTGGTCGCGCTCGTCAGGTGCCTCTTGGGCCGGCTCTGCGCGAGCTCAAACGCGTACTTGAGCACCCTGTCGACGCCCGTCCGCGTCATGACCGTCTCTTGGATGACCGTTTCTCGATCTGTGCCCTCGAAGATCTTGCCCCCAATGCTGCTGTACTCGCCCTCGGTGTTCTCCCGGACGATCCAGAAGTCGATGTCCCCCGGCTTGCGGCCCGCCAGTGGACATCTGACGCCCGGCATCAACCGCGCGGGCCTCAGGTTGATGTACTGGTCGAACTCTCGTCTGAACTTCAACAGGCTGCCCCACAGGCTGACGTGGTCGGGGACCTGATCCGGCATGCCCACGGCGCCGAAGTAGATGGCGTCGAATTTGGAGAGCGTCGCGTTCCAGTCTTTCGGCATCATGTCGCCGTGTTTGCGGTAGTATTCGCAGCTTGCAAAGTCGAACTCCTCGAAGTCGAGCTGCATGTCGAACACCTTGGCCGCGGCTTGCAGGCAGCGCACGCCGTAAGGCATGACCTCGGTGCCGATGCCATCGCCGGGGATGACGGCGATTTTGAGTTTCTTCTGTTGCTGGGCCATCGTGTGTGTGCAGGAGATGTCGTCCTGGAGCCGCAGCAAAGACTACCTAATTTACGAGAGACGTGATATCACGGACGAGAGTGAGGAGAATCCCAGTCACTCGCGACGAATTATATAGCATCCCTGACGGGGTTTACCTTTTCGCGGAGCATGCTTTCTCCGCGTGGTGCTCCTTTCGGTCATTGCGAAGTCGGAGTCCAATGTCGGCGGAGAGCAGCCTCACGAGCTCTTTGGGAACTCTTTCAAGCTGTTTGTTACGAGGGCCATCTCCGTTGGGCGGGATGATGACAATCGCAGTGGAGGTACCTACGCGAAAGTTACAGTAGCTCAGTTTCCCGGTGCCAAGGGAAGGAGAGCGAAGCGCAATTTGAGGTAAAGAACGAGATATACCAAGTACTTGTGGCCAAAAGTTCAATCCTCTCTGTGGGCTGGTTTGGCTAGGCCATTAACGTCATTACATGTACCGGGCTGTAGGTCATGCTGGCCACAGTGCTTTTCTGCCTGCCAACAGCACTCCCAGTCGCTACGGCGGCCATGTACTATGCCAGTGTGGTATTCACCTGCTTTGCACTTGTCACCATCTTCTAGTGTGTCGTGTATGCAACGAAACACTTTGCTGGACCGACGATTGGTGTTGTTGACGAGGTCAAGCTTGTAGTCAGCACTTTCGAGTGTGCATTGATAAGACTTGAAATCACTGCTACTCGAGGAGACTGTACTTGAGAGCTTTAAGACAGCATGAGCGACTACGTATCGCAGTTCACCCAGCCACGGGCAAGCAAGACGAAGAGGACACGGCCGGGGCCACGATCGATCGAAAAGGCTTCCAGGTGATCGGTCCTAGAAACCCAGTAGTAGTTCTCGGCCATGACTTGATCTATCAACACGATGGTTTCAGATCTTCGATCTCTTCGCTTTAAGCCTCCAGCCGCTGCGCATGCTCCCACCATCAATCTCTATCACATTGCCCGTGACATGGCTCGCCCCGCGACTGCAGAGGTATAGCACCAACCCAGCGAAATCCTCAGGCGTCCCGATCTTCCCTGTCGGCTGCGAGCTCAGAAAGAAGTCAAGACTCTTTTGTATGCCGAAACTCGACATCCGTGACGGGAACAAGCCCCTGATAATTATGCCACAATTAGCATTTGAATTCCTCGTCTGCATGGTTTTGTCGGCCCCAACTTACGGACAAATGCAATTCACCAAGATATTCCGTGGCGCGTATTGCGACGCCTGCTGTCGAGAGAGGTGAATGCAAGCTGCCTTCGAGGGCCCATCTACAACACAAAAGAGTCAGTCAGTCAATCAGTCAGTCAGTCTCTTCTCCGTGCGCCACCAGGGCACACGAGCTTGGGTGGGATATCATACAGCTGTAAGCCCCGTGTCCCACGACCGACAACCCGCCCTCCTCGGTCACGGTGGGATCACTCGTCATGAGCCCTGCCACGGACGCTATATTGATGACCCTCGAGGGCAGGTCTTTGGCCACTGCGCTCTTCTCCAGAAGCGGAACCAGCCTTCCTGACTGTTAGCGGTGGTGGTTTGCATACTGTATCGTGGACAGATCCACTTACGCGACAGTCAGGTAGAAAATCGCCTTGACGTTCAACGCCATGATCTTGTCCCAGCCGTGCTCGGGGAAATCGTCGGCGGGTGCACCCCTGTCGGCGCACGCAACATGTGAGTAGATGTGATACAGCATTGGACAACTTGACGCAGTGCCTGCTACCACTCACCACGTCGCTCCCGAGTTGTTAATCAACACGGTCAGCACGTCCGTCCGGTTCTTGACTTCCGCGCTTAATCTCTCGCAGCCCGCTTTGTCCTTCAGGTCCGCGACGATGTACTCGCACGTGCCGGGCCCGAGGGCATTCAGCCGCTGCGCCACGCTTTGCAACTCGCTCTCCTTGCGGCTAGCGATGAAGACTTTGGCGCCGTTCTGGACGAAGGCTTGCGCGGCCATCTCGCCTAGGCCGGAGGCACCGCCAGTAATGAGCGCGACGTGGTGGTCGAATTTGAAGAGGTTTTGGGCCCGGAGGTCGGCCGTGGGTGTTGCTGTTGCCATTGTGGGTAGTGGTGGTGGGTAGCAGGTGCCTCTGGGTCGGGCTGGATTATGTGTCTGTGTATCTATCTCTGTCTGTCTCTATTCTATGGCCTTTCTGTCCGCGCGCCAGAGCGGGCTAATTACCGGTCGTGATATCGACCGGCGCAATCGTCGCCCTATCGTTTGTGCAGCTTTTATGACCCAAGGTAAGATCCGGCCGCGGTGGCCTTACATACGGAGTACACTGGAGGTATGTCTGCCGATCGTAGACCAGTCCGGAGTGAGGGGGACGACGATGCCGATAGACCTCGGCCTGGTTGAGCCAAGCTGCACCCTAGGCATCCTACATGTAGGCATTCCTGATAAAACAGCCTTGTCGATCAGGATAACTCATGAGTACCTAATTAGGTCATCGCTATCGACTTTGGGAAATGTGTCGTGAACAACGCGGCAGAGGCAAAGCTCTTCTTGTCTCGATTGCCACCCCTATTAGGATGTGTCACGCACGGCTCAAGGGCTCATGCAAGACAGATCCTCCGCTGATTTGTGTAGGTGATCTGCATAACAAGTATGCTCTCGTTGAACTCACACTCAAGCCTGCTTGGAGACTTTCTCTCGACCCTCGTTCTTCCTCACTGACAACAGAATGATTTCCCGATTTGTGAACTTTTGACGAACATGAACATGACGCGACCGATTCATAACCGACTTTCGGTGTCAGTATGCGGGCGTATATCAGTATACTGACTTATACGCTCGTGTTGAATGGATGGGTAGGCATTTTGGACGCCGAATTGTACTTAATATTATTCACCCGGATAACAGATACGGTACGGCAACGGGCACAGCATAGAAAGCGCCCAGGCAGACCGCAGCCGCATCGGTGAAGAGATCGAATCCTCCGGAGACCACCGATAAGCCTGGATTTCGACGAACAGCAGAATGCCACCACCTCGCTGGGTTCATGTACTTCGGAATGACAGCTCCGGCGAGAATCAACGGGGTCGCCAATCGTGCAGTCGCTCGTTCTGACTGTGCCGGATTTGGTCTTCGAGACGAATGTCTGCACAGGCCCTTAGCGGACGTTTGTGGTTCCATGAAGTCCTAATCGAGATAGAATATTCGAGGCGGATGGTCAACATAAGGCTCACCAAAATGATTGTTGAACCGCTTTGGAAATAACAAGATCTCCGACAAGGGAAAAATGGGAAAGCAAACCTGATTGGGGAGCAGCTTGCTGGTATGAGGAACTTGAGGCCTTCTTTGATACGACATGCTCAGCCTGGTCGCCAATGCCTGGGTGATTACGCAGTTCTTGCATCACTTCTGCAGGACTAACCAACATCCGGTCGACTAGAGATCGATATGCCAGAGTTCAACTTTGCAGCACGGGGTCCGGCCATCAGACGAGGGCCAGATCATCGAGTCTAACCTTCATGAGTGGCATGTCATAGTCGTGTTGCGCAAAACGTTCTCCAGAGTCACCAGCCCTTTGATTCCTCTGCGTATTATCAATAGCTCGGAAATGGACAAAAAAGGTAGTCTGGTCGTCAGTAAATTCAATGTATTTTCATCGTAAAAATGGTCGACACAATACGCCATCGATAGAAGTGCTCCATCTCCCTTGCGCCTGCTGTGTAAGGAGATCCGCTCATCCAAACGCTCTCAAGAATAGCCATAAACCAGCACTGCTAATAAGCGGGATTGTCAAATTATCATCCCAGCCCCACAGATCAATGAACTCGGAGACACTTGCAGTAAAGCCCGTGCATATGCTCATGGCTGCAAGTGCTGTGTTGCCGACAATAACACCTTGATGGGGCTGCCAGCCCAGCATTGCTTTCACGCTGGTGGGCAGGGAAAGCCTGTTTTGAAACATAAAAGAGTTGATTGGGTCGTCAGGGAATGGTCCTGTTCTCGGGGCGAGGTATCCCCAGAAGAAAACCGCGGTGAGCACGCCCGTGAGAAAGGCAGCCAACGAGCCTGCAAGAGACTTGCCCTTCCGTAGGCGGATAGTGTAGCGCCCATATAATCGGCCAAAAGTGCTCGCGGCGGTGTCGCACCAGGACAGGAGTAAGATGGACACAACGCCGATGTCCTTGGGGTAAAATCTCAGAGCGCCGTACGCTCCAACAAGATACCAAATGACACCATTGTATCCGTCCACCTCGGTCTCCCGCATCAGAGCGCCCAAGACTCTGATGTAGAATCTATTAAATCTTTCGGAATGGTGTCGGAGGATATCGGTGGGGCCGATAATGGCAAGTGCGCCCAGTAGCCAGGGGGTAATCGACCACGTCTGCACACCCGTGACATAAAACCGCAGGGTAAAGAAGCCGATGGAGACGTGGAGGAGTTTCCGGGGGATTTCGTGCTTGTGAATGAGGTTGCGGTAATGTCGGTGGAGAGGAATCAGCCCAAGCGGTGAGGGAGAGCGAGAGAATTCGCGCCATGACTTCTTGACCCGATCGTAGGGTGACAGGTGGCCGTTGGACTGAGGGTACGGGGTGTTGCCATTAGTGAGCGGTTCTGACTTGGTAACAGATTTTATCGAGGTAAGACCACTCATGCGTCGTCTCTTGCTGCCGGTTGCGGAGCCGTTCATCTGAGAAGTGGTGGTCAAGATAGGACTCCTGGAGCGCGCTCTTGCCCGTTTCTCCAGACTTGAGTCTGATCCAGAGCCATCCTTCTCTTCATGTATGGGTTCTGGTTGAGGGGACCTCTGTCGCTGAGCCTTGGTGGCCGATCGTGTGACAGGCGCAAAATAGGAGTCTTGACGCTCGGAGGACTCGGAAGGTGTGGGAGACGGTGAGATGACTCGCGGAGTCGAAGGAATAGGGTACGCATACGACATCTGGACTGTGTATTGCGTTCCGCAAAGAGTGCGGGATGTTATGGCGTTCCCGGTCAGTGGCAGGTGTCAGATGGAGTTTCGAAGCGCTCTTCTGCGCGGTTGACGGCGATGTGAAAATTGGTCAAAGGCATTAAAAAGAGGGCATAACGCAGTCAAGAGCAGGAACCTTGTCTGCAAAACGTTCTGACCATCGTCGAGGATTTTGGGTATTTCAACGATGACGCGCGAGGTCGGTGGAACATCTGGATCTTGTGCCTTGATTGTCAGGGAAGCTGGAAATGGCAGCAGGAGTCGATGTGGCCATGATTGCACATGCAAGGATCGCTCCAGTCAGCAGGCAGATGGCAAGGCCTAGCCGACGCCTAAGCCACAACCTAGGTGCCTCTCCAGCCACTGACTGCCGAGGGATCATCGGCTTTAGCTGCCATGCGCGGACTTGGAAAATGTGGGTGCCAAGACTCGCTTATCGCCGACAGCGGGATGCTCAAAGTCAAGAGAATGCTTGCCTGGAATAGAATAAATTAATCTCTAGGCTTCTCATCAATGATGTCCAAATCCTTCGACATTTCTCAGAGAGAGACTATCTCACCCTAGCAGCAAATTTCCTGTGACTCTGAATTGAACTTCACTCCACAGGTCTTTCTCTTGAACTTCTCTCGACGCCATCATGTTCTCCACCTGGGTATGGAGTACGGGGAAACCGCGCTGGTCTGCCCAAGCATTCATATCGTACGATGTTCTCTGACCTCTCACCCCTCCACTCTTCCAGTCCCGACCCTTGCCTCCACCTTCTCGCAGTGGCCGCTTCGCGGGCCTCACTCCCTCGCTATCTCGCCCTGCACATGCATAGGAAATTCTCCATTTGAAGCTCTCACGACATCTTCGAATCTGCCCACGGCATTGCACCGCGTTGTCAGCAAGTCCAATCACTATATCCTCGGACAGAGTCAATCAATACTCACGCCGACTGAAACATAATGTACACCATCTCATCGTTATACACATTGCGCGTGTACTCGGCCTCCTCGTGCTCGACCTTTAACGTCGTCGTCCCCCGGCCTGCGCACGCCGCATCAGCGAGCAACTGAGCCTGGATGCACCTATCCATGGCGCCAAAGAGGAATGCCGCGCCATCGACGGTCTTTCCGACGGTCAGATGGCCGTGGTTGCGTAGGATGACGCCCTTGGTATTGCCCAGGGCGGCGGCGATCTGGCGGCCCTCGTCGGCTTTGAAGGCAATGCCACCAAAGCCAGAGTAGATGCCGTGATCGTTGTAGAAGCTAGGATGAAGTGGAGAGGTTAGTATCTTGACTCGGGGTTCCCGTGCGCTGAGGGCCGTTCCCACACTCTCCAGTTTGCTCATATCTTTCCTGCGAGGTTAGTGGGCAGGTTGACCTACCGACATGCATCCTGGTTGATAGGCTCGAGCATGCATCCGAGACTGGAGAACGCCTTGCTCGGCACGCTATGACAATGCACCGCCGCAATGACGTCCGGTCTCGCTTCGTGGACTGCCGAGTGGATGACCCAGCCTGCAGGGTTGACGCTGTGCATATTCCCGCCCTGCCCGTCGACAATGTCGCCCTCTGTCGGACCGCATCAGCTGTAGTCGGGTAGTCTGAGACTTCGAACCCCTTCGCAACACCGCGCACTGCATTCTCGCCATAATAAATAGGACAGACGACTTACTCGGCCCCATCAACACCAGGTCCTCGGGCCTCATCCAGCTGAAACTCCGTCCATGCGGATTAATCCAAAAGTGGTCCGGAAGGATGGGATCGCGAACCGTGACATGTCCGCCCGCTCCCTCGTTATTATACCCCTGGTACCCGAGCCAGCGAAGGGCAGCCGCATGGTGGAGTTTCCGGAACGCGCGCTCCGATTCCAGGGATTGGAACTTCGGATACCGGATTCGGGTCACGGGTGTGGTCCCCGTGGTTTGGTACGCCCCAAACGTAAACTCGGGGGAGAAGTTAGGGGGTTGCGGTGGTGGGGTGTGAGGCGTCGTCGGGCCATGGTGAGATGCCACGTGCTCAGTGGTAACGGCGGCCAACGGTGACTTCTGAGTATTTGAGATTGTGCGAGCATGGACGCGCGTGCGCGCGTGTGGCAGTGATAGTGGTAGCGGCAGGTTCGGATTTCGTAATCTCCTTCCCGCTCTCAGGACCGTCAAGCTGGCCGATGCCATGGTGGTGGTTTTTGGTTACCGCTGTACAGTCCGACCGGCTATACTAGGTAAGTAATGCAAGGTGAAATCGCCACAGATCAACCGCATCTGCTCCTGCGTCGATTTGCTCCGAGTTCCTAGATATACTATAAAATGCGATGCTTCATCGAGAAGGATAAGACATAGTATAAAATGCGATGCGATGCTCGATCGAGATACAGTAGATAGATTAGGACATACGTTGAATGATCACCCGAATCCTTCGCGCCGGACTGTCATGTCATGCTGTCTCACCGTCCACTTCTCCGCAATCGGGCACGCAGGGTCGTCGTTGCGGGGAAGCGAGCACGCGGCGGTTGATCCGAGGAAGTCGAAGGGACAGAGTGGAGGACGGGGTACGAGCACATAAGGTACCTCGTACGAGTACGAGTACGGAGTATCGTCGTTCGATGCATCGGCCTCATCCACCTGCAAATCGTACCTGCGCGAGTAATTACTTTTATCATGTGGCCCACTAGCCAGTTGTTAAGTAGGAAGTACTGTAATAATGGACTCCAACATGACGACGCTTGTATCGATGTGATATCAGCGTGTGCTGCGGTCCGCTCCTGTGTTTAGGTCAACTCAACTCGCGCTCGTTGCACTTTAAGTGAGCCTGTGTAGTACGTAGGTACCGTCGGTATTTAGGGGAGCCAGCCTTGCTGGTGGAGCGCTTACACCCTTGGCCAAACAGCGTGGGTGTCGCGTAGTCCACTACAGTATCACGACGTTAGTACATACAGGGTACAGGTATGCAGCATGTGTACACAGTATGTGTGCGCGTGATCGCCGTCTCTCGAACGTGAACTGGCTACAAAACATGATCAGGGATTCCTGGGGATGAACCCATCAGCATCCGGTCTTCTCCGCGTTATTATATTCAAGTCTGGAGGCCGCTTCTCGATCATGTGGGCCAGATTTCCTGGTTGGCCGTTCGACTACTCCGTACTAGAACACGATTCGAAAGACGCAAGCATTTCAGGTCGATACCGATAATGACCGCCGAAACCAACTTCAGGAGTGGGGATTTTGACCATATACAGAGCCATTAGGAGCATTTTATAAGGCATGAGTCCTTCATATCCAAGGTCCCCGCCTTTCCACCATTGTTAGCACCGCCACTACCTGCTTCAGGCGGGAGAATTCCACCTATATTCACCACCGTCCCAGACCTCATCGATCTCGGTCGTCTCAAATACCGTACCGACGTCCTTCTCTTTTTGTTCAAACGAACAGGAATGATACTGCCTGGCAGTCTTTGCCGTGTAGATGCCTCATATGACAGCTTCGAATTCCCTTTTCTCATCCTGTTCTGCCAATCTCTCATTGATTGATCAATAACCAAGCCCCTGCAATGCGCTCAGCATTCTCTTGCTTGCCCCCTCGTCGAGGAAAGTATGCAGCAATGACTTCCATCCGGTGGCTCACATGAGTACGATGACCACAGAGTTCTGCTTGCCGAAGGCGGCTTTGAGGTGGAACAGGCCCAAGTCTTTCTAACCACACCGTTCTTATTCAATGACATTGACTGAAGTCAAAACTTGGGTGGAATCAACACCAAGCTTAGTAAAGCCGTGGATGGTAGTGCGCAGATCAGGCAACGCGATGTTCATTACAGCCATGTCGGCCAGGATGGACCATGTGCTCGGACTGGACGACGCCATTTGAAAGGGAGTATAAGAGTCCTGGATGTTGGAATGCCTTTAGCCGAACTCTCAGATCATGCGCCGCGCTGTGTATCATTGCCTTCTTCGCTTCAGGAGGCCGACCATTCCAAGCGACGACCAGTCAGCTAAACGACGCGTCTGACGAGCCATCTGCAACCACTCTCCAGAAACATGACGTGGTCTCACAGTAAGCTGGTGCTCGCAGCAGCGAAGATAGGAAAGCGGAGAGTAGTAGTCGAATCCGGGGCTAGCATGATAAGAAGCGGCCTTGGCTTTTCTGCAGCGGAGGAATCAGTCGAGAGTCAAGGCGTTCTTCCAAACCACGTCACACGCTGGACGCAGGCATCTGGAGCTCGTCTTCAAAGACTGAATGCTCACTTTTGTGGTGGAACGTATTTCGGCACTTCAGGTTAAGCGAGGCCCGATCTTATCCATACCGCCCATATGCCCTCTAAGCACTTCAGGAATAACCACGCATCCCTCATCCTCCCGCCAGCCATTCTCAAGGATGGCAGCGAGGACTCTGGGCACCGCTACCGCCGTGCCATTGACAGTGTGTGCGAATTTCTTCCTGGACCCATCCGGCTCCAACACCCTCGTGTCAAGCCTGCGGCTCTGGTAATCCGTGCAGATAGAAGCAGACGTGACTTCACCCCATCCTTCGTCACGTTTCTTCCGTGATGGAAACATAGCTTCGATGTCAATCTTGCGATAAGCGCTGGCGCCGAGGTCGGAAGAGGGCATCTCGAGGACTCGGCATGGCAAGCCCAGTGATGAGACGATTTCGGTCTGGATATCAACCATTTCATCTAGAAGATGCGTCGCATGTTCGGTCCAGCTTGCCTCGTCTGTGAGACCTTCATTGCTTGGTGCCGCAGAGTGGGTCCACGCAAACATTTCCACCTTGGTGAACTCGTGCACGCGGTACAGGCCTTTCGTGTCGACGCCCCGAGCACCGGCCTCGGCGCGATAACATCGACTGGGTCCCACCAGCTTGATGGGTAGTCGATCTGCCGGGATAGCTTTGTTTGCATGCATGCCCGCAAGAGGGATTTCGGCTGTGGCAGCAAGACTTCTGGTCGGCTTTCCCTTGTCTCTATCAGTGTGGGCTACCTGCCAGATCTGATGTTCGTCGTGCTGATCGCGAGGTTGGAAGCCACATGCGGCGGCCATGTGAGAATAGACCAGCGACGGCGGAGACACCACCGACCAGCCGCGTCTCATGGCGACAGACATGGCGTACTGAACCAACGCTTGTTCCAGCAGAGCAGCTTCATTCAGGAGGTAGTAGAACCCCCATCCCGAGGTCGTCGCTGCGGACGAGAAGTCGAGCAGGCCCAGCTTTTCACCAATCACTGAATGGTCGGCTGCACGGCCGTACTGAGGAGGATTCTGCGGGTCATAGTTGATGTAGGATCGCAGTTTCGGTTCGCTGTTCGTGGGCGTCTCCGAGGACGTCAAATTGGGCAAAGACAGGGCCATCGTCTGGGAGTCAAGTTCCAAGGCATCCTTTTCAGCTTGCAATTTGTCCACTTCTGGCCGAATTGCTTTCATCTGCGCGACAGTCTCAGACTTGTCCCCTGTGGAAGCATTCAACTGCTTCTGCAGCTCCTTCAATGTGTGTCTTGACCCACCCATGCGCTGGTCGAGCTCTCTAATCTTCAGGGAATTTTCAGCCACTCGCCGTGGGATGTCTGTATGGTTGCGGTAATTTCGCACCAGGGTATTCTTTTCGAAGAGCTCGACATTGTCCCGGATCTGGGTGATGGAAGGATATTGTCTCGGAGCTGTCGCTGGTCGTGATTCTTGAAGTAAAGGGGAGGATGTGCTATAGCTTCTTCTGCAGCGAAGCAGGAATGTCCTCGCTTCTAAGGCTCTCATAGACATTGAGCTTTGAGATACTCTCCAAATGTTGCAATCGCAGGAAAGAGCGCGGCGACGCGTTTCAGGAAAAGATTGACCGAGATAACCGAGAAAGCGGCGTCAGTACGGAGTACTCGGTACGGAGTTCGGAGTACGTCAAAAGAGCTTGATATATTCTGCACACCTATTTTATGACTGATATGGTCCACGAAGCGCACACAGAAAATGCGCTTCCTCAACACCCGTACCAGGGTGGCGTGGCCTAATGGTAAGGCGTTGCTTTCCGGCTCTCGGAACCTGGCAAAGACTGTGGGTTCGAGTCCCATCGCCATCGACCTGATTTTTGCTTCTTCGACATCATTCTCTTTTTGACAACGCAGGAACTACCTCAAGCTCCAACCTTCCCGTCAAAGGTCAACGTCTCTTCTCTCGTAGGCTAGCAGTGATGTTCGTTGATTAGGTACGTGCCGGGTATCACGGCCAACGCTGCATTACACGTTCTCGGATTCTCATTCTATGAGGATTGTCCAAATACTTTTAAGACACTAGGAGGAGCTCGGTTGAGCACATGAACCACCGACTGCCCATACCTGCTCTTCTCGATACTGTATGGATCTGCTCGGAGATTCTTTCTATTACTGCGGCGAACCAAGGCAAGCACGTTGTTAGAACACTACCACGTATGTACCCCTGCTGGGAGTATTCGTGAAAATGCACGTTTGTCCAGCCCTGGAGACCAGTTGAGCCTCACATAATTACAGTACATCCATACCAAGAGCTTCCTGATTAACGCCGACCATATCCGCCTTGATTGTAGCCATTGACTCCATGATTTCCACCCCAATTATCCCGTCCAGGAGGACCACGATTCTGACTTTGATAATTTCCATCACTAAAGCTTCTTCCACCATTCTGCTGATAATGCCCATTGTTCCCGTACTGGGGTTGTCCCTGGTTTCCGCCGTAGTACCCATTGTGTGCCTGGCCACCATTCTGTCCTTGGTCATACCCTCCGTAACCCTGATTGGCGTAGTTGTTGTATCCTGGGTAGCCGTTCGACGGAGGAGGAGGAGGACCACGATTGTAGGCGTTCTGACCACCAAAGTTTGGTGGCGGTGGGGGTGGCATTCCCGGAGGCCACTGGTTGGGAGGCGGCATCATAGGAGGCCCATTCAAAGGTGGACGATCCGCGGCATAGTTGATGCGACCACCTCGATTTTGGTTATCCATGGGATCGCGCCGAGTGTTGTCGTAAAGTGGTGCACCTCCAAAATCTCGTCCAGAGGTTCTGGCCTTTGATCGAAGGATTGCCAAATCACTCTTGTCCAGGACAGCCGGAGGCAAGCCGACCCCTGGGAACAACATGGACTTGTGGACATGCGTTGGGGGCGGCATGACGAAGAAGACGCTCATAGAGCGATCGTCATCGACGTCAGGGTCCAGCCTGATGCCGGGTTCTGGGCCTACCAGATCCATGTGAGGCAGGAAGTCTTCATTCTTGATCACATCGCCAGCGAGCTGAAACTTCTGCATGGACAACTTCACCGTCTTGGGAGCGTCCTTGGACTTTTTCGAGTAGAATTTCAATGCCAGCTGTTCATAGAGTGGATTCTGCTCTGATATAAGCAAGGCATCGTATCCGTGCTCATTCCTCGCATGCTCATCGGCGGTAAGGAGCGGATATTTGGTGGCCATGGCTTTCAACAGACGCTTTTCGTCAATGAAGGGTAACAAGACGATAGCCTTCCAGGATTGCTTCGCCCCGTTCAGATCAAGATCGAATTCCTCGGGATAGAAGTCGACAATGTCAGAATCTGGTTCGGTCATCAGGGGGTGGAAAGCAGTGGGGATGGCATGGTTGGAGGACGCGGGCAGCACCCCCATCAACTGTTCGTATGGTTTGAACGGTGTTCCCTTCTCAAATTTGACGACCTTCTTGTCAATATCGACAAAGTCTGCAGCGAACGGAGCGTAATGATACGGGTAGTACCAGGTCCACGAAGGGCATCCTTGGAAATAGTACAGAAGTACCCACGACAATCCTTCGACGTAGGCTTCAGCAACCTTGTGGCGAAACTCGATATCGTGAGGTGAGACATGGAACTTCTGCTCGTAGTATCGGTCGCTATAGCCTTCCTCCCACAACCGAACCGTATCTGGTGGCGGGTTGTTGGGATCAGCGTTGTTGGAAGTCTTCTTCTCGACGGGGGTGTTCCGGCCGGGTGTGCCATCAGTCTCTGGCTCGTCGTCCATCAATGCAGCCTGTCGTTTGCCTAGTGCCGAGGCAGGGGTTCCGGGATCATCAGACTCCGCCTCCATCTGCGACGCACTTCGCTTGCCCAGAACGGCTCCTGCAGAGCCTGGAGTTCCATTGGCTCCATTCGCTGCGTCTTTTGCTGCAGTCTCAGCAGCAGCTTTCCGGGCGAGCATTTGCTCCTTCAGGACGGCCGCAGCGCTCTTATTTGAAGCAAGTGTTTTGTCCACAGCACCTCTGTTGACAATTGAGTTGTAGTCCAGAGTTGGAAAATTGGTGGCCTCAAACGTCTGCATACCAGTCGGAACACGAGCATCCGCAGCAACTCTGCTACCTTTGGTGTAGTCTGGAGAGCTTCGACGTCTCTTGTTGTTACGAGCGTCTCGGGCTTTGTTTGCATCGTTACGGCGTTGGTCCCTTATTGCTTGCTTGTCTGCGGCCTCCTTCCTGCGCTTGAAAATTGCGTCTTCTTGCTTGGCCAGACCCTGTAGGATGATCTGTGCACGGGCAAGATCGACCTTGCCGTCGCAGGTCAGGTAGCCTCCCATGAGTGGGATGTTGTCTCTCCAGATAGCAATGAGCTTGTCGATACCATCTTCTTTGATATCCAGACTGGGAAGATGGGGCAAAAAGTCATTGCCCACGAAGAAACACATAAAGACCCAATCGTCGAGGGCGCGTTCGAGATCAAAGCGAAAAGTCTGACCGGGCACAAACATCTCCGCACCGAGATACTCACGCAGTACCGGGACGTTCAACCAGATGAATGGCTTCAACTTCTCAACCGTGCCTTTTTCATCGAACTCGCCTGACTTCTCCTTGGCTTCACCTCTGCAGTTATCGGCATAGTGACCTTGGCGACCACAAATTCTGCAGGTTCTGGCCTTGGCATCATTCAGGAAGACGTCTTCTCGGAGGACACGAAAATGAGGCTCATGTGTAGCGATACCAAGCATGATCAAATCTGCATCGAGACCGTACATGACGTGTCTTGTGTTGGGATCATATGCGGGGTCTGAGCGCTGGGAACGAATGAATTGCATGATCTTATGCTCACCTTCGCCCGGCACACTGGCGTCGGAGATCACGACCTTCAGCTGTGCCCAGGCAGGATCCGTATTGAGTTTCCATTGGACCCAGAATCGAATGGATTGAGCAAGGATAAACATGAAAGGCGTGCCAGGTGTGATGACATTACTGTCCCATGTTTTCTTGACTACCTCTTCCACCGTCTCTGCTTCATCATCATCCTCATCGTCGTCGTTGTTGCTGCGCTGCTGGCGTAGGAGTGTCTGGAATTCCGCCTTCTTCTCGTCCGCCTCTTTTGCATCTCTCGCCGATCTGAAGCGCCGCGCTCGTTGCTGGTTCATTTTCGCTCGAGGGGCAACGCCGTCTAAATCATGTTAGCTAGCAACCTAGATGAATAGTACAAATGTCTTACCGATTGCAATCATCAACAGTCTTCGAGGTCTAACCATGTTTACAACGCGGTCCGTGTACTTGAAGATCTCCAACATCATCTCAGTTTCATTTGCCGGGGGTGGCTTGTCCTCTGGATGAGAACAAGGATGGACGATGCCATTGAAGTCAAGATACAGGTTGTGAAATTCTTCTCCATTAGGATTGGGCTTGGTGGTGTCCACGGGATACTTCACGCCGTCAATGTCGACGGGTTGTTCTTCGATCACGGGCGTGATAATCTTGGGATATTTCCTAGTGAGCCATCGAAAAAGCGCTGGGACACCCATCTTGACTCGATGGAGGTCTCAGAAGAATGAGAAAACAAGGAGAAAAGTCTGCGAAAAGCCTTCTGGGAAGGTTTCAGGTCACGCTCCTGCCTGGGCGCGCGTTCGGAGAGAAGACGGGACTCGCGTCGAGAACAGTAGGGACTCGAAACTACAATCAAGAGTCAGCTCAGCATCAACGGCACACGATAAGCTGAATGAAGGAATGGAGTGAGGTGGATGAGAGTGAGTGAAGGAGTTGCCTCGAGACGAACTGCGATTCCGAGTCTTCGATTTCTACATACGGTTAGCTCAGCCTTGGCATAGATTTTGCTAAGGGCGGCCAATTTGTGGTTCATTGTCACAACAATTGCCGACGTGATGCTCGAGGAGAGAATCAGCCATCTACCCACCACAGCTGCACAGATGAAGATGCATCACTCCTGCCATATCACCTTCCGACTCCGCCGAGTCTGCCGGCACATTCTCTAGCATCTTTTCCTGAGAATATCTCGTCCAAGCACCTCCTCATACGGAGTACAGGCCCACGTCTCGCCTTGGAGAGGCGTTGGAGAAGCGCATCTCAAAGACGAAGAAGATGAGCTCGCACTCGGACAGGCCATGCGGGGGCCATCCCCAATTCCTGGCTCCTACGGCGCCCTACAAGATATTCAAACACAATGTTGCTCTGACACGTAAGGTAGGTTCGATCACGGTGGAATTCGCAAAAGCAAACATCAAACATGGGAGACGAGACCGCACCCGAGCCTTACAGGCTGCCAGAAAACCCGACCTACGGATTCGTAGGCATCGGCGTCATGGGATATGGCATGGCGACCAATCTCCGCGCCAAGATACCTCAAACGGCCAAGTTCGTCCTCTGTGAGATCAACGAAGCGAGAAGGGACCAGTTCGTCAAGGAATGCAACCTGCCTGTAGAAGTGGCGCATTCGCCGAAAGAGGTCGCAGAGAAGGCTGTAGGTCAGCACCGGCACCAGTCTAGCCCATCCGCGCCAAGCGCTTTGTATGGACACAGGGGATTCCATAAAGCTGAGAAAGAGTCATCACATCCATATAGGATATCATTATAACCATGCTACCGCGCGCACCGCACGTCCATGAAGTCTTCACAAACCCAGAAACAGGCTTCCTCTCCGCCCTTCCCCCCGCTACCGCCACCCCTCCGAAATTGTTTCTGGAATGCTCGTCCATTGAAGTGTCCACGTCCACTTCTCTGGCGCGTCAAATCCACTCCCAGAATCTGGGTGTGTTTGTCGACGCGCCCGTCTCGGGTGGCCCGCAGGGTTCCAACGCCGGTACATTGACATTCATGGTCGGGACTCCCAGCGCGGCGATGTTCGACGTGGTGAAACCGATCCTGGCGATGATGGGCAAGGAGGAGAACATCTACCAGTGCGGAGGCCTGGGCGCTGGGCTGGCGACGAAGCAGTTGAACAACTATCTAGGTTACGTTGGGTACTTGGGACTTTGCGAGGGTGAGAATGCTCCTCCTCCCGCCCGCTTTGAAGATGCGGGACAGGCTAAAATCCGATTTCGTCTAGTCATGAATGCCGGCTTGTTGTACGGTCTGGACCCGAAGATCCTGTCGAGTAAGCAAGCCGCGGCCCTACTATTTCTGGTTGGCTTTCCCTCCTTCTACTCGCGCCACTCCTTTTGGTGTCTTGTCCTCCATCTAACTGCGCCACTCCTTTTGTTGTCTTGCCTTCCCATCTAATAGCACCCCTTATCTCCAGTTATCTTACGCTCCGTCTAACGTGCTGCTATCTAGACGTGATAAATGCATCCTCCGGCATGAACTGGAACAGTCTCCACCACAACCCGGTGAAAGGCGTAAATCCCAATGCCTCCTCCGCGCGGGATTTCAAAGGCGGCTTCACGACAGAGCTGGCCGGCGGGGTCATCGACGACGCCGTGTCCCTGATGGATTCCGTGGGCGCCGAAACCGTCCTGGCGGAGCGCGTGAAGAAAGTGTTTGACGAGGCACGGAAGAATGACAAGTGTAAAGGGATGGAGGCACGGAGTGTTTGGAAGTTGTTCGCCGAGGATGGGGGACGAGATGTGAGGGATCTGTAAGTTGTGTCTGCTCAGACTCTGAGCCGCTGGGGAAAAGAAACGAGATGAGGTCGATAGTCGGACGAGCTAGGAGGCGACTTTTGTCGGTGGATCTGGGGGAGATTACAGTAGTGTACAGAGTATCGCTATTCTACAGGTACTGTTAGACTTTTGGCTGACGACGCCACTGCCATGCTTGCTGAGATGCTGAAGTCGGCTGTGCTGAAAGAAAAATGTTCAGTCGACATCCTCCTCCTCCTCCTCTTCCTCACCGTCGTCGTCTGCTTCCCCATCGTCTCGGGCTTCGTCGCCCTCCTCGTCTTCGTCCTCCGATACCTCCTGCCCGAGAACCTTGAGCTTCTTCTTATCCGCAGATCTCTTGGCTTCGAGATCCGCGAATACAACCAGCAGGTCGTCGAGTTCCGTCTGCACGTCCTTTCGCCGGATCTTCTCTTGTTCCAGCTCTTCACTCAGCTGCTTGGTCCGGTTCTCTGCGTCTGCGACCCGAGCGTCCGCCCGTTTCAGACGCGCCTCCAACGACTCGGTCTTGGCTTTGTACTCTTCATGGGCGGTTTCAAGGTCCTGTACATGGTCGGCGGCGGCTTTCTTCAAAGACTCTTCCAGTTCTGTTATTCGGTGCTGTAAATCTGCAATTTCTGCCGCTTCCCTGTCACGCGCCTTCTGGGCATTGGCAGCCGCCTCATCCAAGGCACGTCGGTGTTGCTTGTTGAGAGCGGCCCGCTCCCTAGCGGATTCCTGCTCGATCAACTTAAGACGCTGCTCAAATCGCTGCACCTCCACCTCGTGCTGCTTCCTTGCCGTTTCAACGGCGGCAAGATGGTCGTGGCGCCGGCGATTGCTCTCATCCTCATGAGCCCGAGTGAGTGCGCTTCTCTCCTGCGCAGCCGTCTGTTGCAATTTCTTGACCTCGTCCTCGTGATTGTCCTGCAAGCTCTGGTTGATCTGCTTGATGCGGGACAACTCCACAGCCGCAGACTCTCGTGTACGACGATGATCGAGCTCCTCCTGTTCCAACCGGCGCTTGAGCTGCAGGAGGTCGCGGTTGACCACTTCCAAGGCTTGCTTCTGTTCTTCGGTTTGGGCTCTCAGACTATCAACGAGGTCCCGAGAGACGCCCTTTTGAACCCCGTTGCTCAGGATCGAGACTTCGAAGTTGGGGTCCCGGTCGATGGCTCGTAAAAATCTGCTGTAGTTGTCCTTGAAGAAGTCGATGAATGTCTTGTCGAAGAACACTTCCGGGAGGCCGCCATTGCCAGTTTGGGGCAGAACCTCGAAATCTCGAACGAAAACATTCTCTCGAAGCCTGGTTAATCTGTCCACATATGCTTCTCTCCCAAGATTGCCAATCAGGAGGCCATGGAGTGTGCTTCGGGGGATCGGTGAATCTTTCGTAGAGAACTCGTAGATAATGCCAAGGACAAATGCACACAACCCAGCCACAAGCGGCATCGTGCTTTTCGTAACTTTGACTGCAGCAATGAGCCCTTGCACGGTACTCCCTTCGCTGAGTAAGTCATTGACCGCGTCCGGATCCTCAAATAACCACGTGGATAAAAGCATCAGACAGCCCAGTAGCGCACGCTCGTCCTCAACATGCTGCACACCAGCCACCACGTTACTTGTTATGCTCTGGAGGAACGTAACAACTTCCTCTCCACTCTCCGCATCTCCTTCTGTTACTTGTAAAGCCAGACCTTTGTTCTCCGGATTTTCGTAAAGCAGGTGTAGCAGGAGCACTGCGGCAAACCAAGGTTGGTAAGGATCCGACTGATTGCGAGACCCAGGCGGCTCTAGAAGAACGGTGAGCATGTTAGGAATGGCATCGTCACCCGCTTTATGTCCGTCGATCGCTCTTCGTAGTACATGCGTCCGTATACCCGGGTGACCATGCATGAATGCTTCAACACATGAAGATGCTGCCAGCCGGACGTCGAACATTGCCATTGGGGCCGGCTCCAATGCCAGTTCCAAGAGCGACTCGATTACGTTCTGAGTGCGAAAAGCAGCCTTCTTAGGCTTCTGTTGTTTTTCGGGGGACGCATGAGCGGAATGCCCATTGGTTGCCCGAATGCTGTGCTCCCTAATCATCACTCCAAGGTCCCCAAACCGTTCTTGAAGAGCATTATTTGCTCGAATAACGTCTCCACATGTCTGAAGCGATTTCGTGCGTACCCCCGTGCTAAAGATGGGATGGAATGCGATATGCAGGATGACTTCCACTGTGCCAGCCTGCCAGTATGCCTGCTGGTTGACCACGGTCCCTTGTGCCCCCTGGGGAAGAAATAGTTGAATGACTCCTAGTAAACCCCACACGTTCATGTCGCGCTGCGGTCTCATCCATTCCGAAACACCATCGTCAGAATCTTCTTGCTCAACGACTGCGGCAAGCAGCTTCTTGATCTTCTGGATCCCGCCCACCTCTCGGAAGTATGACTGGTTGGACGTGTTGAGGCTGAGAAGATTGGCCAGTAGAGACAGGCAATCTTGCACGGTGGTGCTGCCGTGGGTCAGGCCACCGTCTCCATCAATCAATGCAAATATGCGGTCGAATGCGTTTTCGAATGCGACCACCTTCTGGATCTCGGCAGAAGTTGGAGTCAGCGCAACCAGCAGCACGAGTGCCTCGTTTCGGACAGCCTCCCGCCGGTCGTCCAACACGTTCGTTATGCGCGACACGCCGAGAGGGGCGGCAAATACCGCTTCCTGTGTCCGCTGCGGCCGTGCCGTTGATATATGGGACAAGATCTGAAGCACATATAACCGCAGGTAGAACTCATTCGCCTCAAGAAGGTCCAAGAGAGCAGTGATATTGTCCTGTCGCTGGGTGAATTCATCCGCAAGCCACAGTGTGATATCTTCGGACGCCTCAGGTGATTTCTCGTCCGGCTCGAACAAGCCCAGTAGAGTCTCCAGTACTATTTTGATCGTGTCCCAGTCCTCGGCATCCTTGCGCAATGCCGCAATGAGGTCGCGGAGGGCCCCAGAGGCAACGGAGGCAGGATATACCTTTGCGAAACTGCGCAGGCCGAGAATTGCCGCACGGCGGTCTTCAAGGAGAGTGGCACTGGTCAACCGGGCACTGAGGGTCTGTATCGTATCGGTGGCATTCTGTCTGGCAGGCGCTTGGGCCTCGAGTATTCGCATCATCGTGACAGTAGGTCCATGATCACTGCATCAGTCTATTTGTCGCGGGGAGCAGCCACACAGCCATTGACTAAGGTATCGGACCGGCCATGCTACTGTGTCTCGCGGGTAGGACCGAGGCGTCGAAAATGGGCAATTACAGAGAATTGTCTCCCCCGTCTGTGCACTTCGTACTCCGTAGAGGGTCTCGACTTCTGTGAACGCGCTCCGTGTTGGAGAAACGACAAAGTGTCAACTGCCAAGGCATGGTCGAATTGATCGCGGCTCACCCTGCTTTCGGTAGACGGTGACGCCGCCCTGTGCTCACCCCGGCCGCGCGCGAGTCAGGCTGAGCCAGGCTGAGCCGGGCGCACAATCACCCGTGTCTCACCCCCGAGTGGGGAGGAGAACGCCAGGTGTACTACTGTGTATAGTACCTAACCTACCTATCCTACCTATATGTTCTAGGTATGTTTACTTTTACTGTAAGACAACCGGACCGCCGCTCACCTTCTTACCTTCTTCTTACCCTCCGACTTGCGCTCTTCGCCACGACTCTTTGGGGAGGATGAAAGCGCTAGGATGGTGCTTCTGTTCACCACCATTATCATTTGTCCTGAATCAAAGCTCCCCGTCACAGAAGGACGTAAATTCTTTATCTACTGTCGAGGTGTTCCCATTCCGAGCGCAGCTTCCATATCAAACCCCTTGATCTCACCCTTCTTGTACTGATCCACCATCTCGCCAAAGGTGCACCACTCTACACCTTGGAATGTATTGATCCACTCGATCATCCGCTGATGCATCCTCAGCACATGTGGTTTCCCACTGACCTGAGGATGGATACTCAGGGGAAACACAAATTCGTCATATTCTTCGTAGAAGTACAGAAAATGCTCTTTCCAAATATTTTCCAGGACATTGGGGTCGACGAAGCCATCACTACCGCCATCCCCAGGTTGGAAAGGGGGCCAATCGTCTAGGTGCCAGTTCGCCGGGACGGTGACAACACTTGACAGCTGGGGCGCAAGCATGGGTGTCATCCAGGTCGCAGCTGAGGGCGCATCTGAAGACGGAGATGCCGGTTGCTTTTGCGCCTTGTAGCCCGTTGTCTTGACGCTGTAGTTGCTGAAGGGCGTCCGTGATATAAGGCAGTCATGGTGCATGGAGCTGTGGTCGTATTCAATGCCCATCTCTTCCAGCAAGTGAATAGAACGTGGAGACATGGTCCATGCCGGTGCGGTCCAGCCTCGCGGTTTCTTGCCCGTGAAGTCTGTAAGCACTTGAATGGACTTCTGGAGGACATCGCGCTCCTGTTGCTCTGAAAGCCCTGACACATACTCATGAGTGTAACCATGGAGGCCGCTGGACGACACCAGTCAGTGAGGTGAACGGTCTTTGTTGCTCCGCGACGATGTATCGAACGTACATTTCATGGCCAGCGTCCCGGATCTTCGCGATCTGCTTTGGGAATGATTCAACGCTGTGTGCAGGGACGTACCAAGATGCCTTGATCTTGTACCTATCCCAGAGCTTCAACAACCGATCAATCCCAACGACAGCCCCAAAGATCCCCCGGGATATGTCCACCGGGTCAGCAGACGATCCATCCTTTGTGTCGATCCTAAGTCCCTTTTCTCAGCTCTGATGACTCCTGACCCGACAGCGCAGAGAAGATCATTACCGAAGTCGACTCACCATCCAGAAACAGCGTCGACGTCAATGCCATAGCCGACGAGTACTTTCTTAGTCATTTTCGCAGTACTCGCGAATCAAGGCTCTGGGTTCGCCAGGCTCAATTCGTTACCTGTCTTCTAGGCATCTGATACTTACATGTATCCCTCTGTTCGGTTCACATACTGTAATTGACCAAGAGTCGAGGCTCGGCAGCACCGGGAGGTGGGGACGTGCGGAAACTATAACAGGTGTCTTATCGAACTGCCGCATTTGGAAGTCAAATCCTCCGATGACCTTCGCCATACCCTTTCATGGAGACTTGCAGGAGGCATTGGCCCAAGTCTAAAGACTGGCCACTTGTTCACGGCTGACCGTTCGTGTCGTTGGCCGCAACGTTCAATGAGTCCACAATGTTCGCAATCCAATGTGAGGGAACCCCTTATGAGGTCGGTTTCCAGCATGGGGCGGCTCTTACTGCGCAGATCCAGGATAGCGTTGATTTTTACACCTGGATGTTCAAGAAATATACCGGCAAAGACTGGAAAGATATTCTGGTCGTCGCCGAGGAGTTCGCGGGTCAGATTGGACATCGATGGCCGAGGTTTTATGATGAGATCAGAGGAATTGCCGCAGGCTCGGGCCACAGCATTGAAGACATTGTTGCATTGAACGTCAGAACAGAGATTGCGTACGGGCTACTGGCCGCGTATATCAATGTGCCCGTCGACGGATGCACGACGCTGTTCTGGAGAACCGGGGAGAGTGTCTTCTTGGGGCAGAATTGGGACTGGATGGAGCAGCAAAAAAGGAACGCTGGGTTGATGACCATCAAGTCTCCGGGATTACCGACCCTTAAGATCATGACCGAGGCAGGAATCATTGGCAAGATCGGAATGAACTCAAGCGGCGTAGGAATCTGCATGAACGCCATACGATCTACCGGCTATGACAGTGGGCGCATCCCCGTGCATCTTGCCATGCGTATGGCGTTGGAATGCCAGACGGCGACCCAAGCAGCAGAACTGCTCCAGAACATCGGCGTTGCAGGCTCTGTGCACCTCCTGGTTGCAGATGTCAGCAATGCTTTCAGCTTCGAATTCACTTCCAAAACATGCCTTCGCCTGCGTGCCGACAATGAACACCGAATCTTCCACAGCAACCATATGATCGAAAAGCACGAGGGCATCTGTGAAGACCCTGAAGCAGACTCGTTTCCAAGGCTGCAGCGCATGCGACAGATTGCCGATGAGCAGCTGCTGGCAGGCGGAGTCAAGAGCCTAAGCAGCTTCCAAACGCTGTTTGACGACCATGACGGGTTTCCAGTTTCGATTTGCAGGTTTCAGGAAGGCGTCAGTGAAGATGCGACGCTGTTTAACATTGTGATGGACTTGAGCAAGAAGGAGGCGCTTGTCACATTTGGCAAGCTGTGCAAGCCCGAGGGCGTGTACAGTGTAGCATTTGATGCGTAAAAGAGGGACGAAAACTCGTACGGGGATTAAGCATAAGTCTGTAGTTCGTGCCACAACGTCCAAAGTAAAGATATAGCAATAGGCAGACCGACAAACACGTGACCGAGCCATGGAGCTCCACGTGACGCATCGAGTCCAAATTCCTTATCAATTCCACCTCCGCGACTGGACCATGTTGAGGATGTCGCCCTTGATAAAGCCAGTCACCTCCATCAGCGCACTTGAGTGCAGCTTCCTATCTCCAGGCCACTGAATGCAACTTACCAGCGAAACTCTCGGCCTCAAGTGGCAGGATGAGCACCAGGTACCACGGGGCTGCCTGTCGGACGTGCCGTCGACGAGGAAAGAAGTGCTCCCGTGAATTGCCCCAGTGCAAATCATGCCTGGTTAAAGGGATCGAATGTGAAGGCTATGTCATACGCTGGGCTGGCATGGCCTCGCGTGGCAAGCTGGCGGGCAAAACGAGCATGGCCGAACAGAACACTGCAAGACCTGTGAAATGTGGCCACCAAGAATGCGGGTACCCGGACGCGAATCCCACATCAGAGGGAACCAGTGTATCGTCAATTCTTCCACTTCTGCCGCCAGTCCTACATCCCGCTGAGGACGTTATCATAGACGCCTCCCCACCCCTTTTTGACTGGAGCCCGACGCAGTTTGAGCACGCAGCTCTCGCGGGCGTTGTCTCCGAGACTGAATCGCCAGAATCTGATGCAGACGGTCTGGAGAACTCACTCGACCGGCGTGTGGAAATGTCAGCGCCGGCAGAGGATTATCCGGCTCTTATCAACCCGTTGGATCCGTACAACATTCCGCAAGAGCTCAAATTCATTCTCAACTACCATCTCCTCGAGGTGGCTCCAAAACTGGTCATCGACGACACTTTGACCCGCAACCCGTATTCACAATTCATCCTTCAGCTTGCTTTAGAGAAGCCACCTCTTCTCTATGCGTGCGCTGCCTTGGCTGCAAGCCACTGGCATGTTCGACTGTTGAACAAGAGTTGCAAGGTGGATTGCCTGAGGTTTCGCGGCAAAGCGATGCGCCGATTACAGGAGCAGATGTGGTCAGAACAAAGTGCAAAAGATGACGGAAATCTCACGACCATCCTGATGCTGACGCTCACCGACATGAGTCTCGGGGAACCCTCCAATTTCGATGCACACTTTGGCGCCGCAAAGCGGCTCGTCGATCTACGCGGCAGCGAATGGACGCGAGATGCATTTGTCGAGCAGTACATTTCATGGCTCGATATCATGTGTTCGGCCAACCATCATCGGGAGGCCTTCTTCACCCCCGAAGACGTCGCTGCTTTCACCGGCCCGTCACGACAGTGGAGTCACGATGTCTTTCCATGCCCTCCAGACCAATTCACAATAATATCAGAAGTAATTCGACTTTTTAAAACGCAACCTGATCCGCAGAATCCAGCACCAGAAGTTGTGGAGAAGGCCATAGAATGCAAGAGACAGGTCCTGTTTCTCCCTATGCATACCGAAAGAGGTCCGGGCTGGTTCCATCTCACCGAGGCCTTTCGCCATGCCATCGGTATCTACACGATTCGGCTCTTTCACTTGGAAGCCGACGAGGACGAGATTCAGTGGTTGACACAAAGCGTCATTTATCATGCTAAACTCACCCCACCACATACGGGGTGGACTAACCATCTCCTGTGGCCTTTGTTCCATGCTGGACTAGAACTCCGTGAGGGGCGCCAGAAGCAGTGGCTGCGAGAACGGTCAGACGTCATGCAACGAAGCGGAGGATTTCGCAATGTGGAGACATCAATGGAGATACTGGAGCAGGTTTGGGACAGCGGTGTTCGACCCGACTACACAAATCTGCTTTCCCCTGACCTGTTCAACGCCATGGTCCTTGTGTGAAGTGGCCGCACCAGGCATGTTCAGCGTACGCTACCAATCCAGAGAATTAGCAGATAGGTTTCCGTCTTCGATGGGCCTGTCAAAGGCAACCCAGCGAGCTCTGACAGCCACCTCCTTTCGCCTGGAGAGACTGCAGTACCTTCCGAGCGCAACGTTCACCGACGAGATAAGCATTGATCTGTGTATGATTGCAAGTCAGAATTGGGCACACCGATAGGTCGGCAACGCGAAGTCCTTGTACCCCGATCACTCTGAAATCCGTGTCTACAACGGCATCTGGATCACTGTCAGACCCCATCTTGCAGGTTCCCATACTGTGATAACCTTGACCGAGATTTTGGCGGATGAACGCCCGAATGGTGGTATCATCGTTGCCGCTCGGGGCATGCACGACCTCGCGAATGTACGACTTGTACGCATCAGCCTCGGAAATCTTCATGGCCAGCTTCACAGTTTCCAACGCAATTCTTTGGTCGTACGGATGCTCGAAGAAATGAGGGTTGATTTCTGGGGGATCCCTTGGGTCTGCTGACTTCAGGCACACTGTACCGCGTGAAAGGTTGTTTTGGAGAAGAAGCTCGTGATGCATGTAAACGGCTCCTGGATCTCCTGGGAAGGCCACCGGCCCCGATCCTAGCCAGATTTCGGCATTGGGCCGCGTGGGCTCCAGCATGAAAGATTTAGTGTCTTCGTCCAGGTCTTCGAATTCTGTACTTCGAAACAGCGCCTCGAGTTTGGGAAATGCTACAGTGCCACTGGTTCCGAAAACGTTATGCGGCCCTGTTTTGTCCCTGGCGTACTGCAGATCTGCTTCGGCAAGTAGTTCAGGGCTCTCAAAAATCTGGTTATGAGCGGCATTGTCATCATCCACCAAATATTCCAAGGTCAGAATGCTGTGGTCGAGCATGTTTCGGCCGACGTTTGGGTTGTTCACTATGCACCCTATGTCGAAGCTTTCGAGGTGCGGTCGGGGTCCAATTCCGGAAAGCATCAGGGTCTGGGGAGATCCGAAGGTTCCTTGACATAGGACCACCTCCCGGCGACAGAAAACGCGGGACTTGACCCCGCTGACCTGGTTGGATATCTCGACACCAATCGCTGTTGGCGGCGTGCCCTGACAAATGATTTTGTCGACCGCAGTACGGGTGAAGATTTCAAGATTTGAAAGTTGCCGTCGGGTGTCTTGATCGAGAAAGCGGTTGGCTGCGTATGATCTGACGCCGCCCGCGTTGTTGAACTGCGCAAGGCCGACGCCTACTGGGTTTCCCGAGTTGTTGTCTGGGCAGGTCTCGATCCCTACTTCGTGGCAAGCTCGGAAAAACATCTCGACTCCGGGTGTCATGACATCGCCAAATCCAATCCTGAGCGGTCCTCCCACGCCGTGGTTCGCCGAGTCTGGGCTTGCATACTGCTCGAAGCCCTCTGGTCGCTGTGGTTGAAAGTCTTCCAGTTCCTTCATTACTGGCAAGATGTTGTTCCATTCCCACGATTCATCGCCCGTTCGGCGAGCCCATTCATCATAGTCGACAGCTGGGCCTCGTGCGAGGGCCATATAGTTCACGGCTGACGTTCCACCGAGCTGCTTCCCCCTCAAGAACACGATTTCTCGATTGTTCAGCTCCTTTTGCGGCACACTGGGTATCTGCCATATTCCTCCGGTGTCTCCGCCATACAGCTGGTGCACGAACTTGCCAGGAATGAGTGCGTCTGGCGATTCGTCCACATCCCGGCCAGCCTCAATCAGTAGGACTGTGGCCTCGCCTTGAGACGCTATACGTGCAGCGATGAGGCAACCTGCCGTACCACCTCCACAAATTATGTAGTCAAAGAACGATATCTTGGATGGCTCTTCATCAGAGCCCGTTTCTGTCCTTGCCAACATGATTGCGCTCACTAGAGTTGCGGCAGGTTTCCAGATCTCCGATACTCTGCCACACTTTCAGGATCTAAGTATTTGACGTGAACAGTTCGCGCACGTGGTCAAGACCTAGCAAAGCAATGTCTCATTTGGATCTATAACAGCTTGCCTAACCTGGTATCTGTGCGGTTGGACTGTCTCCTTAGTTTGTGCCGCTTCGCGGGGATCCTCTGTTCTTAAACCTTTCCGGAATTGGGCAATATCGGCGCTGAAACCCACACTGGCCATGCGGAATCGTTACCAAGGCTATTTCAGGTGCGTCGATAAGAGCGTAAAGCTTGACCTATCTTGGGGTCAATATGAGGTGGACCCCATCTCTCGATCTGGATGCTCGCCAGGGTAGAGATGAGGCAAAGTGCTGCACCTGTCCTCGGGATGATGGTTGTTGACCTAGTCCGAGTCTCTGCTAGAAGTACCTCAGACAGTGCTATATACAGGTCGCTTATCTATAGGAATGCTCTCTCACACCAAGAACGTTATCTAATCTTCTGCTTCACTTGCATACCCGCCTACCTGCTAACTACGACAACAGCAACAACAACAGCAACCAAACCACAACCATGGGTCTGACCGCCGTTCCACCCGTCGAAGCCTTTGCCAATGGCACGCCTATGGAGGAAGTATTTGAAGCCTTGTACCGAGACGGCGCTGTACGCATCAAAGGCCTCCTCTCACAAGCTGCCATCGATGAGATCAACGCCGAGATCAAACCATATTTCGACGCCGACTTCAATTCTGGCCTAGATGTGTTTGCCAAAGAAACGAAAACCGTTTGCGGTCTCGCAGGCAAATCGCCCGCCGCAGTGCGAGCCATTCTTCAGCATCCCATGGTCAAAGCTGCCGTTGACGACGTACTCACCATCAAGACTGATTCCTGGTGGGGAGACTCGAGAAACTCCTGCACCAGCCCACCGCTCCTTTCGAGCTTCTTCACCGTGCGTGTCGGACCCGGCAGCGCGCGGCAAGGCCTTCACCGCGACGACCAGGACCACCACGCTACCCACACACACGGCGATCCGCGCGAAACCACGAAGCTCGGCTGCATTGTGGCCACTTCTAAAACCACGCGGGCGAACGGGGCCACTGAGATCGTACCAGGGTCGCATGTCTGGGATGACGAGCGCAAGCCCACGCCAGAAGAATGCACTTACGGAGAAATGGATCCCGGTGACTGCTTATTTGTGATGGGAAACTGTTACCATGCGGCTGGTGGCAACACCACAGTGGACGAGCGTCGGAGTGTGATCGTCGCCTTGTTCTGTAAAGGCGTGTACCGGGCTGAGGAGAACCAATTCCTCGCCGTGTCGAAGGAACAGGTTGCCAAGTACGATTACGACGTGCAGGATCTTCTTGGATGGAAGGCCAGCGCACCATTCTGCGGCTGGACTGACTTCCGCAACCCGTATGACCTGATCAGGAAGGACAATCTTGCGCAGCGGGATCTTTTCTAGATGAAGGCCACCATGTTTAGCTGCCAGCTGTGGCTGATGGGGTCTCTGTCATTGAAGAGACTTGATCACATTCAATACCGTATATCGTCAGCAGCAAGATCAGCCAGCCGATCACTCAAATAGGTTTGAAGCAAAATTGCTCCTATTGCCAATCTACGGATCATTCGTTACCATGAGGCGAAAGGTGTCGGTTGAATTCTGTTGACTGTATGCTCCAGCACCCACGCAATGACCGCCACTACCTGCGGACTGTGGCGGGCAGCCTCATCCCTGCCCTGTTCCTTCCTTGTGTCGCCACTGCCCCATGGCAAGGTAAGAGCTACACTGCAATACATAGTCCATAGCTCTCGGAGAGCCTTGCTCTCAGTAGTTAGACAATCAGCGATTGACAAGAGATCGCAGTGCCCTGCCACACGGACATTGTATTGTGCTGCACGAAACATCGCAGTATCTCATCCCGTTTTCGTGACACGACTACTGAAGGGTTTGGTCTGTACCAGGGCTTTCAGTTTGATTTCCTTCTCGTGGCGCTTCGATGGCTGGCCCAAAATCACGCGTCTTCCTTGTAAGCAGCCTGAACCTGGATTTCAATCAAACACTTTGGTGGGAACAGTGCTGCCACGCATATGGCCGCCCAAGCTGGTTTGCTGTTGCCCTTCCCGAAATACTTTCGCGCACTGGCTCCGATTTTCAGCTGTTCCTCCTGAGACACGACGCCCACATGGAACGAGGTCATGTTGAACACCCCGGCCCACAACTCCTCCGCCGTCAAATGCGGCGACGCGGCCGCCAGCGCGCGCTCGACATTGTGCATGGCAACTTCAAACTGCTGTGCATGACCTCCCTCAAACTGTGAGCCGTCGGCACCGTCGGGCGTGAAAGGTGAATATTCCGCAGACTCGCCTATCTGCCCACCCACGGCGACAATGCGGGCACCCTTCACCGGGAAAGAAGAGGAGCTGCTGCAGCTGAAGACTTCTGCGAGAGTTTCGGCTCCGGGATAGAAATGGCTCTTGACGAAAGACATGGTGAGAGGATACGGCTTTGGGGGAGAAAGAATGCAAGGCTTCGCGTTATCTTTATCGATATCACGGCATCCACGGTGGGTGGATGATGAGATTACAGAAGCGTCCTGGCGATAAGCAGTCAATATGTGCGGGACCGGGGATGCGCACCAGCAACTACTGTGTATCTCGAGGTCCGATGCCGTCGGTGGGTAGAGCTCCACTTGGACCCATCCCCGAATGAGGCCAATGTCCGGAACGAGGGCAGCACTAACCGAAAACCGGCAATATCTCAGACTCGTGGCCCAGTCCGTTTCCAGGATCCACGACGAGTGCCACAAGAGTGCTCTAGATTCCCTTGTTAGGATTGATTCACCTAGCTCCTGCCAAGCAACCAACATCTTCCTATCAGCTATCGGCTCTGCAAAGACATTCAAATGGACTTGCTTCAACGTCTCTTCGTCGGCCTGGGAGTATTCTTCCTCAGCAAAGTTCGTCCGAAATCACCCGGTGCTCATAATTATCCTATTTTCTGCGGTACTTGAGAACCTCCTCGCCAGCTCGAACACCGTGGTCTGCTGAGAAAAGCGAACTTACCGGAATATGAGTGAGAGTGCCGGTACCATGGACAAGGGCAAGTCGACCGTTGCCCCCGCGGACAGGTCAAGTATGGACGTTACAGGCCTGTCCGCCGACGAGATTCAACTGCGACTTCAAGGCCACGTGGGCGAATTGCCACGTCAGTTTGGAACCCTCGCAACCATCTCCCTGGCTTTCACCATCACCAACTCATGGATTGGCATCTCCGCCGTGTTCGTGACTCCGCTATTCGCCGGTGCCGGCCCCGCGATCTTCTGGGGTATATTGGTGGCTGCAGTAGCTTGCAGCTTCATCAATGCAGGGCTGGCCGAGCTTGCCTCAGCCTTTCCGTCGAGTGGAGGACAATACCAGTAAGCAATATGCACGGGCCGAACTCATGCATTTTCTCCGCGGTTTCTGACGGGCAAACACAGTTTCGCTTTCATGGTAGCTCCCCCCAGATATCGAGCGCCCATAGCTTTTATAGCAGGATGGTTGAGCGTGGTCGCCTGGTGGATGACAGCTGCGTCGGCCTGCATCTACTGTGCTCAAATATGCGTCAACCTGGCCTCCTTCTTCAACCCTGAGTATGTCTGGACGCAGTGGCAAGTCTACCTCGTCTACGTGGCGCTCACTTGTCTCGCCGTGGCTATTTTCGTTCTCCTTCCAACATTGATGCCCAAGACCGAGATTGTCTTTTTCGCTGCCAGTCTCGTGGGCTTCCTCGTCTTCTGCATCGCCGTCCTGGCCGCCTCCAAGACCAAACAATCTGGCCGCACAGTGTTTGTCGAATGGGTCAATCTTACGGGATGGAATGACGGGATTGCCTTCTTCCTCGGCGTGGGAAGTTGCATGTATGTCTTTTTGGGTACGTTTCCCGCGGCTCAATGCCAGCCAGCCCCGCTTTGCATGCACCGAATTCATAACTGACCAAGGACCTTTGGTCGTCAGCAACCGATGCGGCAACGCATATTGCAGAGGAGATGCCAAACCCTTCCAGGAACGTCCCACGAGCGATCGGAATGACCATGGTCATTGGAGCGAGTACCAGTCTGGTGTGGGCCGTCGCATTTTTGTTCTCGACCAACGACCTTGACGAGGTCGCCGGGTCGTATCTCCCGATCCTGACGGTCTTCTATCAAGCACTCCACAATCAAGGAGGAGCGGCGTTTCTAGCCGTCTGGCTCCTGGTCGTGTATTATGGCGCGACCATCTCCTGCTTCCTCACCGCCGGACGACTGACGTGGGCCTTTGCTCGTGACAACGGCCTCCCGTTTTCCCGCTTCTTTGCCAAAGTCCATCCAACGCTGCAGGTGCCTGTCAACGCCTCGCTCCTCACCATGGTATTCTGCATTCTCTATGGACTCATCTACATTGGCTCAACCACGGCGTTCAACAGCTTCATCTCTCTCTCGATCCTGGGGTTGAATATCACATATGCTATCCCGCAAGCGATTGTTTTGGTCCGCGGACGAGCGAACGTGCTACCAGCCCGGCCATTCAACCTGGGTCCCCTGCTCGGACCATTCTGCAACCTGTTTTCTGTGGTCTGGACCCTGTTCTACACCGTCCTATTCAGCTTTCCTGTGTTCTTGCCCGTGACGGCCCAGAACATGAACTACGTCAGCGTTGTTCTTGTTGGGGTCTCGTTGATCACGCTGGCTCTCTGGTGGGGTGGAAAACGGAAGACTTTCACAGGACCGTCCATTCAGATCGATGGGCTGGAGGTCCTGAGTGCCGCGGCCACGGGTTCTCTAGCGACTGGGCCCTCTCAAGCGGGGGTGCTGGCAACATCGAAGGAAGAAGCGTCGGCTGCTGCGTGAACTGCCGTCCTCAAGCAGCTATACCCACCTGCCTATCTATTCCCGGCATGTACAATAATATATATGACCCCTCGGTCAGGGGAGCCTCATCACGTCAAGGTTGCCACACGATCCCCCGCAGGTAATTTACATCTCTGCGCTGTTGCAGTACCGAGGAGATCAAGAATATCTCCGATGCGCATCTCATGACGTTGCCCGCGATGATGACTTCTCCCAAGGGTTGTAGAACTGCCGCGCGGCTTGCCCTCGATTGGGACGAGGGTGATGCCGCCCTATTGCTACCCCCGGCGCATGCGAGTCATGGGGAAGTCCTGTCACGTGACTTCACTAGTCCTGACTGGAATTGGTGGCAGCGACCACTTCTTCGAGTCTTCCAGACTGCCGCCCCTCTACCTTCTCTCTTAGTTTCTTACCTGTACGGAGTACTCATCAACGAAATGAAGGCATTGCAGCCCATTGCTGTCCACGCGAGGCTCTGCCTGCTTGCTAGCTAGATGTACAAGCTGGGCATGGTCATGACAGATTAATGGGGTGCTTGACAGCATGATCCAGGACATTGACATTTCTAGCACTCACGCGCCCATGAGGCAGCTGACCCAGTTTAAAACACCAATTTGCTGTTGCTCCTGCTCCTCTGCCGAGATGTGGAAAGGTCTTGATTCATCTTGCCGCTTGCGGAGAACCCATTTCAGAATCTCGATGTGATATCTGATATGTATCAGCGTCCTAATATCGACTGGGAACTTCATTAGTGTCTTCATCGAGACTTTCGATGGCGCCGGACGCCCGAACGGTACTTGCAGATCTTGTTCAGGTCATCCAAGCCTATGCGCGTCGTCTCGGGCACCAAGAAAAAGACGGCAGCCCAGCATACCAGATCCAGGCCGGCGAAACGTGCGAGCAGACCGGTGGGCGTCAACCCGTATGCCAGGATGGGCGCAGTAAGGGCTAAAATCCCTGCGCCCAGTAAATTCCAGAAGACCTGTCAAACCCTGAGCAAAGCTTGATTACTGGGGTTAGAGTGTCAGGATACTTACCGCGAAGCTCATGCCGACTTCGCGGTTCACGAGCGGAAATACCTCGCTGGATATGATGAAAGCAACCGGTCCCTCACCAGCGGAGTATGCCTATTCGGTCAGACGTCATCGGAGTGATCGGGTCAGGAAGGAATGCCGTACTAATGTGAATAGAAGGACAAAGAAACGATCAGGCCGACGCGGGTGTCTCCATCTGGTATTAAGAAGCAAAGACCAGCTGCAAGCAAGGTCCAAGACATGTTGGGAAATGAGAGGTTCAAGAGGAACCGACGCCCCTGTTGTGATCTCAGCACTATTACCATGATGTTGACGAGCCGGGTAAAATACCTTGCTGTCGATGTTGATTAGTGCAAACACGGTGCAGAGGAAATTTGCCAGTCCAAAGCCGAAACTCATCCACAGTGCCTTCTTTTGAACTCCCTCGTTCGTTACCAGATCGTCACTGAGACTCGTATCACTGCTGCCAGTCGAGGGATCTTGGCGGCCGCCAAGTAGTGCATCATTGAAGATTGTGGAAGAAAGGAATTCAAGTATGTTCACCTATTGGTTGTCAGTGTCATATCCCTTTAACCTAGTCAGATATCATGGCTGAGGTGCCTTGGACAGGAATGTATACGAGGGAAAAACCATGGAGTCAATGACACTTTCACCGCACGCCTGTGGAGCAATCATAACGACAAACGCAGCTACCCCTGCTCTTCGGATGCGCGCGACTTTGAACATTGCAGGAATCGTGTCCGATAGCTTGTCGGTGAGACTTCATTCTGGTAGGTATCGTGCGCAGCGATAGCGTTGTTGGCAGGCTGAAGTGGCATAGCTCGATTATGCTGGCCTCTTGAGATGTAAGTTGTCTCGTGCTGAGTCTGGACATTGGTGAAGTACAGGTCGCGACAAGCCAGGATTGGCGTTGGAGACCCATGCAGTCTCATCCAGGCCAGGTGGGCTGCTTGATATCGACCCTTCTTCAGTAGCCATCTCGGCAACTCGGTACAAACCGGAATGAGTAGCAGCATAAGACGAGCTAGAATGAACGGCGCTGCAACCATCCGCCTCCATTTGTCGAAGCCATCGGCATGGTGGGGACCTCGAAGTGCGCGACAAGGCGGGCAAAAACGCCTTGATTCATGCACTGGAGAACGATGAGGACCCTTACCCCGTGGTGAAGAAGCTTTTGAAACTGGGTGCGGACACAGAGAGCACCTACAAGGCTCTGTCTGCACTACATTACGCCATCTATCTCGATAAACCGACCATGGTGGGCCTTCTACCCGGTGAAGGTGCCACAATGAAAGCCGTAGTCCAGACCGGCGAAAGGACAAGAACGGAGCCTGGGGAGCTCGGCTTAAAGGGAACGACCACGCTGATCTACGCGGTCCTGAGGACGAACGCATCACCAACGCCTGCCATTCGGCGTTCAGAGTCCTCGCTCGAGCGCCATGATGCGATCATCTCTGCCCTTTGTGAAAGTCTGCAGCAGGAGCAGAAGGACGCGTCAGATTCAGACGGCTTGACTGCGCTGCACCATGCCGTGCGCATGAAGAAGCTTGAGGCAGTCAACCCACTGCTAGACCAGGGCGCGAGCCCCAATGTGAAGGACAGAGAGGGTACCACGCCCCTGCACTACGCGGCCACCAGGAAGCTGAAGAAGTTTGTGAAACTCATTTCGACAGTCTCAACAACCGAGATCAACTTGACAGATAACGCCGGACGGACGCCTCTACATGTGGCAGTCAGGTGGAGTGGATTTGAGATAGTAGAGCTGCTGCTAGCCCACGGCGCCGGGTTTGACTCCAACGCATCGCTTGGTCAAGGTCTCCGTCCGCCAGACATAAATCCGGATACGAAGAAGCTGCTGGATAGCACTGAGTCTTCTCGGCACGGCAGAACGGATTCGATAAGCCAGTCTCATCATCGCGGTCAGGACGCAGCTTTTCGTGGAGTACGATTCGCTCCCACCGCTCCCGGTAATCGAATGTGCTGGTCTGGGACTTGATGTGTTCGCAGGTGCTCCAGCTTGGAGAAAGTCCGTTTAGAATGACCGCATCTCTCCCATGTGGTTTGTAAAGAGTCTCTCATTTTCCAAGATGTTATCCAGCGGATAGGTGACAACGATTCCTTTGGCTGGTCTACAACATGTAGCGGGAGCCCTAAACACTACGGACGAGTCACCTTGAGCCATCTTTTAGCTCAGTGGGTTATGCTTCGGGTTCAATCGAAGCACCGGTGATGGCGGAAAACAAACGCTGGATCCGCTGAGGCAAGGACGCCTAAAGTCACGCGAGGGGGCAGCCGACTACTGTACGACTGTGTAGCTGGTCAGCGATCGACTCGACGCCCATAATGCGCGGAGCTTGTGGGGGATTCATGTCTCGGTCAGTCCGGGCTGTGGTGGCTTCTCCGCCTTGTGGAATTACTCCTTCTATCGTCTTCGAAGCATGTCTAGTTACAGGTTCAGCTCCAGCAGCCTTTCACCCTGCCACCATGTTCAGGATTTCCAGCACCTGATCCTCTTCCGTGATTGGAAAGGCGTTTGTCTTGATCCAAAGATCGTGCAAGCTGTTGACCGCGAGCAGACCGAACTTGTCTCTGCCAACGTTGACGGCCCGGAGGGACCGGGGCATGCCAAGTTCCCCAATCACAATGTCGAGGATATCGCCCAGATCCAGGTCGTTCGCCTCGCGACCTCTGGCTTTGATCGCGGCTTGGACAGGTTCTAGTCCTAACAACAGCTCTCGAACCATAGCTTGCCTGGCATTGTTGGCTCCCTTGGCGGCGTTGAACTTGCAAACCGCTGGTAACAGGATACAGCTCGTCTCGCCGTGTCCAACTCCCAGAGGTCCCAGTTGGTGTCCTATTGCATGGCTTGCACCCAATGGCGTCCCTGTAGAAACAGCCTGCATTGCCTGGACCACTCCAAGCTGGCAGAGGTACCGGCCCTCCGAGTCGTCTGGATTGGCTTTTGATCTGAGCAGTCCGCGCACCAGCATATCCAGTCCACGGCTGGCGGCAGCATCTCCTTCGGGTGTACTCTGCAGACTGCACACTGTCTCGACGCAATGGTCGACTGATCTGATTCCAGTGCTCAGCCATACCCATTGCGGAGTAGTTTTGACCAGTTCCGGGTCAAGAATAACCAGTTCCGGGTCGACGCCAGGCTCAAATGTCCTTTTCGCCCGTGTGGTCAAGGTCTCCGTCGCGCCGGCAATGGCTTGGTATTCTCCTCCGGACAGTGACGTTGGGATGCATATCATCGGGATTGTTGGTTTTATAATGTGCTCACGACGGGTGGGGTTGTGCGAGTGGCCACCCCACAAGGTGCTTATTGCCTTCTCATCCCACGCCGAGTTTGCAATCGCAAACCTGACCAGTTTGGCGGCATCAGTGATGCTCCCTGCCCCCAGCGTGACGAGGCAATCAACATCAAGTTTCCTTACATCGTCGATGACTTCAACGACTTCGGAAATGGGTGTATGCGGGCTTATGCCAATGTGACACCCAGCCACACGGTCGCCCAAGGCTCCTTTCAGCTTCTCTAAGCTGTCCGTCTGCTTCGATAAAGACCTTGATGCCAAGATAAAGATGCGTGCAGCCTTGAAGGTATGCTCGACGTGTTTAGCGCATGCTTCTTCAAAGGGCAGCCCAGAACTGAATCTCGGAGTCGGCTTCTTGTCAAAGGCAGGTCGGCACTGCTCTTGTCCCCGGGTATAGCTCATTTCTCCTTTTCGAGTTTCGACGTCAAGGATGAAGCATCGATGTCTGGAAAGACTTCTGAAATATTCCTCCTCGACCGAAAGGCAAAGAGGCCAATTGACAAGATAGGTGTTGTTCCTTTTTGGCCACTGACAGGTTTCCAGACATGTGGATTACACAGTAATGAGGGGTTACAAGGGATGCTTCGATAAACCCACCTACCTTCCCCAAACGGCAGTTACTTGCGTCGCTGGCAAGATCCCGAGATATCCCCATGTCAACATCGTTACTTCCCCACATCGAATTGCTTGTTGATCGACCCCTCTTGGCAAGGCTCGACTCCTTCCCCCAGTCATGCTGGGATCGTCTTCTTATACCAGCCTTGTGAAGTCCTCTGCGGGTTCTACAGCATGGCGTTGCCTGCAAGACTGCTAGGGAGGCTTGCCACCAAATCACCGAACGATATCGTCCTGCTATCTGCTGTACGAAGTCCAATTACAAGGTCGTTTAAGGGCGGTTTCAAGGATGCTTGGCCTGAAGATATTCTCATGCCGGTACGACCATTTGACTGCTTTGCGACGAAACTCTGATACGGAGATAGGTGATGAGGGCCGCCGTGACGCGTGCCGGCATTGAACCTGGGGATGTCCAAGATGTGCTCATCGGAAATGTTCTGGCCGAGCTTGGATTTGCGAAAACGGGCCGAATGGCCTTGAATCATGCAGGGTTTCCAGTCACCACCACGTTTCACACTGTCAACAGGCAATGCTCGAGCAGCTTGCAGGCTATTACCCATATTTCGCACGCCATTCTAGCCGGACAGATCGACGTTGGGCTCGCAGGCGGTGTTGAAAGCATGACACGAAACTACGGAAGTCGAGGTGTTCCCATCGATGTGTCTCCTTCGCTCAAGGACTCCAATGTCAAAAGCGCGAAGGACTGCCTCATGCCAATGGGGATGACCTCCGAGAACGTGGCTACCAGATGCAGTATATCCCGAGAAGACCAGGACGAATTCGCCCTCCTGAGCCATACACGAGCCCTGGAAGCCCAGCGGTCCGGTAAATTCTCCTCGGAAATCGTCGCCGTCGAATGGAGAAGAACCGACGACGTTACAGGCGCAAATACGACGCTAAAGGTTGAAGCGGATGACACCATCAGACCTGGCGTTACTCTCGAGAAACTGGCAAAGCTCAAACCCGCCTTCGGTGACGACGGGAGAAGCACGGCCGGAAATTCGTGGGTCTTTCAATCGGTCGCCTGTTTGACTTTGAGCTTACACACCCCTCAGGTCACAAATATCGGATGGCGCCTCATCCTGCATTCTTGCCCGCCGATCATGGGCAGAAGAAAGAGGCATCGAACCGATAGGACGCTTCCTCGGCACAACGGTCGCGGGGTGCGAACCCGATGAAATGGGCCTTGGTCCTATCCATGCAATTCCTGCACTCTACAAGTATACCGGGATCTCGCAGAAGGACGTCGATATTTTCGAGCTCAACGAGGCTTTTGCCAGCCAGACTCTTGCTTGCCTTCGGGCGCTGGGCATCGATGTCGAAAAGGTAAATCCAAGGGGTGGCGCCATTGCCTTGGGTCATCCAACTGGGGCCACTGGAGCACGTCAGACAGCCACACTGTTTGCCCAGCTCGAACAAGAGGAAAAGGAATTCGGGATTGTGAGCATGTGTGCCAGGTGAGAACGTCCGAAAAGACGATGTTTCCGAAGCTGAAGCTGACTATGCTTCAGTACGGGTCATGGAGTTGCGACACTATTTCAGAGGGAGTAAGATGGCAACACTCTTGATCCAACCGATCCACTGCATCATCTTGACCGGAAGCGAAGAGACAGGGAGAGACACGAAAGTCAAAATGCTCCACGCTAGAGAAGTGCGAATGTGGCATTGTGTGCCGTCCGTAAAACATGGGTCCCACATATTGAGCGCGGCGTCGCCACGTCCAGGTCATGAAAGAGCACTCTGAAAGGCGTGGAGTCACTACGAGGCGGATTGCGAAAGACGGTTTTCTTTTTGGGCGCAGTCGCGTGCGGACGCAAGGACCATGCTAGATGATTGTCAAGCTATAGAAAGGACGTTTATTCTATTTGGTGTCATAAATGCATAATGCGCTTTACTGTAGGGTTCCGCGAACTGTACTGATTGTAACTAACGACACGTTTGTGCTGCCGCTACATACCCGTGACTCCCTAACCTCCTTTTGGGAAAGGTCAATAGTTACTCGATTAGGACCACGATCGTGTCAAGTCTAGCTTAATCTGGCAGCTCCTCGTTGTAGCAAGATCTTCGAAAACATGGGAGTCTCTTTCAACTGTTGCATCCCAGGCGCGTTCTGCCTCTGTCCATTTTGTGTGCGCTTCCCAGACGTTCCAAATTGACATCGACCAGCATGACTGCACTGAGACTGCACCGGCATCTCAGGCTCAATGCTTCCAAGGCGTGGCAGGCGCGGCACGCGCTGGCCAAACCCCGAAGACACATGTCCGGCGTGAGTGCCATCGACTCTCGGGTGTTTCGAAATCTCTTTGGGGCGGAGCAGATCCGGAAGGTAAGTTACTACAACCACAAGTCAACAACACGTTGTCCCACGAACGATCTAACTTGACTCTGTCCGGCCTCCAGGTCTTCAGCGACATAGCCTATCTGGAAAGATGCGTCGAGGTCGAAATCGCCCTCGCGAAGGCCCAAGCAAGGGCGAATGTCATCCCGCAGGACGCGGCAGACCAGATCGCGAACAAGGCAGTGGCGTCGTCGCTCGACCTGGCGCGGCTCAGCGACGAGACCGAGATTGTGGGGTACCCGATCCTTCCCCTGGTGCGGCAACTCGCTGCCATGTGTGGGGACTACGCGGGCAAGTACCTCCACTGGGGTGCCACGACGCAGGATATCATGGACACGGCATCGATACTGCAGATCCAATCGGGCTTGGCCATCGTCGAAGGCAAACTCGGCGAGGTGATCAAGGCCACGGAGGGTCTCGCGGAAAAGTACAAAGCCACGCCGATGGCCGGGCGGACACACCTGCAGCACGCGCTTCCCGTGACGTTCGGGTATAAATGCGCGGTTTGGCTTTCTAGCCTCTACCGACACCGGGAGAGGCTCGAACAGCTGCGGTCCCGCGCACTGATGGTACAGTATGGTGGTGCGGCCGGGACTCTGGCTTCGTTGGGAGCCGGAGAAGCAGGAGTGGTTGTTCGAAAGGAACTCGCCAACGAGCTGGGTCTGGTAGACCCCCCTATCTCATGGCACGTCGCACGAGATGGTGTCGCCGAGACGCTCAATCTGCTTGCGTTGGTGGGTGGGAGTATTGGCAAAATCGCCCTCGATCTCATGATCATGTGCTCGAACGAATTCGCAGAAGTCGCGGAACCGTTCGTGCCTCACCGAGGGGCATCATCTACCATGCCACAGAAGCGGAACCCCATCTCCAGCGAGTTGATGCTGGCTGCCTCCAAGGTCTTGAGATCGAATGCGAGCTTGGGCCTGGACGCGATGGTCTCGGACTTTGAGCGCGCTTCTGGGCCTTGGCACCTCGAATGGGTGGCCATCCCCGAAAGCTTTACCGTGGCGGTTGGGGCTCTGCACCAGGCGGCATTCGCCCTTTCTGGCCTCGTGGTCGATGAGAAGCAGATGTTGGCAAACCTGAACTCTACGGGCGGTCTCATAGTAGGGGAGGCCGTCATGATGGGCCTGGCGCCACATGTAGGCCGCCAGAAGGCTCACGACACGGTATACAAGGCATGTCAGGAAGCCGTAGAGAACAAGACTTCCTTGCTTGAGGCTTTGTCCCAGAGCAAGGATATTGTTGATGCATTGGGCATGGACGAGCTGGAGAAACTGTGCGACCCAGTCAATTACCTAGGATCCTCGACTCGTATGGTCGATGATGTCCTTGCGCTGAGAAGGTAGAACCACATCACCTACCTAAAGTCATTCCACAGTTCGTTGCAGGTCCGTAATCACAGCTTGCAGGTAATTATCTAGATAGACAGCGATGTTGCATCCAAGTTGACAGTACTGTAGTAGTCTATATACCCATCTAGGTCTGACCTGAAGGAACCTAAACTTGTCAACGATAGGTGTTTCATGCCTCGCCCAAGGCTTAGACTGCCCAATCAAATAGGTCCCCCCTCGTTTGGCCGCTTCATGGTGGCCCCGATAGCTAGAATGTTTTCAGATCATCGGCAACGGTGAACGCAGCGGCTGTCTTGCTTTTGACCTCCTCTACGGTGGTTCCTTCAGCCAGCTCAATCAACACCAGCCCGCCCAGTCGGACGTCGAATACCGCAAGGTCGGTAATGATTCGAGACACGCATCGCTTTCCGGTCAGGGGGAATGTGCAGACTGTGCATCCGCCACGTCAGTGTCATCGCCCTGCATACCCTCAGAAGGGATTGGGACTGGAACTCACCGGGAAGGATCTTGGGATTTCCTTGCTTGTCCACATGGTCCTAATGATCGAGGTGAGTCCTTGAAATCACACGTCTCGAGAAAGCCACGTACCATGAGAGCCACGACTTTGGTCTCCTGTGGGTTCGCCACTAGATCCATCGCGCCACCGATTCCTTTCACCTTTCCTGGTAGCATGAAGTTTGCGAGATCTGTGTCGATTTAGTTCACGTTGCAATTCAACCTTGCGTTTCTGACTCTGAGCTTACCTCCGTTCGCGCTGACCTGCAGCGCTCCGAGCATGGTCAAGTTGATTTTTCCAGCCCTGATCATGCCAAAGCTTTCATGGCTCCCGAAGACGGAGGCCCCGGGGTTCAGCGTGACGGTTTCTTTGCCTGGGTTGATGAGATCCGGGTCCTCGGCGCCAGGATCCGGGTATCTGCCCATTCCCAACATGCCATTTTCCGATTGAAGAATGACTTCGACGCCTTCGGGCACAAAGTCGGGGGCCAGCAATGGCATCCCAATGCCGAGATTGACGTACATGCCATCCTTGAGCTCCTGGGCTGCTCGCTTCACGATGCGCTCCCTCCGAGCCGACGCCCCAGCCACTGACCCGTTAGTTTCCGTCGAATGATTACACAACGCAGGTCACCTACCTTGTCTCAACTTCTCCTCCGGGCTCTTCGCGAACGTCCGCTTCTCGATTTCCTTGGGCACCGTCGCTTTGATGACCCTGTCGACATAGATTCCTTGCAGGTGAATGTCCTCTGGAGCAATTTCTCCGGCCTCGACGAGATGGTCCGCCTCCACTATCGTCAACTTTGCATTCTTCCCCATGACCTCGTTGAAGTTGTTCTGGGCTTTGCGAAATCGGCAGTTCCCCATGCGATCGGCCTTGTCGACCCTGATTAGCGCAACGTCTCCGAAAATCGATTCTTCCAACAGATACTGCTTGCCCCTGAAACTTCGTGTCTCGCGAGGATTGGACATGAGATCAATGGAGCCGTCGCCCTTGTATCTCACTGGGAGCTCTCCTGTCTGCACTGTAACAGATCAAACGTAAGCCCTGTTCCTGCTTCCGAAGAGGTGTCATCAGGTTTCTCTCTTACCTATACTCCCATACGCGGCTGGCGTGTAGAATGCAGGCACCCCAGCCGCGCCGGCTGCACATCTCTCCGCCATTGTTCCTTGCGGGGTGAGCTCCAAAGAGAGCTCGCCAGACAAGTACATGGACTCGAACTTCTTGTTTTCTCCGATATACGAGGCGATCATCTTGCCGATCTGCTTCGTGTCTAGTAGTTGACCTGCGTGCCTGCATGTATTAGTGCGTTCTAATTGCCCACCCGATGCGATCTTGCTGACCGAGCCCTATTCCCGGCATTCCAGCGTTGTTGGACACTACCGTGAGATCCTTGATTTCTGGCTGGTCGCGAAGCGCGTTGATCAGTGTCATCGGTACGCCGGATAGTCCAAACCCGCCAACGAGGACAGTGTCGCCGCTTCGAATATCCGCAACGGCTTTTGATGGCGAATCGAAGAACTTGTTGATTCGAAGTCGGACATGGCTGCTGGAAAATGAGCGACGTTGAGGAAGAATGAATGGTACTGGGTTTCTTATGCTTCGATGACAATGTAGGAATATCTGCAATTTCGACATCGTGGCTCAACGCAGAAATTTGGTGTCCAAGTAGAAATCCGAAGACTACAACATCATAAAGATGGTCCAGCTTCTACACCGATTTCTCATGCAGCAGGGGAGCTGCGCTTCTGTTAGCTGTCGCTAGACCATTTTCCCACCTGGATCTGGGTAGGCACCTGCAGTGGTTAGGTGTCGGTCCGGGACCAGAGTGCCCCACCCGCAATCCTCTTTAGGCACCACTGATACCTGGCAAATCCGGGGGTAAATCGGGGTTGCAGGTCGCTCATGCAAGCAACACCTCCCTAATTTCCAGATTCGACGATGAACCCACATCGAACCCTGCGCCAGCAAGGTCGTATCTTTAGATACACTATGACAAGCTTCTCATTCTTCTTTCCGATCGATCTTAGGCCGGCTGCAGCTGGCAAATCTCCCCTGGAGAGGAATTGTCCAGCATGGTTCCTGGCACGGTGGCTAGCAGACAGCTCTCACGGTTGACCTCCAGGGCGAGTTTTGCACCTTCCAGAAGGCTGGGAACTTTGTCCGCTGAGAAACTTCTCCCCCTGCATGGAATCAAAGTCGTAGATCTCACGAGGGTTTTAGCCGGGGTCAGTGGTTTGCTGTTGTCATTTGCTGTTCCTTTGTTGACACAAGTTCTCAGCCCTATTGCACCCAAATCCTGGGAGACCTTGGGTGAGTATATGCAATGCACCTGATCTGCTCTCTGTAATACTGATTTCCCCATCGCGCCGATATCACCAAAGTCGAACATCCCGTGCGCGGCGATGACACGCGGCAATGGGGTCCGCCGTACGCCCCTTACCTCGATGGAAGGAGCGGCCCCGGAGAGAGTGCATATTACCTCTCGGTAGGGGACAAGACCAGTCTCTGTGGCGACTGAGCTGACATGCAACCCAAGGTCAATCGCAACAAGAAGTCTTTGGGTGTGTCATTCCAGCATCCAGAGGGTGCTGAGATCATTCGCGAGCTGGCAAAAGACGCCGACGTGTTTGTGGAGAACTTTTTGGCCGGGACATTGAAGAAATATGGATTGGACTTCGCGACTCTGCAGAAGACGAACCCACGCCTGATATACGCCAGCATCACCGGCTACGGTCAGTACGGGCCATACAGTGACCGGGCTGGATATGACGTGATGGTGGAAGCGTGAGTTTTGGCCTTGCTCTTGCTCTTTATACAGCCAGCAAAGGCTGACTTTAATGTCAGAGAGATGGGATTGATGCACATCACCGGTACGAGAGATGGACCACCAGTTAAAGTCGGCTGTGCAGTCACGGATTTGACCACGGGCATGTACGCTTGCAACAGCATCATGGCGGCGCTTCTCGAGCGACACAACTCGAACCAAGGTCAACATCTGGACGTGTGTCTGAGCGATTGTCAGGTCGCCACGTTATCGAATATGGCTGAAGCCGTCCTGATATCGAGAAAGAGGGATAGTGGCAGATGGGGTACCGCACATCGTATGATCGGCCTTTCAGTTGCCATCTCTTTCTTCCCTTCAACTGACTTTGGTTTTAGCTTCTGTAGTACCGTATCGAGCCTTCCGGACATCCGACGGGGATGTTCTCTTCGGAGGCGGCAACGATCGACTCTTCGGAATCTTATGCGCAGGGCTAGGCAAGCAGGAATGGGCCAATGATGAGCGGTTCGCCACAAATGCTGCGCGAGTTGCAAACCGAGGCGTCTTGGAACCAGCCATTGAGAAGATCACGACGCAGAAAACGACGCAAGAGTGGTTGGATATCTTCGAAGGCACTGGTCTTCCGTACGCCAAAGTCAATGATTTGATGGACACGCTCAATCACACACATGGTGAGTGTCTCTTCCCACTTGCAGAATTCCAGCTCACCGTCACTCCCAGTCCGAGCGCGAAATATGGTTGTTTCGGTAGATCACCCGAGCTGCGGTGAGATGGAGCTGGTCAATACGCCGATCAAATATTCGCGATCTAAACCTTCGATACGAACACCGCCACCCCTACTTGGACAGCACACGGATGAGATACTCACTGCAAGACTGGGCTTTGACTCTCAAAAGATCCATGAGTTGAGAGCCCAAGGTGCAGTTGGGTGAGGACATGTGGAGACGCTTGCTTGCGTCGGTCGGGAATAGAGATAGAATTCCGGAGCATGGCGTAATCGTTCTAGACGGAACCCGTGACACCAGTCGTGCAACTCAAGATGTGTACAAAATAGGTTACGCATGGTTTGCATAAGACTCACCACCAATGCACGATACGGTCAAAGAAATCCGTAGCTGCGCGTGGGGCCATACCCTGTTTATGGAGCAACCATAGACCCACGACGCCGCAGACACGTGTTGCTAGACCGTCTCCCCACATTGAGCTTGACTCACTCAAGCAATCAGCTCAAGAGATTCGCAGCAATATCGGCCTTTGGATTCGGGCTACGCCAGAGTATCCTTGTACCGCAAGGACCTCAAGAGCAGAGGCTAGTGCCAAGGACCACTCTACCGTGCGTGAGAGTGATGGAACTCCGGCCTAGGTCGAATGCTGCCTCAATCTTGAGCGTGATACAGAGAGCGTTGCAAGAGCCATGGCTCAGAAAAGAAACGTGACTTTTGCGCAGGAGTTCGCCGCCGGTGAGTGAGAGGAAGAGCAAAAGCGTAGATCTCCACTAAGAACTGTTTGGATGTCAGGAGCCGGAGCGGGCGTCTCAGAGGTATGTGGTGATGCCCTTGTTGCACGGATGTCAGGGACTTTGCTGACTGAAAGTGCGCCCCTGGTTCTCAGATCCTGATCATGTTTGAAGCATTGTGTTTGGCCATGAGAAACAAGACTGTTGACATACCTCCTTAGGTATCCTCTGGACGTCGTCAAGACGAGGCTGTACGTACATTGCTGGGATGACGAAGTGAACTTCTGGGATAGACACGTATCTGATTCCTCAAAAGGCAGCTCCAGCAATCGAGGAGTTCCTCGACAGACTCCTACCGCGGAGTGGTGGATTGCTTCTCCAAGATCATCAGACATGAAGGGTATTTGCCCATCGCACATCCAGTGCCCAGAGTAGATCGCCAACGACATGGCAGATTCGGATGCTTGTATCGTGGTATCGCCGTTCCAATCCCAATGGAAACGCCCAAAAGGTCTGGCTCTCATCTTATGCTCCGTACAATCACACGTTGGTTGCGCAAGAACGCTGACCGACCGTGCACTGCACTGTCATCTCCAGAGCTGTCAAATTCTCCTCCAACGATATCTTCACCAGACAGTACCTGAGATGGCTTGGCGTCCATGAGGTGGATCAGACGGTAGCCCTCCTCTCTGGTTTCAGTGCTGGTGCGATGGAAGCAGTCGTCGTCACGCCCTTCGAGCTTGTCAAGGACGATTACAGGACCCATCTGCCGCGAGTCGATACAAGTCCGTGACGCAGTGTCTGGCTCAGATTGTGAAGAGCGAGGGGCTGTTCGTCCTATACCGCGGCTTTGAGGTGACGTTGTGGCGCCACGCGGTCTGGAACGCCGGGTACTTTGGCAGCATATTCAAAGTCAAGGCGGCACTACCGACCCCGACAACTGACCGGGAACACGCAATGACGAACTTCTTCACCGGCTCACTCGGAGGGAGTTTGGGCACGGTGCTCAATACACCACTTGACGTGGTCAAGACGAGGATCCAGGCAGCGACGAGAGCGAAAGGTGTGACGGCCAAGTATAATTGGGCGTTTCCGGCTTTGATCACCGTGACACGAGAGGAAGGCATTCGCGGTCTGTACAAAGGTCTTACTGCGAAACTGCTTCGGTTCTGTCCCGGGGGAGGGATTTTGCTTGTCGCGCACAGCCAGATCTTGAAGTTTTCTGAGGCGTCCAATAATGCAAAGCTGGCGGAGCAGGAATTGTAGCTCGTATGCATTCTACGCAGGACTCGCTCGAGACGAGTTGTTTCATGTTCGAGGTTGCTCGAGGACTTCTCGATGTCGACCTGATGGTTAGTCTTGGGCGTCACGGCTGCCGATGCAGTGAAAGTTGACGCGCTGGCTTCGAAAGCTCAACAACCAGCCTCCCTCGCGAGGGTATGGCAAGCCATAGTTGATGCTCTTGCCCAGATTGGTATCTGGGGAATGTCTGTGTCCTTCTCCGGACGAGGCCCTTTGCCAGAATGTTGGAATCTGTTCTAGCTGCCCCACCACGTACGCACGTTGATGTAGAGGCTCCGACCAGGACATCACATTGACAGCATACGGACAAGCGAGTCAAAGGTTGTGGTAACCACGTTGCACTACTCTTGAGAAGTTTCCGAAAGGGACCGCCAGCCACATAGCCGTTTTCGCGGAAGCAGTCGGCTATATGGGTCGACGAAACAAGGCTGCATCAACGACCGCGCCCCGGGTTCGGCGCCCTTGATGGCCAGAACGATCCAATAGCGAACAAGGTCGGTCGGGAACGAGGTTGCGTGACGGACTCATTCACCAAGGCGCGTGAAGGATAAATGACCATAAGAGAAGAGGCTTTCGAGCTCAGCACAGAGGGAAAGCCCCCTTTTCTTGATAAGAGGTAACGTTCGACATGGTGGAAAGGAAGGTTGAAGAGATGGGATTGCAATCCTCTGGGAGAGCCACAAAACAGGAAAAAGTCCAACCGCCAATACGGGATATTAGTCTGATGCAAACGCAGAAGTCATTGTCGAGCAGGGCAAGGTAGGCACGTAGATTTGGGAGTCGGTACGTGGGTACCTATGCAAAAGTGAGCCGAGGGTGAGTAGAAGGTGAGCGATGTTTTAAAGCGGCGCAGTGCGGGGGCGCGTTCATTGTGGGATCTGGGTTGGATCTACTCGTACCTAAGAGAATCCAACTTACATAAGGCGACAAGGCTGCAGACTCTCAAACGAGGCTGGATGCTTTATTCCTTCCGCCAATCACGCCGATCTGAGAACGGGAGTCATAAACTTCTGCGGCCGGCCACTTACTCCACAACTTATTGAAAACCCTCTTCCACCACCAGCTTCTACTGCTGAGAACCAGCAAACATGGCGGTCGACTTCTCAGCCGAAGAGGCCAGGACACTCAAACGCTGGCGAGAAATCGACGCCTTTCAGACCCAACTGCGTCTGTCTAAAGGAAACAAGCCGTACACCTTCTACGATGGCCCCCCGTTTGCGACCGGCCTCCCCCACTATGGTCATTTGCTGGCTTCCACCATAAAAGACATCATTCCGAGATATTGGTCGATGAAGGGCTTTTACGTCGAGAGAAGATTCGGCTGGGACACGCATGGCCTGCCAATTGAGTACGAGATCGACAAGAAATTCAACATCTCTGGCCCCGCGGCCGTCAAAGAGATGGGAATTGCTAAATACAATGCCGAATGCAAGGCTATTGTCATGAGATACGCGACAGAGTGGAGAGAGACAATTGATCGGCTAGGCCGGTGGATTGATTTCGACAACGACTACAAGACCATGAATCCCACCTTCATGGAGTCGGTGTGGTGGGCGTTCAAGCAGTTATTTGACCAGGGCCAAGTCTATCGCAGCTACAGGGTCATGCCCTTTTCGACAGCGCTGAGCACACCCCTCAGTCAGCATGAAGCTCAATCCAATTACAAGGATGCGCAAGACCCGGCAGTCGTGGTTGCATTTCCACTTGTGGAGGATCAGCACACCAGCCTGTTGGCATGGACAACGACACCGTGGACCCTGCCTTCGAACATTGGCTTGGCTGTCAATCCCGACTTTGAGTACATCAAGTTCCTCGACCAAGAGTCTGGCCGCCAATTTATCATGCTGGAGTCATTGTTACGGACACTCTACAAGGATCCCAAGAAGGCGAAGTTCAAGATCCTGCAGAAACTGAAGGGCTCCGACCTCAAGGGCAAGCAATACCTGCCACCTTTCGACTACTTCTACGATCAGTATAAAGACCGTGCCTTCAGAATTTTGAATGCCTCCTATGTAACAGCAGATGACGGAACTGGCATTGTTCACCAAGCACCAGCATTCGGCGAGGAGGATTTCCGCGTAGCTATGGAGAATGGGATCATCAGCCACGACTATCTTCCCCCCAATCCTGTGGACGACACGGGAAGATTCACCAAAGAAGTGACTGACTTTGCCGGTCAGCATGTTAAGGAAGCAGACAAGCATATCATCAAGCATTTGAAGGGCACTGGCCGGGTGATACGAGATAGCCAGATAACCCATCAATATCCGTTCTGCTGGCGGTCGGATACGCCTCTCATTTATCGCGCAGTGTCAGGCTGGTTCGTCAACATCGCCGGTAATGACAAAGTGCCGAGTATCATCCCAGATATGCTCGACGGCATTGCGAAATCACACTGGGTTCCCAACTTCGTCAAGGAAAAGCGGTTTGCTGACTGGATCAAGAATGCTCGTGATTGGAACATCTCGAGAAATCGGTACTGGGGTACTCCAATCCCGCTATGGGCGAATGAAGACTACTCCGAAGTCATTGCCATTGGAAGCATAGATGAGTTGAAGAAACTCAGTGGCTACGAAGGCGAAATCAATGATCTTCATCGTGACAAGGTTGACGACATCACCATCCCGAGCCAGAAAGGTAATGGGACCTTGCGAAGGGTGGAGGAAGTATTCGACTGCTGGTTCGAGTCGGGATCCATGCCCTACGCCTCAGCACATTACCCTTTCGAGAACTCCGACTATTTCGAGAACACATTCCCAGGTGACTTCATTGCCGAGGGGCTTGATCAAACTCGCGGTTGGTTTTATACGCTCGTTGTTTTGGGTATCCAACTCAAGAAAATGCTGCCGTTCAAGAACTGCGTCGTCAACGGCATCGTGCTAGCTGAGGACGGCAAGAAGATGTCCAAACGTCTCAAGAACTATCCCGATCCTACCACTGTCATCGACAAGTACGGAGCTGATGCTCTGCGACTGTACATGATAAATTCACCTGTTGTACGCGCTGAACCACTGAGATTCAAAGAGTCTGGAGTCAAGGAAATTGTGGCTAAGGTCTTGCTACCACTATGGAACAGCTACAAGTTCTTTGAAGGTCAAGTCGAGCTCCTGAAGAAGGTCGAGAGTATCGACTACGTATTTGATCCCAGAGCGGAAACAACTAACACAAACGTCATGGACAAATGGATACTGGCCAGCACTCAGTCATTGTTGAAATACATCAACGAAGAGATGGCAGCCTATCGATTGTACACCGTTGTTCCGGGCTTGCTCAACTTGATTGATGAGACCACAAACTGGTACATTCGGTTCAACCGAAAGAGACTGAAGGGTGAGCTAGGTGTAGATGACACCCTGCACGCGCTTAACACGCTCTTCGACGTCCTGTATACTCTTGTCCGAGGACTAGCACCTTTCACGCCTTTTATCGCGGACCTCATCTACTCCAAACTCCTCCCCTTCATCCCGAAATCACTGTATGGGGAAGACATGCGAAGTGTACACTTCCTACCATTCCCCGAAGTCCGGCAAGAACTCTTTGACCCTGTCATTGAGAGGAGAGTCGGCCGCATGCAGAAAGTCATCGAACTAGCCCGGCAGTCTCGCGAGCGAAGAACCATTGGGCTCAAGACACCTCTGATGACTCTGGTCGTCATCCACAAAGATCAGCAATATCTAGACGACGTGAAGTCTCTGGAAGGCTACATCACCGAAGAACTAAACGTGCGCGACCTCGTCCTGTCCTCTGACGAGGAGAAGTACAACGTCCAATACAGTGTAACGGCAGACTGGCCTGTACTCGGCAAGAAACTGAAGAAGGACATGCAAAAGGTCAAGAAAGCGCTGCCGGACGTGACGAGCGATGGTTGCAAGACATATCTCTCTGAAGGCAAGCTTCAGGTGGCGGGTATCGAACTGGTCGAGGGCGACCTCGTGGTGAGACGCAGCCTCAAAGAGTCCGAAACCTCCAAAGACCAAGAGACCAACACGGATAATGATGTTCTTACGATCCTCGACGTGGCTATCCATCCCCAACTCGCTCAAGAAGGTCTTGCCCGAGAAATCATCAACCGCGTTCAACAGCTTCGTAAGAAAGCAAACCTCAAGCCGACCGATGACGTCAAGATGGAATACAAGGTTCAGGACGATCCCGATCAGGTTGGTCTAGAGGAGGTGTTTGAAACTCAGGCAAGTTATATCGAAAAGGCATTGAGACGACCGGTCGATAAGCATGTCGTCACCGAGATGGATGGGGTGATTGCGAACGGCGAAAAGAAGGAGGAGGACATCATTGTGGAGGAGGTGCAAGAAGTGAATAAGGCGACATTCTTGTTGAGATTGTTGAAGCTTTAGAGCCTCGAGCATTATACCACGAACACCACCAAAGACAGTACATAAAAGAAGATATGACCGCAGACGAGATCCAGATGGCTCTTAAGGCTGATGTGTTCGTAGGTGCCAACAAAGGCCAGGCCAGAACAGGGAACATAAATACAGGAAGTCCCTGTCACGACTTCTTCGCATGTCTCTGTGATAGAAGGAGGATTAGCTAGATGCAAACGAAGAGTACGTAGAATGAATTGTGACGAAGCCAGATATATCCCCCCACCAAAATGAATTGGAGTCCCCAGCCATTGCCCTTTAGCACGCGTCGCCTTCCCCCTGCCCTGAAGCTCTACTGCCAATAGTAGACAACGTGGAGTGTGTTCCGCAGGATGAATTGAAGCACCACGAATAGGACGAGACCAAGCCAAGTCAAATGCACCTTCACTCACAAGATAACAATCCTTCAACCTCATAAACTCCTTGGCGCACATGTCCTGGTATGTAGATTGGTAGTCTTTCAGTATACATTGCCCGTAAGCGGTGGCCTATTCGCAGAAAGAAAGACCGTCAGCATGGGATATCGCCATCGCTATCGCCATACGCGAAACGATCCAGGTACGTACCTCGATCGAGCACTTTGCCGCAGCAGCGGCGAACCTCTCGATTGGCCTGGTGTGGCCTGAGAGGGTGGGCATTTTTGGGCTGAACCGGGTTCCTGCCGTTGTAAAGGGTCGGGATAGGGGTGAATGAAAGAGCTTGTCACATCAGAGGTCACATCGTCGGGATTGAATTGTACTGTGTGCTAGAACGGGTCGATATGGATGGTGACGCCGAATGTTGACGCCGATGATTTTGGCCATAGTGCGTCATGGTGGATTAGTGCGTGGCCGTAATTGCTTGGGCGGAGCGCAGACTAGTGGTATGCTTTTGATTTCTTGGAGCTTGGAGCACCTGTTACGGTGGCTCAAAGAGTCGAGAAGAGCACATTGAATGTCACAGTGTAGCCGCATGACGTAGATAAACGTCATCGGCTAACCTTCACCTGAGAGCATTTCGTGAAAACGGCAGCGACGGGAATGACAATTTACGTGTCAGATGCATTTCAGATAGACAGAGTGACAGGGAGCAAAAAACAAAGTGACGAAAGGTATTCTCGCATTCACCACGTTTACCATTTGATTTCCTTCGATTGTGACCTCAGTTCGTGGCTACCCCACCACCACCGCAGCCTCTTCAATCGTGGTAAATCTTCAAACTCCCTGGCCTGTACCTTACCGAACCCAGACCTGCCGTTACGCTCATTGTCTTCTCACCAACACCTCGACGTTCTTGTTGCAGTGTTCCATCGCCTAATTTGACACATACACAGTACGTCGTTCCTTCTCATTCTCATTCCTCCTCCGAGCACCAGCACGGCTCACCCACACATCACCCCTCCAGCCACGAAGCCCAGATAACTCACTTCGGCACATCAGACCCGACATACCACGACAAAATGACCAACCCAAACACGACCAACTCAGCCAACCTGAACAACGCAAGCAATCTCCAAGCCACCGCGCCGCCAGGTCAAGAAGCCACGCCTGACAAGAGCTTTGGTGCCGCGCCTTCGTCGACCAGCGCTGGGGATAACAAAACCTCCTATACTTCATCAGACCCCACCACGCACCCGGACGCCAAACCCACCAGCAAAATCGCCGGAGATCTCAAGGGGATGGCCCAGGGGGTAGCCGGATCCGTGCAAGCCGCGGTGGGCACCACATTCGGGCAGAAAGGCATGGCGGACAAGGGGTTCGAGAAGATGTCCGAGGAAGACGCACGGTTAGCTGCCAAGTCTGGAGTACCGCCCGTGGGGACAGAGCAGCGGGACAAGGTTCTTTGAACCCAGCCCGGGCGAGGCGGCGGGGTCGAAAGGGGAAGAGGGTGTAATCTAATTACCTTAGACCTTCGCTAGTCGTAAGGGAATGAGAGGCTGAGTTAGGAGGAGATAGACTCGACGAGCCGTCAAGGGGACGTGAGGACAAGACACAGCAGCCAGCGAGAACATGAGAGCCGCAAAAGGGGAGCATGGTCATCTCTAATGATCAAGCCCACACGACCTGTTTTAGGGCGAGACTCTACAGCTCCTTTTTCCTCACACCAGCACTAAGCGTTATCGACGAACCTCATTACGAGTACCCTGAATCAAAGTCACTCGTCTCGACGACTTTCTACACTTCAGCCCACATATTGTTGTTGCAACTGTGCCTCACGTCGCCTTTTCCTACAGATACCCACAGGTACCCAAGCCAAGAATAACCGACCCTACTTGAGGGTCATTTGTACATTGCTCATTTATCGTTGTTCCTTGTCCAATGTTCCGTATCCGGTGTTCGATATTTGGTATCCGGTGCCCAGGTGATGGTAATGGTGTTTTATTACAGCTACACACCGTCATGACCACACCATCACCCGCACCAAGGAACTATCCGTGATCGTGGGACATCTCATGCATACTCTTGTCTTGCCTGACGCATGAAGTAAGCCAGATACAGTACACACACTATCTACTATCTTGCCCGGCTGACGAAGTAAGCTACAGTACACGACGCATCATAGTCATCTATCTTCTGTCGTCAAGAGAGCATGCTCTTCGTGTAGCCTCCATCAAGGAACGTCGCATAATGCTGTTAAGCAGTGTGAAATCAGTGGTCAAGTCAGGGGCATGAATAAGCCCTGATGTGAAATCATTTGCTTTTCATGCAGACTTATCGTATCGCAGCGATCATGCTATGGCGCGTGTGCTCTGCTAGCCCAAGTTCACAGCACATGAAAGGGCCGCGACAAGAGGAAAAATGAAACGCACACACTCATGCATGCTATGCACACGACCAGCTCATGCAGAAGGAAATGTAACAACTTTTCCCGCCTGCCCCTGCTCTGCGTTTTGTTTGCGGGGTATTATGAACAAGTTTCTATCTCGCAGCTCTGCGAGACTGACGGTGTGAGCTGATTTTCAACGCGGCTTTCACTCGCCATTTTAACACAATCTTAGCCGCCATCCCTTCATTCCTCGAAGAAGAATCCATCATCACCCGTCCTTTGGACCCCACTCATTCTGTGCTCCTTCGTTCTAGAGCGTGAGAGATAATTGTCATCGACTCGGTCATCATACTCGCTGTCTCTCCCGCCAAAGCGTTCTTCCATTGTACTCTCGTCGACGAAGGTGAAGCCCTGGAAGGCATTCTGCATGGTGGGAGATAATGGTGTTGACTCGGCCGTTGCACCTGCAGCTAGAGCGGCTGCTCGAGCGTTGAGAGAAGACGATGTGTTGAGAGCATTGGTGAACTCCGGGTCGAAGTTGGATGTGTCGGCAACTCCTGTTAACTTCGGCTTGAAGGGAGGTACCAAGTTCTTCTTGCCCAGGGCGTCCCAGTCAACGTCGGCGAAGAATGGATGTGCCATCAACTCCTCGGCGTCTCCGTTCGCACCAAGTCGGTGTCTCGGATTGCGGTTGAGTAGGCCTTTGACGAAGTTCCGACCCTCGGTGCTCAGAGCATCTCTAGGGAACCGCACCCTGCCGAATGCAATGTTCTTATACATTTGCTGGGTGTCTTCAGCATAGAATGGGCTCCAGCCACAACACATCTCAAAGACCAGGACGCCCAGGGACCAGAAATCAACCATTTTGGTGTACCCTTGCTCATCGAGCAACACTTCGGGAGCAAGATACTCGGTCGTTCCGCAGAAAGTGTTTGTGGTGTCGTCTTGGGTCAAATTGGCCTTTGACAGTCCGAAATCGCACAGCGCAATGTGTCCATTGGCGTCGAGTAGGATGTTCTCTGGTTTGAGATCCCGGTAGACAATGTCAGATTGGTGAAGATGTTTCAGGGCTAGAATGAGTTCCGCGATATAGAACTTTGCGCGGTCCTCCTTGAAACGACCTTCTTTCTGCAAATGCCAGAACAGCTCTCCTCCCGACATGAAGTCAGTTACCAAATAGAGGTCCGAAGGAGTCTGAAATGAGAATTTGAGACCGACAATAAACGGCGACTCAGTCGTGGCTGTCCGAACCAGTATATTCCGTTCTCCGATGGTATGCTGGATTTCTTTCTTTTGGATGATGACTTTTTTTGATAGCACTTTCATGGCATAGATCCGTCCAGTGTCCTTCTTCCTAACCTGATAGACTTGACCAAAGGTTCCCTTCCCAATAAGTTTGAGGATTTGGAAGTCATTAGGCCCGAAGTGCTTCTTTTCCACTTTCTGGAAGTGCATTCGAATGTGAATCTCGCCCGAGATGTCTTGGTCCTCGGCACTACGAGGTTCGAGCCTGAAAAATCCTTCTAGCGTGGGATTTTGTTCTGTGAGCTTCAGACATAGCCGAACATGGCCCAAAAATGATTCTGTTTGGCGATCATAAACTGTGACATCAAGTTCTGACTGGTCGCTGACAACGTCGCTAGAAACGGGTCAGTATCAAGGACAACGAACGCCAATAGCCTAGTAGTGACTTACAACATGGCCTCGTGATCCCACTGAGGATCAGCGACTTTGCTCAGTCCCCGCTCCTCTCCGTTACCATTCGTACTACTCTGGCGACTCTTCATAGGGATCGCTACCGGTTTACCCATGTCACTGTCAGTCCGCCGAATTGGAACTGATGACAACTGTGAAACAGCTCCCTTTCGATCGTCCTCGTCGACATCCATCTTGTCATGTCTTGCTCCCTTGGAAACATACTCATTCCACTCAAATTGACACACCACATATGGATCATATGATGGCTTGAGATTGCGTCCTTCGGCAATCTTGATACTCAATTTTCCTCGTGGTGTGCTGCCTTTGGGTAGTTGATCTTTGAGCGGGCGCTTCTGCTCGATCTGGGTATTCCTGTCACTGCTAGCTGTGCTTGTGCTGGACAGAGGGGACCGAGTATCGGCCCGTCGGTAATCTTCTTGAGATAGGGCTCTGGGCGTGTGAGGAGGAGTACTCTTTTCACGCAGCGCAGAGGCCACGTTTGAAGTTAGCTCATCTGACTCTCTCAACTTTTCAGACGACGGAGGCTTAGCATGACTTGGAGAAGGGGACCTGGGACTCTGTGTTCTCGAGGAATGAGTAGACGACGCAGGGTTTGAAATGTGCGCCGCGGGAACTGTGCTTCTCGTAACACTTGAGACGGGTAGAGACTGGTGGCGGCGATCCTTGACGCTAGATGTGGATTTGGGAAGCACAAAGTTTCGCAAAGCCTGCGTGATGGATGCCAGACCGCCGTCTAACACGGACCCGCCATTTTCCGCAGCCTCGCCGTCTCTGTTAACGATTGAAGCAGCGGATGAGACAGGTGTGGGTGGCATTCGGAGAGGGTCGGCTTCAGGCATGAGTCGTAGAGACTCTGGGCGCGACTCTTCCGGTGGTGGTGTTGGAACTGAGAGCTGTTCCCGCTCCACCATCACCATCGAGCCCATAGAGGCGGTGGACACCCTCCTGCTCTTGCCCTTCCCTCCCTCCTCTTTCTGAGATGAAGATGCATTTTGTTCACTTGCTTGATGCTCAGGGAGTGTGCCAGCTGGAGATGACCATGACGGTGCAATCTGAGAAGGATCTCTACCCACCTGGCCAAAGTAGCTGTGCATAATACCTGGGAGCCGCTTGTCGTGGAGATCAGGCCGCGGTGTCTCCACACCGGAAGGTGTCGGTGAATTCGATCCAACGAGGTCGTGAAAGTCATTGTGTCGATGTTCGTGTCTCGCACTGCTGCTTGGTGGGTTAGCAACGGCCTTTAATGGTCCACGCTTGCAGACAAAGCATTGCCTGAAGATTGTACATGGCACTGCCTTCCTCAATTCGTCCACATTTTGCTGACCCCGCGATGCTCCTCTATCTTGGACAACGGAGAGCTGGCCCACCGCGGCTCAGCGACCCTCTGAGATCCGACACAGGTCAAAAGCTCAAAATGTCTAGAAGTACAACGGCACAACTCTTTTCCCAACTTCTAAGAACCGCGGCTGGGGAAGATCAAACCCCATTATGCACGGAGACAGTCATACATAGGTTTTCTCACAACACGAAGCTGGTATGTCCTAAAGAAAACATCGGTACGTACTTTTGTGCCATGGCTTGTCTTAACAGATCTGCAGCTGCATTTGGGTTTGTGTTGAGGCCGGCCTGCGCCATGTTGGCCGCTTCACTAATGGATTCCTTTCTCTTTCAAGGACTGACAACTTTTGTCCGTGAGGTTGTCGATCAAGTGTCGCTCGCACTCACCCGGTGGAGGGAGGGGAGCTGGTTCCTGAGTTTCCCGGGCGCAGGCTCAAATGCAAATGACGGAAGTCCTGCAGAAGTTGGAGAAATTCGGGATCTCGGTCGGCAAGGATTGCAGGTCCTTCTTCCGAGCCCTCTCCAGGTCCTGAGGTCGAACAACAGCAATCAACCGCACAGGCAGTGGAGATGAGGATTGAAATGGGAACTTGTCTGGTGAAGTGTCGCGTTTCCGAAGCGCGGTGTGGTAACGACAGCGAGCTCGACAAGGGGCGGGCACTGGTGATATAATCGGGCTGCAGGCGAGGGACAAAAATTGTCACTTGGAGAATTCGGCGGGCCCAGGCCAGGAGTGTTAAGGGTTGCAAGGGTACGAGGTATGTGTGTATGTGGCTCGCCAGTGAGTGGGAGAGGAGATGGCAATGAGTGGGAGAAGTGGTGGGATGCGGGAAGTGGATTGAGGATGGCAAAATTTGAGGTAGCAGCGAGTGAGAATAAAAGCTAAAATAACAGGGGACCTTGGGGTGTAGAGATGCCTGAATAAATGCTATGGCTGCCGCCCGGTCTCATATCTTCGAGCAATAAGAAGAAATCAAACAGAATTCGGGGTGTTATGTGAATGCAACAAGCTGAACCGCTGCTCCGAAAAAGAGGGTTATTGGCGGGCAAGTCCCAAGTCTCAAAGTCTCGGGCTCCTCCCAGCAGCAGCCCAATCGCCCCCTTCGAATTTATGATATATCAATTCATTCGATGATCGGTGAGGTCCTTTGGAGTGGGATTTTGCATCGGGCGGACACAAGCCAGAATCATGTCATTCATAATGCCGGGTAGTGCGACAGGACAAGGCTCCTCTCACTTCCTCAGCCGGGCTGTGCTGGAACAGGGTACCTATGATCTTCCGCTCATAAAGACAGCTTACGACTCGGCTCAGCGATCGTAGGCAACAGTGAAGGCGAATTGGCCTCCTACCGGTATGCATCTCTCACACAACATGGTCTTACACAGTAGGTACTTCATCTGCCGAATGCTTTTGGAAGTGTTGGCGAAACCGGCTTTGAGGAACAGTATCGACGTCATTCAATCGCTCATTGAGGTGCCATGCTGAACCCTACTGGTATGCCCACTGAGCCAACAAAAGTCGTAAACATTGGGTCATTCGAAGCCCTTTCCTTCGGCGATTGTGCCTCTCTACATTTGGCTCATGGTCTCACCCGTGACGAACTTCGAGCGAGGCTCATACGAGGTACGGTACCCGAAGTATCATAGCCGCGTTTTGCATGTGCGCTGTGTTTGACAGTCGGCGATCCCCTCGCTCTGATTCGGTCATGTGCGCTTTCTCCGGAGTTCTGTTGGACATGATCGAATCCCAGCATATGCAACTTCGTTAGCTTTGCTATGTCGTCTGCCCTGCCCTGCAAAGCATATTGCCGACCGTATAGCACTGGCAGAGGCAAAGGTGTCGGTAAGGGATTTCAAGGCAACCCTAATGCGGTTATCCTGCACACTGACGGGCCGTCGTACATCTTGGTGCTCGATCCCATGATTTTTCCATGTGCTGACACCCCACCCAGACAAAGAAAATTCTGAATATGACAGCGATAGCGTACGAGTAGGTGTTCTGATAAACACTCTCTATCGTCGAGAGGAGGAAAGAGTTCGGGCTCTTGACAGTCAGGCCTCTGAGAGCGTCGTTGGTTCAGCGTAGGGAGGCTGTTGTGCGAGAAGCCGCATTATTTGCTTCACGGGTGAGAATCAGTACTTGGTGTAGATATCTTCTAAGCTGTGCTGGACTTTCTATTCTGAGCTTTGGTTTGGGTCCTGTGCATACGGTCAGCTGTTGTAGAACACGACACGGAAGCCTTTGGCCATCTGTTGCGTAACTCGACAAACGATCGATGCGGATGGGCCCCTTCGAGTGGTAGGGCTGAAAGATTGCTTAGACCGTTGTCAAGGGCCTGTCCAACACGAAAGTCCACGCCCTGATTTAAGAATTGTTCAATTCGAACCTAATGTAACACTCCTAGACACGGCACTTGAACCCCGATGTTGGCAGTAAATTCACTCGAAGCAGACAATCGCTTGATGTTGGCGACGTCAACTGCCTCAGAAGGGCGGTCGCATAGTTGCGCTTTAGATCTACTGTGTTACCGTAGCTGCACTTGACTGCGCTGTGACTCACCCCTTACCACCACGGAGTTCGGTTCGATGCGCATGGCGCGTCCTGCCAGTTTGTTGCACTCACGGCGTTGAAGGTCGGGGCAGCATCGCTCTACATTACAAGAAGATTGTTGGCGCCTGGCAGCACAATGACCCGGCGTCCACGCTTGGCAGCACAGGCTGCGCAAGCTTCGATGCGTAAGTCAAAATTATCTTTCCAATGGACAAGTATTGACCCTTTTAAGGGACTCCAGTTCCAAACATATCCGACAACGAAGACGAAGAGATGCCGGATGCCACACCTCTTGACGCAGCTACACCGAAAGAGGAAGAAGAGGAAGCAGAGAACGAGGACGAGGAGAACAACGATGCGGAAGAAGCTCCCACTCCATCACGAGGGTCGGAGCCACCATCCCGTTCTGCCACTCCACGGCGCGGTCGACCTTCCGTCCGGCGAGGACGTAGAGGTGGCAGGTTAGGCAGGCCACCGAAAGACCGCGTCGCACCTGCATCTGACGATGGAGACAATGATGCTGCCTCTGAAGCTGCCACTCCCAAGCGAAGAGGTGGCACCCGCGGCCACAGAGGTGGGAGGTGGGCCAAGTACAGAGCAGGAGGCTCGCGACCGCAACAGGCTCCTCTTGACGACGATGGGAACCCAATGGAGATTGTCAACGATGAAGTCCTGCTGCCTGAAGACCCCGAAGGCGAAGAGAAGGTTGACAAGAATGGCCGGCTGTTGGAAGGAAGAGAGTATCGCGTGCGGACCTTCACCATACTGGGCAGAGACGACAGACTATACATGCTTTCCACGGAACCTGCCCGTTGTATTGGCTTTCGCGACTCGTACCTTTTCTTTCAGAAGCACAAGCATCTCTATAAAATCATCATCGACGACGAAGAGAAGCGAGATCTCATTGAGCGAGATCTGATACCCCACTCCTACAAGGGACGGGCTATTGGTGTGGTGACTGCTCGGTCTGTTTTTCGCGAATTTGGGGCTAAGATCGTTATTGGCGGGAAGAAAGTGACGGATGACTATCAAACACAGGCAGCACGGGCAAAAGGCGACGTGGAAGGAGAACTTGCCGTTCCCGAAGATCGTCTTCCCGCTCCAGGAGAGCCATACAATCGCAATCAATATGTGGCATGGCATGGAGCAAGTGCTGTCTATCACACCAACGCACCCAGTGTACCTCTCCCGCTTGCAAAAGTGCAGGATGCGAAGAGACGAAAGATCGTGGTTACAAGCGATAACTGGATGCTGGAACACGCAAGAGAAGCCAGTCGCTTCAACTCACAACTGGCTGCAGCTCGACTGGACAATCGCGATGGCGCATACGAGATTCACACCAATGTCATGCAGTACCCGGCTCATATGCAACCAACACATGCACGATGGGAGGTCATTGTTGATCAAGCAGAGGCCGAAGATGTCGACAAAGAAGAAAGGCTACCTCGCTTAGACCCGGTCTATGGACGAAATTTCAGAATCCATGATCTCTGCCTGGAGTCAAGACCGGAATCCTGGTTTGTAACTGCAGGCCCAGGCACGGATAACGCTGCTCTATCGTCAATTCCGTCAAGCATCCTGGAAGAACTCCCAGCCGAGTGCCTTCGCGCATTTGAGGCTGCCAAGGCACGCGAATTCGAATGGCGGGCAAAGTGGCATACAGAACAACAAGATGGTCTTCGAGCCCGGCTGCTTCCCTCGTTCGAATGGTTCCCCAAATGAGGTTGTATACTTAATGCCGCATGGGCATTCGTCCTGGCAGTACACCCTTTACTAAAACCGCCAAGCCAGTCTGACCTTCGCGAGCTTTCAACCCCGGGACTTGTGGTATAGCTCTCGATCGTATATGATTCGGCATCGATCGTTCAGGCTGTCTACTCCATACCCTTTAGTGTGTACAACATCACATCTATACTGTGGTGTCCTGGGGATCCGAAGGCCTGCGAATGGCGTCCAACATTGCTCACTGAGTTGTGGACGGGCGACCACCATGCCAAGGGGAACCAGAACCTAATGTGGAGCGGACTTCGACACTCTTAGTCGACTGCCCCCCTACACAGTACGGCAGCCCAGCTTGTTGTGTGCTTGAAGTGTACCCGGTAGGCAGAGCCAAAAACTCAAGACCGGTGTAACTCGGGATGCATCAGGAGAGGACAAATGGCTGCATGGTATGCAAGAATCATCAGTTTCGTGATTGGAGGGTGAACAGGACCCATAGCGATGAGATGCTCATCTGGAAACCAATCAAGACGGAAATGAAAGCGGTCTATGGCGACTGCACAAATGGCCGCAGAGCGCTGCTACTCCTCGCACTGTGGTACACAAATTTTCGTGCCGCGACAAACTGTCAGAGCCGGGCACACTCGGCACAACACGGAAAAATGCAGGGAGACGGAACAAGCTGTACCGACTCTTGTGATTAGTCCTTGAGAAAAGGTGTTTGTTCAGCTTTGGAGGTCCTGTCAATGATTCCTTTAGCCCTTGGCCCGTGGGTCAAAAGGTCCATTAACGGACTTGGCACTTGTTCAACGCCTTCGGCTGCTAGATGGTGCTGCTTGCCCAAGGCATAGAAGACACCACGTGAGGGGCGAACGCGCGATGATGTCGTCGTCCGTAAGACCCGTAGTTATCCGAAAGGGAAACTTATGAGAACTTGCAGCATCTGTGATAGAGTACCCGGATGGAGTTGCGGTCTCTGAGCACGGTCTTCCCCGGACGGGCTGGGTCCCTTAATATCAGCGGACGTTTAGCTTAACACGCCTCCATCGCTAATGACACGGGACCCAGTGATGAGAGTAGGAATCAAATAAAGCCCCCACCACTGGCGAGCAGTACGCTTGCAAAGTTTGCCTTTGGAAAGGAGCCTTAAGCAGGGAATGGATGTGCCAGACAAGCCGCGGCGGCAAATGATCGGACAAGAATATGGGCAAAATCCTGTCTCGTGCAGATTCCACGGTGATGGACCCGTTCCATGGTTGTGGCTTTCTGCCCACCCGGATCTGCTTAACTGGGCCTCCGGATGGTAGAGTGACGAACGCTCTATGACGGCGACTGGCACAGGGTTCAAGAATCAGAACCCTAGATGCACAACAAGAGCCAATTGAATCGTACAGAGTAGCACCAATCCAAGTGGCGAGCGGCAAGCAAGGCGAAAAGGTTGGAGAATCACGTTCACAGTACTCGGACTGTGGGCGGAGAAGAGTCGGTGCACACGTTCCCTCGTACTATGCAAACCTCGCTGCTGCCTAAGGTATTGCTAGCGCTCCAATACTCGTATACACTATCCCCAAAGGACACCGTTGCCGTCCCAGGACGCAAACGCCTTTCATTGCAGGCGGGCTCGGTACAAAGGTCTCATCACCAGTCGATCGGAGCCGCGGCTTCTAAAGAAGAAAAAAATGCACGCACTGTGTAGAGTGGAACCGGGCGCGTGTGAAACTCCATTAAAGACACTGAGGCTGGAGAACGCTGATGTCGTGAATGCGAATCTGTCGCAACGATCTGCATGGGCGGCGAGAGGCGCAGAAGCGCCAGCATCAAGTACATCATCCTGCGCAACGTCTGAGCCTGACCCCAACATCGAGGGGCCAAGGCGGTGTTCGGGCGGACTCACCGGAGACAAATGGTACATAGAACCAATAACGGTTGGCTGGGAAGACCTTCAGCGTTGCAGCAACGAAAGGTTTGGGCTCGAGGCCTGACCGAGCACCTTCACCGGCATACTCCAGAGAATAATCGGCTCGATCCCAGTCCTGTGAGCCTACTGACACCACACCACTTACTGGGTATGCCGCCGTCCATTACTAATAGCCCGAGTAACTTTAGCTGCTCGCCCTGTGCTGCAGGGCCGCAGTTTTGCAGCTAAGAGACCGTCACCACAGCCCTTTGCCCGCTGGAGCCGAACAAGGGCTGAGGGACTTCTTCCACTATCAGAGAGAAACCCACACAAACAATGCGAGCACACTCTTGATTCGAAATTTCTATCCTCATCGCCTCCCACCAAGTGTCAGCCCACATCTGCAAACGCTGCAAGTGCACACCCTGCCAGCCTGTTCCGCCGTCATGCATATGGTTAAGTATTTGGGCACTCGTTGACTGGATCAAAATACCCTCTGAGCCAGACTCACCCACTCATAGAGTGGCTTTTCAGCCATCGCGCTGGTTGCTGCAGCTAGCGTCTTCCATATGGCGAATGGAGGCCCTTGTTGAGCCGTGCAAATGACCCAATTATCCGACTAACCCTTCCTCTAGAGCCATCGCTCCCGACTTGTCCCTGCTCCTCTTCGTCGCAGCAAGCCATCTGTTCATCGCTGGGCCGCACTTGGCCTCAACCAGCACGGGTCCAGCGAACCTAAGCCGTGTTCGGGGCTGCGTTGCCCATCGCTCTCCCCTCCGGCTCGCCCCCTTCATCATCCAGTCGTCCCAGTCCACTCACAAGACTCACACATCCGTCTCGGTGTGCACGTCGCTGCCACTCAGGCTCTCTTCACTTCTCCCCTTCCCCCCCTTCTGTTGGCTGCGGTCACTTCTCAACTTCATCTTTCTCTCACTTTCACCTCTCCCCATCCAAAAGCCCTCCCTCTCTCCTATCTCTCCTCTAGAATCCTCTCGCCGGGAACGAAAAACTCGACGTTCTAAAACCCACCGTTGAGTTGATTGTCCGTTGGCGCAGCCACCGTTGCTATTCTCGGCCGCCCGAAAGGATTTTCCACCCAGCCCTTTGCGTTGGTAATTTCGGACCCGGGCCCACGTTACTGCCTCAGAGTGCACCCTAGCTGAGGACTCCTTGCGGTCGGCTTGATTGCCACAATTTCCCACCGCACCACTGTCGCCAGGCTACCGATATTTGGCCCTGCTTCGCCATACCGACCACATCGATTGATGCCTCCGGTCGCCCAGGCACCGCTCAATCCATCTCATTTGTGACTTGGTGGCCAGATTGGAAAGTGCTCTTTTTCGGACGAAGCATCACGCAAGAGCGTGTCACGAGTCCAGTCAGAGCCTTTGTCTTGCCTGCCTGCACTCCTGTCCACGTTGTGCTAGTGGCTGTGTGTCGCCAAATTCGGGGTGCACCCGTCCGTCCACGCTGAAATTCAACACAACACCTCTCGTTGCCTACGCTTCCTCCCCAATAACAAACGCAAACCGGTTCTGTGTCAAGGCAGCAGGGTTTGACAGTTCTGTTCGAGGAGCCATAGCGCCTCGAGGTGTCACCGTTGGGTATGTTCATCCCCGCCCTCAAAATTCTTTGCCCAAACAGGTCGCACCTACCTTTCTTCAGATCATCCTGCCATCTTCGTTGCGCAAACATCATTCTGACTCGGTCGCGTCTGCAGGTTTCTTACAAGACAAAATCTCTCTCTCACCACCGGCTTACACATACGCAACAACCTGCATATCCACTTCTGACGAGCTTTTCACTAAGACTTGTCCCAAAACTCTTAATCCAAATCACTTGCGAGACCGCTATTTACAACTCTCTCGCTGTCAAGACACCCGTTAACGCCTACATCTCGGTCTGCCATCCAGCCCTCGTCACCTCTAATAACACTATCCGTTTGTGGGAACTTGTTCGACCGTCACGTTTGACCAGGAGAACACCTTTGTTTCCATCCATGCTCTGCTTGTGAGTCGCGGTCTAGACAAGAGCTTCAAGCTTCGGCTATAACGCCTCGGGCGTTGCCGCGCAGCTAGCGGAGGCAGACGGTGAGCAAAGAGGTGCCTCAATAAGATACCTGCTTCTAATCACAACCAGAGCTTCGGCTGTCTGCTTCGCTCGACTCTATTCAACCGAGCATGCCTTCCTATCAGAGCTGGGGCGCAGCCGCCCATCACTCGAGACTCCCTCCGACGCCTCCAGAGTACCAGACTGCCTATCTCACACCACTGAGTGCAGTTTCCGACCAAAGCTTCTACCCGTCACAAGGCTATCAATCTCGCCGATCCCGCGACTACGAGAGATATCAAGTCCAACCACCAGCCTACAATGCTCAACCGTCTTTGACGGCACCGGTGTCTCGCCATGCGCATGCTCATCCTTCTCAAGACTACACTTTCTCTCAGCCATATCACGTACAGGGTTCGACATATTGGCCGTCAAACGCAGTTGGCGCCCCCATCCTCCCTCCCATTCGTGTCACCGAGCCTCTCGACCACTTTGCAACACGTTATGGCACTCAACATACTGAGGCAAAACCCAAGGAGGACAAGCCGACTGGAGGTGTAGCTCAACACTTGGATTATGATATGGATCTTATGTCCAGCTTCGTGGCTGAGATGTCCCAGAAACTGTAAGTGCCGCCTTTCTGTATTCACTGAATCTCTCGTCTAACCACTTCCGCAGCGTAACACCCGAGTTAGCTCCAACTTCCCAGTTCCGGAAATACGTGTCCCAGATCCTTTCATCTACACGCTTACCAAGCTCCACCATCATGCTCGGACTCTTCTATCTGCAATCACGCATGAAGCAAGTAAAGGAACGCGGATCGTCAACATCATCCTCCGGCGCCGTCTATCGTATGCTCACGACATGTCTACTTCTGGGTAGCAAATTTCTAGATGACAACACTTTTCAGAATCGATCCTGGGCCGAAGTAAGCAGCATTCCCGTGCATGAGTTGAACATGATGGAACTTCAATGGTTGACCGATTTCAACTGGGAGATCCATGGCATGATGTACGATGAAGACGAAGGGTTCTTTATGTGGGTTGAACACTGGCATGCATACGAGGAAAAGGCGCAACTTGCCAAAGTCAAGGAAATGCAGAAGTTGGCTCCCATTGAAACAAATCTTCATCGCCACCACAGCATCCAGCATCAGCCTCTCATGTCCCCAGAGGGACCCATCCCTCCTCAGTATCAACAAGGCGCACAATACGACACCCGCTGGGTCAGACCATACATGTCAGAATACTCACCACCATCAGCGCCCCACAGCGGTCCTTCTACACCAGACTATTACACGGCTTCCTGGTCGTTTACAGCCAACGCCCCCCCTGCATATGGTCGCCAATCTTACCACAACGACAATGGGTCTGCATATTCGGCTCAACGCAACCAGTTGCCGACATATGCTCAGGCATTTGGCTATGCCTCTGGTATGACGCCCACCTGGATGTCTCATGGCCCCAACTGTGGCTGCAGCCTCCATGCCAAACACTCGGACTATTATTTCAGTCACACCGGATACACCATGCAACCTGTGGTCGGTTAACTTGTCATGCAAATTCCAGCGTTCAGCGAACCACGGTCAGGCACGAAAAGTTTTCAAAATACCGATTAATCGGTACTGTTTTACCACCATCGATCCGCGCCTTCCAGGAATAAATCAACTCATACCGGGCACGAACTCATGCAGCAATTCTTGAGACGCCTGCTTGGGACGACTTCCTACGAGACGAACTTTCTCTAATTGCGTTCATCTAACGACCTTCTACGACCGGCATTTTTCTCGTCTTTTCATTTTCTGCGTCTAGAGCGAGCAACTTCCACAGAATAGAGCAAGGTTTTCATTCATTTTCAATCACGACGGGGATGGCTGGGCGGCTGCCTTTCGCACGGCAGGAAAAGTCTTCAAAAAGTTTTCCCGGCTCGAGCAAACTCATGGTTATGGGCTGGCGTCGGGATCAAATACAAGGTTATCACGTGTGGGCTGTTTTGTTTCAAAAGATTGTTTGCTTCACCCTACTACATGGTGCTTGCGGAGTTCCCTTCGACACAAACGATGCTAGACGAGCATGACTAGCACGGGTGCTTGCATAGCAAGACTTTAAGGGGATGGTTGATTGAGCTGAATCGTCATTGTTGTAATTAGCTATGCGAAACGAGGGCAGCCGGTTCGATGAACGAGGTTGAAATGTGCACGAATGCTGTTCGCATAGGGCTTGAGCAGGCCTCTTGAAGGTCACAATCTGCTTGCACGGAAAATCAAGCTACCTCGCACAGTGGTGTTTGGCACGCCGGGGGCTACAGGACATGGTCGGTCGACACTGTCATGGACCCTGCTGTTCGTCTTTTACTTCACGGCCGAGACTCGACGCTCGGATGGATGGGATATACCCCCTGATAGATTATCACATTTGGCCTTCAAACTTGCCTACAAAAACAACAAATCCAGTACACAAAAATAAATACGATTGACCAGAAGCTTTTATGTTTGCAGCTCAAGTACTCCGTACTGCGTAATGATGGATTGATTTTATGACCGGGTTAGTGCGAGGAAGACTTGATATGTGGCTGGACTCTCGCATCGGTGATGTGGCCAGGCTGCGATGAGTGACGAGTGAAGTCACGTGGGTCCTGGAGCGTGTTTCGCCGCAGCAACTCTCCAATCCGCCTGCGAGCTGGCCTGATCATGAATGTGATCAATTCAAACACGATCTCACAACCCATCGGTTCAGTCATTACCTTTCCATCTCTTCTTCGCATCTTCCACATCTCCCGAAGCTTGGTAATTACCTTGAATCTGTCCTCGACCAAATCGATCCGCCGTAGCAAACCCGAAAATGTCGACGCTCGAAGATATCGACGACTTGGAGCGTGATGAGAAGGAGCAGAAGAAGGACGGCGACGACAGAGACAAAAAGCCCTCTCAGAATGGCGACGCAAAAGACGCGGAGATGAAAGATGCAGGGGCTGACAAGGAGGATGAGGAACAACAGTACATAGACGACGAGATCCTGCAGTCAAGTACAAGAGACATTATCAACCGGCGGCGATTGCTAGAGAACGAGATGAAGATCCTCAAGAGTGAGTATCAGCGGTTAAAGCACGAGGAGACTACGATGAAGGACAAGATCAAGGACAACTTGGACAAGATTGAGAACAACAGGTGAGTTGAGTCTGACGCTCCTTGGCGATACGAGTTGAACGGCTAACGGCTTCACCGTGCAGACAACTACCCTACCTCGTCGGAAACGTCGTCGAACTGCTCGATCTCGATGTCGAAGCCGAAGCAGCAGAAGAAGGCGCCAACATCGATCTTGACGCCACGCGTGTAGGCAAGTCTGCGGTGATCAAAACTAGTACCCGACAGACCATTTTTCTGCCGTTGATCGGCCTGGTTGACCACGACAAGTTGAAGCCGGCCGACCTGATTGGCGTCAACAAGGACTCGTACCTCGTCCTGGACACCCTCCCTGCTGAATACGACTCGAGAGTCAAGGCGATGGAAGTCGACGAGAAGCCGACGGAGAAATACACCGATGTAGGTGGCCTGGACAAACAGATTGAAGAGCTTGTGGAAGCAGTAGTCTGGCCCATGAAAGAAGCCGAACGTTTCAAGAAGCTCGGCATCAAGGCCCCGAAGGGTGCCCTGATGTATGGGCCTCCTGGGACGGGCAAGACACTGCTCGCTCGTGCTTGCGCGGCTCAGACAAACGCCACTTTCCTCAAACTTGCGGGTCCCCAGCTTGTGCAGATGTTTATCGGTGACGGAGCCAAGCTTGTGCGCGACTGCTTCGCACTGGCAAAAGAGAAGGCTCCTTCGATCATTTTCATTGACGAGTTGGATGCAGTGGGCACCAAGCGTTTCGACTCGGAGAAGAGTGGTGATCGAGAGGTTCAGCGGACCATGTTGGAATTGCTCAATCAACTCGATGGGTTTGCTTCGGATGAGAGAATCAAGGTGCTGGCTGCCACGAACCGAGTCGATGTGCTGGATCCTGCTTTGCTCCGTTCGGGTCGGTTGGATCGAAAGATTGAGTTCCCTCTGCCGAATGAAGAGTCACGCGCTCAGATTTTGCGGATCCATTCCAGGAAGATGACCATTGACGAAGGGAACATCAACTTCGATGAGCTGGCGAGGTCGACGGATGAGTTTGGCGGTGCTCAGCTCAAAGCGGTGTGTGTGGAAGCTGGTAAGTCATGGTCCCCGACCACGACCTGGTAAACTGTTACTGACTACTGTCGCATAGGCATGATTGCTCTTCGAAAAGGCCAGTCAAAAGTCAACCACGAATCCTATGTCGAGGCTATTGCTGAAGTGCAAGCGAAGAAGAAGGACACGGTCAACTTCTACGCTTAGGCGTGTTAAAGCACCTATTCAGCGCAGGTTGTGGAATGGGCGACACATTACCGGACAGAGCATGTACTATTACCCCGGCATGGAAAGAGGCCACAGATAGAGTTTCGTCCTTGAGGAGTGCAGGTCGTCGAGAGCTGGGTGGCCTGCCTCTATTCAAGGTACAAGAACACTGCCAGACGACCGTCTCTCCTTGCTCTCTGTAGCTCCTCTGCCTACGTCCCTGACATGTGTGGCGGAGGTTTGGGAGGAAGCCATGCAGATGGCTACACAGTAATGAGACTTATTGCAAGCTGTTCAACAAGACTTGCATGGACGAGGATTATCTCGGTTGCTACCTCTGTTGCCATTGGCCTGCGGGGGACACCATCCCAGTTCCCGCAGGCTTGGGACACGCCCATCTTCCAGAACCAAGTTTTGCAACTCCCCACCCGAACACTTGCCTTCATGTTCTCCTGGTTGAATCCTTGTATTGTGTATGGGCTGTCTAGCACGCGTCTGGACCATGCCGATAAGCGGCAGTCCCGATCGCGAGCGCACTGTTATGCATAACTATTTCAGGAACTGGCCAGAGCGGCTATCCCTTCGCCTGGCTCCGACCTCGAGTCCCGCAGGAGCGAACATTGGCTGATATTCAGGCGCCGACCCGGACCAGTTTCGACTGCTTCACGTGTAGACGGTCGATAAGTCGAGTTTTTCGACATAGTTACATCAACGACCACGGAGATGGCAGTTGCACACCACGCCTCTTTTATGCAGCATGACCTCGGCAGGGCATCGAACAGAGCAGCATACCATGAACAAGCGGAGACTGGTACACCTGTTCTACGAACAACTTCCCTCCCAGCGTCAATACCCTCCAGAATATCGCGATGTACCATCGAGCCAGTGTTTTCGATTCGTCGGGCAGGAGCCAGGTGGAAGAAGTTGCCATCGCCCATCCTGAAGCTTGTGCTTGCCCATCTTAGGTGCATGCATATCGGTCCCGCATGCTCCTCCTGTCCGACCTGCTATATGAGAGACTTGGTCGCCGTCCAACTGACTTGCAAGGCATGGTTCTCGGACGCGCAGCGAATTCTGTGAGTTGGCTCGTCCTCCCTCTAATCTATAGCTAAGTCGCACAGATACACCGATATCCAGATCGTGGGCCAAGATGATTCGTCAATGCTTCTGAAATGGAAGCTCTCCCGCGCAGCGCGTCTCATTCGCCTGCGCTCAACGCTCCGTTCCAGGCCGCTTCTCGCGGCGCTCGTGAAGACATTACACGTGCCTGACCCGAACATACCTCTGTATGTTGCTGGAGGGAACCCGAATCCAGAGTACGACGCCTACATCTGTACCCTGGCTTCCGTCGTCATGGCGTGCCCGAACTTAGAAGCGCTTACCGGATTTTATTGCTTCTACAACCATACGTTCGACAGGTTGACGCACGCGCTCTCAACGAGAAAACAACTGCGGCTACATGCCTGGATCATCGCCGAGAATGACGATGTTACCGCAAGGGGTCAGACTCAATTACCTCCAGGCCTGCTGAATGATGACCAGTCATATCAGTTTGCGCTGTACCACGACCGATGGAAACAGCTTGAAACACTTCTCCTCTGTTCACCTGGTGGTCTTGGAGTCATTGAGCATGAACTTTTCATCCGAATCCTCTATTCTCTGCCTGCGCTCAAGAACTTGTGCGTCTCCTCTTTCGATACAGATGACTTTCACGATATGACGCTCCTTTCGCTTCCTCCATGGGTCACTAGCCTGCGGCTTGAGGAGTGCTTAGGAGTGACCGACACCGGACTGACAAGGTGGGCTGCAAGCCCAAATGCAGCGCAGATCGAGCGGTTGAGTCTACTACATCAGAACATCACGGGCTTGTTGACCATCTCGAAGGTCTTTGCGAGTCTGGGACGTCTGGCCAAGTTCACCATCGTTCAGAGCGACGTTGTACCTTCCCTGCCGAAGGAAATGCGGCAGGTGGTCGTACAGCCTTTGCTTGCGTCAAAATCTTTACAATTCCTGCACTGGGATATCTCGCCCCCCAAAGGAGGGGATACTGATAATTCGGTGGTGGAACGCGGTCCAACAACTCCTAACATGCATCTAGCACTGTCGGTCTCACATGGCGGCTTCCCACATCTTCGACGACTACGAGCACCCCGAGATACATCTCCCCTTGGCATCCTGCAGTCCGTGTGCGAACCTCTGCAGGGGAACATCGCCTTACCAGGCGACGCGTCTCATTCAAATCACTACCGGCAATTGAGGAGGTCGAACTCTTTGTGTGCGGCTCGTCTGAGAGCTCGAAAGATTGAGCTTCATCAAACTATCAGGATCCATACACCTGCTTCCAGAGCTGATCCTGCTCGGTCAACTGACAGAGACACCCTGCAACCGCCGGCGCAGAAGACTACGAGTGACTCATCAACATCGACACTTGGCTCCTGGAGAACTGTTGGCTCCAGCCTTTCGAAAAGGAGCAGCATCACCAATCATACTGGACCTGGACCTGGACTGGGACCTGTCTCGCCGCTTACAGCAAGCCAGGATCACTTCTCCCCGCTGGCTCCTGATGACGGCATCATATCTCCCATCGCTGCAGACCAAGACGAGGTGTTTCTTACCGGCCGGGACTCAGACAAGCAAGCAGTCACGGGGCCTCAGAGAAGGAACCGTAGAGAGAGCAGTAAGCGGCATAGTATCTGTCGATGCACACCAAGTCCGGCAGAGAACAGGGATAGCATATGCATGTGTGAGGCCCATAAAGGCCCGCAGCAGGAGAAAGAAGCGGGCGTAGTTCCGCTGCCGCCTCGAAGTCCGTTTCGTCCCGTACTTACTCATGGCCCACCGACTCGGTTCCCTAGCCTTACGATCAGGACATGCCCAAGAAGCCGTCCCGTGTTTTACCTGAGGCCCGACGTACCCGGTCTGGACAGCAACGGTGGCCTGATTGGTTGGGGCGAGCTCCTGAGAATCAGCGAGAAGGCCAGAACGAGCACGAGCACGAGCACGAGCAGCCAGAGAGCACGTGCCAGAAGTTCCAAAACCAGCCTTGATGAAGACAGCGATGAGGACGACGAGGCACTCACAGGCATGTGTACGGGCTTTCGATCGGAAGATCAACTTGGCGACCTTCCGACGTTGAGGAAGATAATGTCTGGGTCTTCAGCAGGAAGTGGTGCCACATCTGGAACGCAAGGGAGACCAAGGTCCAAGTCCAAATCATCCTCGCGGTTGAGCTTTTCACTGGGAGGGAAAACATCCGACAAAGACATCATGTCTAACAGTAGACCTTCGTGCAGACATGTGGCCCGTCCCAAGGGGGACAGAGGTGGATGCGTGGTCGTTGATGATTTCTTCTGAGTACAGAAACTCAGGGGCACGTATGGTGTGATTCTGAGTAATCAGCGATCTGTCCGTTGGCTGTCTGTGCAGTGCTCTTGGTTGATAGATTATGTCAAAGAACCATGCATGGCTTTTCTGTTGTCAAGTTATGTCAAAGGAAGCATGGCGTGATGTTGTTGGTTGTTAACCCCGATACCTATCTACGGACAGCACCTAGTAGACACAGAAGGACATGGCAACCCATTGCTAATACCTACTGCACGTATCATTGTGCCCCTTGAGTGCGTCACATACGGCGTTATGGTCTCGGCTCATTTATTCAGCAAATGTGGTGAATGTGCTCAGCATCATGGCTCGCCTCGACTGTAGCAGGATGCCGCCTATTGTTCTCTCGAGCTAAGTCCGGTGATGCGGTATTGCGGTGATATCTAATCCTGCCTTGCTCGCTCGACCCTCGGCCTTTACGAGACGCCGAAGACGCACAGCGATACTCCGTACGAGTAATCCGGGTTCGGCGACCGGAATCATTTCAACCCGAGCAGCATAGCTCGTACTCGACGGATGATTCGCCAACGGCCGTTCATTACCAAGTCAACCTCGTAGGAGCACGGAGTCCCATCTCGCTGAGCAAGGCCTTGTGGCGTGAGCTCTGCACCGTGCAGTCCAAGCCACGTCCTGCTCGCTGTTCAGAAAGGATGTATAAGAGGTGAGTGAGTGGATGAAGTCTTGATGTGAATGCGGTACAGAATCTCAGAGTATTTACTGCACGCACGCCGTTTACTTATACAGTGACAACTTCTTGATCAAGCTTCGCTTCGCGATCCTCCATCCTCAGCTTCAACTTCAGCTCGCCGGTGGCATTGACACGCCACGCGCGCGCTACGAGTCCAAGATCGCCCTCAACCTTGAATCTGCTTCGCCATCACAAGCTAATTGACTTGCTCCGAGGACGCGTCTTCGCACAAGGTCGTGCCTTTACCACCACCAGAGGGCAAGCCACAGTAAAGTGGCCTCAGTGCGAGCGTCTCTCAAACCGGCCCAAGGGATTTGAAAACGCCGAATCCGTCACCAGTCACCAGTCACCAGTCACCAGTCACCCGTCACCCTCACCCGTCGGTTCTTCCACGGGACCAATATACTGTAATTTAATTGACTGCTCTACGCTACGCTCCGCAGAATCATCCATCGTCGACCACCGTCACCATGGTCTCCCTCTCCGACGTGCACCTCAACAACAGCTCCCTCTCCAGCGCCGGCTCAGGCCCCAGTGTCGCCCTCCTCGGCGCGACAGCCGGCATCGGCCTCGCCACCTTCCACGCCCTCCTCAAACACACTTCTACACCCACAATCTACCTCGTCGGCCGGGACGCGTCGCGCCTGGACGCCCTCATCGCGTCAGCCCAGAGACAGTACCCCACCGCTGGAGGCGCCACCGTCATCCCCATCGTCGCGGGCGATCTCACGCTCGTGCGCAACGCCGACGCCGCGGCCCGCAGGATCGCCAGCCTCACGTCGCGGCTCGACCTGCTCGTCATGTCGCCCGGGTACCTGTCCTTCTCGTCCACGGCAGATTGGTCCCCGGAGGGCCTCGACCGGATCACGAGCATTCGGTACCACGCGCGGATGCGCTTCCTGGTCACCTTGCTGCCACTCCTGCGGCGGGCGCCGAACCCGCGCGTCATCAGCGTGCTGGGCGCGGGGAAGGAGGGCGCCCTCAGTCTCGACGATCTGGGCATGACGCTTCCCCGAACGTATGGACCCATCTACGCGGCTGGGGCCGCGGCGTCGATGACGACGCTGTTCTTTGAGGAGTTGGCCGCGCAGGGCCCAGGCAACGATAACGACAGCGCCACCGACAATCACAGGATCGTCTTCATCCATTTGTTCCCCGGCCTCGTGGGGACGGGGCTGCAAGTCGTCAATTCCGGGTGGGCGCTTTCCGCCCTGTGGGGGTGGATTGTCAGACCCCTGTTCCGGGTGTTTGGCTCGACGGCTGAGAATGCGGGGGAGAGAGTCCTCTTTGCGGCGACGAGTGGGCGGTTCAGACGCGTGAGGCCGGAGGATGCGAAGGGCTTAGAAGGCACGCTGGTCCAGAGGGGGAGTACCGGTGTTTTGGGCAGTGGTGTGTATCTGGTGGGAGAGGATTCAGAGGTAGCGCCACCGCCGGGCGTGTTGGAGGAGCTGAGACGGCAGGACGCCGGGAAGAAGGTGTATGAGTATACGATGAGGGAGTTTGAGAGGATCGAGAACATGGGGGATTAACGCTGAGGTTGAGGTAAGGGGCAGTAGAGCATGAGATAGAGGAGATAATGAAACGTAATAAAGTGGTATGAAATGAATGAATCACAGCACTCGATGACAGGGATCGCAGACCTCGAGTACAGTGGCGCTTTTCGTTGTTGGGATTGGATGAAGAAAGCGTGCGTGCAAATCTCAGGTATCTTCGATATTTCAATGCAATATACCGTAACCGGAGGGCGGCATGGTTGCGTACAGCGGCCTGCGTGCATACCTACCTGTACCAGCTGACCTACCTATGCAGCTACCTATGTGCCTGCGCTCTTCCCTGCTTGTAGGTCTCCCTTCTTTTCCTACTGATAGGACGGGATATAAGCCTCATGGCAGTTGAGTCCGCTATCAGCGTGTGCTCGGGTAACAAAGAGCTCAGCCACACAACGAAGCAGGTGTCGAACAGGCCTACACAGCCGACTGGACTTGAAGGACGCAGGGTGACGAACAGTCGTCCAAATGCGCAATATCAGTGGTACTGTACCTCGAGATCTTCGCCGCAGATGCAGAGGGCGTCAAGGCAAGCTGTGCGACTGGGGCTGAATGGCACTACCTGGTATCAAGCTTAAGTTGCGCGGACGCCGCGATAAGCGTGCAAGATGCGAGCCCTAGGTCTTAAGTCTTGGACATCGAACCAAGCATGCATATATGCTTCACAGTTGGTTTCCCTGTTTTCGACCACCTCAGTGGTCCCATCCAGAGAGGACGAGTAACGCCAGAACGTCGAGATGAGACCACGAGAATGCAGACAGTTTGCACGAGCTCTGTTCTTTCACTCCCATTGAGTCCCGAAGATGGAGGTCGACCTTGTCAGGCCGATCAATCCAACGTCGCCTCCTGCGCGAGGTGCATCTCCCGCCAATCTCGCTCGATGGACCCATCGTCCAGATTCGCGCGCCAAACGCACAGCTGCCACCGGGGTTGCTGTCGTTGTGGCCTCGGCGGGTCACCGTCAGGAATGGCATTTCCTTCCCGTGGTTGTGGCGGCAGATGAAAACAAACAGGAAACACGAAATACAACGTATACGCCCTGACAGCCTTAGCCGCGAAAGCCTCCCTCAAGTCGGTATACGCCTCCTTGGACTCCAAAACACGCCACACCCTCGGCATGACATTCTCGTCCCAGAGATTGGGGGATCCAAGCTGTTCGGGGATCGTGATCGTCCAGCCCTTCTGCCCAGGCGCGAACGTCACAGTGCGCAAGTTTGGAAACACGACGAGATCGCGCTGCAGGTTCCAGGCATGATCATCCACGACGTCGGCCTCATCCACGCTCAGCCTCAGATGGCGCACCTCGCTCAGATAACCTAGCGCGGCCATCCTACGCACAAACGCCACCATCGCGCGCTTGCAATGCATTTCCCACAGCGCGATCTGGACGAACGCGCGCTGCGCCTCGGCTTGGAGGTGGCGCTGAGGCACGGAACCTGGCTTTGACATGGTCCCAGAGTTGACTTTCAAAAGCCACTGGTGGTCCGCGCGATAGGGCCCCGTCGTGCTCGACGCACAGTAGCAGCCCGATTGCGCCGTGACGGCGACGCGGTTGCCGTGGAAGGCATGCCCAAAGATGGTGAGGCGGATCTCGGCGGGGAGATGGCCCAGGCGGGAGGCCACGGCTGAGAGGCGCGGGTCTCGACTTTCTGGGGGGAACATGTACGGGCGGGCTGTGAGGGTGTGGGAGTGTGAAGGTAAGGAAGAGAGGGATGTTGTTGGGTCGGCCATTACGGGGCCAGAAAGGATGTTCTTTGTTGGTGGTGCTGTTTACTCGGTAATCGTCTTACCAGCGAGATACGTACTCCGGACGCATGCCCTTGCTGTGGACGGGGTATGTACTCCATTCGAGGGGGAGGTGGGAGGGCACAGTGGATGTGTATGAACAAACTGTTAGGGTCTTCCACGTATGCGGTACCGTAGCCCGTACCGGTATATCTTACGGCGACACATTAGCCCCTACTCGCTCAACCAGATCTTTGAGGACGTGGAAGTCTGTCTGACCGTCGCAAGACAAATCCCGTGGTTCCCATCTCGCCCAACTCACTCATTCACCCACCATCAAACTCGATCCTCGAGCGCGCAAGACGCCGCAGTCCGCCTGCTGGCGGACTGTGAAAGTTGAAATCGAGGTTACGGAGTATGGAGTACTGTTCTTTCACCACCCGCGGTGTTGGACCCCCGCGCAAAAAGCAACACGAGACATCCCAACACGTCCGCGTACTACAGTCACATAAAGCCCTTGAGACCCAACACCGTGCGTAGGCTTTCTTGTTTCTGATCTCGAGCACACGCCTCTCGAACGACTACACGCTCGTGTCTCGGAACTTGTTTGGATTCGTAAGTTCCCTCGTTCTCGCATTGAGTTTCGGCGTGGCGGTCCGTGGCGTCTTCTTGTCTCGGCGAGAAGGAAATTGGACGAGGGCGGATCAGGACAGAACGACACAGACGGGAGAAGGAACACGCCCGTACTGCTTACTCCGCACCCGTTCGGTGGTCGTCCGTGGGGGTGTTGCGTAGGGATGTAGGCACGTAGGCACGTAGGCACGTAGGCACGTAGGCACGTAGGCACGTAGGCACGTAGGCACGTAGGCACGTAGTTGTCTAGGTATGTACTAGTCGTAAGTACGAACTGTGGCGGGGCAGTCCCGTGTCTGCCCTGTTCCTCCCTTGTTCCGTCCTTGCCCTCGCACGGCGAGGCAGGAGCAGCATAGCTGCGACATAGTTCCTAGCTGAGAGCCCAGCTCTCTGGAGATAGACATTCCGGGATTCGAGACATACAGCAATCCCTTGCCACACGAACGAACAGATTCCACGAAACAAGGACGGCCGTCAATATGAGCCGGGTCTTCTGCGTACGTTGTTGGTAATACGCCATTATGGCATTAAGACTGCGAATCCGAAGGCTTCCTGGCGTCTCTTCTACATTGGTAGATGTGGGTATAGTACAGTACGGGAATGGAAGTAATGAAGTCAGTAAGTAGGTGAGAAAATCCGCAACGACGAATATCGCATCCCTCTACCCCGCGTACAGTATGGACAGTCAGATTCGTCAAGGGACATATCGTATGAAAATGGTATCTCGTCGCGCGCAAGATGATGTGACGCTCACTTTTGCAGACGCTTGAACAGAGAAGGGGGAGTCGGAGAACGGTGGCCATCGCTCTTCTGTCGTAAATTCGCGTTGATCTCACAGCTCGAGCCTACGCTCACGCTTGTCGTCTACGTGGTGTAAGAGGTACTGATCCTGCTGAGACCGGCTGCGTGAAGATGACTTGGCCGTATGTAGACGTCTCGTCTGGCGGATCGTCTCGTGATAGTCGTCCGCCGCGTCAAATTCCAGCGTCTTTGGCAGACTATCGACTCGAAGGGGCCGGCCTCCAAGGGCGGCTTGAGAAATATGATTCAGCACGGCAACATCGTTGTTTGATGTCTTCATTCGCGGAACTCGCTGATTTGGCTTTGCTGACTGCACTTTGACCGGGAAAGGAGGCACTGCGTTGATATGCCTTTCTGACTGCACCTTCATCGGGATAGGAGGCACTGGAGGCAGTCTTCGATTCGGAGGCGGCTTCGGAGGTTGCTCAGCTGGTGGCCGAGGAAAGTGTTTGAATCCTTCATCTGACGACGCGCTGGTGCTGTAGTTGAGGTAGGTGAATGCGCCGGTGTCGACCGATTCACCAAAAGATAGCCTCGGGTCGACCTGGCTGTCGTTGTTGTGCCAGTTGTTCCAGTACTTCTGTCTGGGCGTGTCTTGTTCATTCGACCAAGGGATTTGATGGTGCTCCGGGGTGGTGAGCTCCCCGCGGGTGCCGGTTCGCCGCATCGATTGCTCGCGAGATCGAGGACTTTCTGCGACGACAGTATCGGAGAGGCCGTCGAAATTGAAGGATAACAGTGAGCTCACGGATGTCGTCGCGGGCGTCGTCGAGACGCTTGGAGATGTGTGCAGGGTCGGGGACTGGACGATCGGGCCGTCGTGGAGAAAGCGTTGCTGCTGAGGCTGCGGCTCTGGATGTTCTGTGTATAGGTCCTGTGGAGGCTGACGGCGTGGGTCATCGGACCGGTGCCTCGTCAATTCGCGATGGGAGACATTTTTATCCCTGATGGGAATGTTGACGTCCTTTCGGTTGCTCTCTTGTCTGTGTTCGCCTACACAGTGGAGTCGCTCCAGGCCAGCAAAGCGCTGTATATGTTCGCCAATTTTCCTCTCCAATTGCTCGCTGGAGAGACGAGCGGCCGGATCTCGCTCGAGGCACTGCAGAGTCAGCTGCACGACCGGGCCAACAGCATGGTACACCTGGCCCTCGTCCTTCTTGGCTTTCTTTTCAGCATCCTTTTGAAGCGACTGAGCCCATAGAAAGACTTGCCCCAGGTTTGCGTGAAAACTCGCATCCGCGAGACCACCACCACGGCCGGCCATTCTGTTCTTTGAAGATCGGTGTCTCTGGAACGAACTGTAGCTACGCTTGCAGAGTAGGGTCAAAATGTCGAGGCTCACTGCGCCGAGGGAGAAGATGTCCGACGCGAACATGTCCTGTTCCACCGATTGCCAAGTCTGAACCACTGCACTCCGGCCTTCTGGGGCCGAGACAAACATAGGACTCTTGACTGGTGGACCGCTTTTCTTGCCGTTTGAGCTTGTCGAGGAGAGGATCGAGGGCGCCCTTCCTGGCACCGAAGGGTCGAAGACGCGGCGGGTTGTACCTGAACTTGAGATGGATTTGTTGTCGGTTGGGGACAAGACGTCACGCCCGCGAGCAATGGGCTGCGGTGGGGTGTCCGAAGGCAATGCGGAGCTGAGGCGCAATCGGGCATAATCTCCTCTCGACGTCGGCTGGAATGTATACGTTGCCGCTGAAGACGCTGACCTGCTTCTAGCTGGGTTGTTGCTGTCTGTGGTGTTCAATCTGCCATTTCCGTCGGCCCTCCGCCCCGATCGGCCGCCTGACGGGAGTGCAACAGCTGCAGAACCGGTGCTTTGGATAGTGACTGCCCTCTTCCATCTCTCGGGCGGGCCATACTGATATGCTTCGATATCGTCCGGCTTCGCCTTGTCACGGAGCAAGCCTTCACCGTCGAGCAAACCCAACGATATGCGGAAAGACTCATCGATCTGGATATTGGACGGCCGAATAGCTCCGTGAAACTCGTCGTTGCTGTGTAACCAGGCCAGTGCGTTAGACAGACAGTGGGGCCAATTGATCAAAATCCGTCGCCGCTGTTGCTTTGCCAACGCAGCAAAACTCTTCGGAGAATCAGTCAGGAATGCCTTGAGACTCCATTCCGGGGCGGGGAGTGAAAGCACGTTGAAACTGCCTTGATATAGGTATGAGCCGAAAATCGACACTATATGCTCGTGGCACAGCCTTCTGCTGGCTGCAATCTCGTTCAACATCTCATCCTCGGTTAGAGGAGCCTCAAGCTTGATGCGCCTGCGAACGAAGATCTTCTGATTGGCAGTAGGGAGGCGAACTCGGTCGACCCCATCGTGGGCGAGGGAGAGAACCACGGATTTCAGGTTGAGAGGGACGACCGGGACGGTCTCCTCGTCGGCGTAGCGGATGTGCTCTCCTTCGCCCACGATGCGTGTGAGAAACTTGAACTGATTCTTATAAAACCGTTTGTCTAGAGCTCGGTCGGGCTCATAGGACAACCGCAGATCGGGAACAGCCTCCTCGATGACAGGGAGGTCTTCATCGTCATACGAGTCATCAATAACGCCAAATATCTGATCCGGGACCCCGGTGGCGACGAGGATGAGGAAGAATCGTTTGGCTCTTGTCAAGATCCAATCCAAGTAGGTATCGTCAGTCAAGTCGCCTCCAAAATACAACTGCCGCTGAAGAAGTTCCTGCTCGTTTGGTCGGAGATGGGAATGCACGTATGCGGAGGTGACGGTCTCGTCAACACGCTCATCTGTCCACAACGACATGGTGCCAATGAGCGGCCTCACGGGACAGGAAGACGGGGGATGCGCAGAGAGTGACGGCCGTTGATTAAAAGATCCATAGTCTTATCGGAGAGCGTCCGGCTAACATAGGAGACGCATGAAGCGCGCACATGGAAAGTGGGCTGCAGGAATGTCCAGCGAACCGCGCGAGAGCAGTTCGTACAGCTCAGAAGAAACCGGGGAGCATGGCGGAACAGTCGAAGGATGGAGAACCCTGTATCTTTCTTGCCGAGATATCTAGACGAAACAGGAGAGTAGGTCGCCTGATGTGTAGGAGGGGAAAGTGGTCTCGCGGCGACGGCCGCGTGTGCTGGAGATAAAAGAAATCTGCTTCGCGGATGTTAAAGTGGGGGTATCAAGGTATAAGCCCTACCGGGCGCGAGGCCCGAAAGTACCATCGCTTATATTTAAGACGGGAATTTTATCTTGGCCGACGGCCGTTAGTCCCAGGGGAAGTCATTTTCGGCCTCGAATTCACCGTGATGTAGAGAGCTTAGTTGGGAGCGAGGAAGTGAGGCAGTTTGGAACAGTGACAGCGGCACAAAGAGGTGCTGGGCTGGAAGGCACAGGCCTCCAAGCGCAAGGATTCGTGGAGGCAGTACGCCACATGATGTGCTGTGGTAGGCAGGACTAGGGTGTAAGACTCCTGCAGACGTGATCATGCTCTTGCCCAGCGCCGTTTGGAACCAATTTCGCAGGGAGAACTCGAGACATTGGAGACCAGGATGGAGGTTGCCGTCGACAGTTGAACGCTGCTTAGTGGCGTCTGCACCTGCGGATGATGGGCAGGCTGATGGCAGGCGGCCCTACAGGGGGTGATTACATACCAAGAGGACTCGCAGAGGCGAAAGAAGAAAGGACAAAAGTTCGGATGCGAGATAGATATTGGAAATGCTGGGCCGTTCCAACCGTGATAGGTCAATCCGACAGCCTTATCGCGTTGGCAAGTGGGATGCAAAGCACCCCTGTCGAAGGGCAAGATCGGCTCGCATGGCGCCGACAGACTAGCACCGTGCGAGCAGTATCAAAGGAGGAGTCTTGTTCTTTTGATATAAACTCTCAAACCACAATAGAGGGCTCAGCACGCAGTCAGAGCGACACACACTACTGTGTCTCTCGTAGCTGCTCTGTTCCTATGGATGACCCAGCGAACACTTCGTACTGGGGGAGTAAGGCGACGGCCTGTCTTCTCCTGTCTGCAGGATGTGGGCCTGAGTCGGTGTGCAAAGCAGTGATTGACAGCTCGACAAGCCACCAGGGTGAAAGGATGAGATGCCGCGATGGGACTCTCGCAGCATCGATTGCCTCACTGTCAACAGATGAGCGACACTCCGATGACGAGACCACCAGCAGCACGTATCTCTCATCAACGGTGTCCGGCGCCAATGCCGCCTGCAGAAGACGAAACACGGCTTTTTGAGTTAGCTCTTCGCCTGACTGCCTTGTATATCGTCACGGGTTTCTCCCTCTTGGTGGCTAATTTCCATTAAAGCCGAGCAAACGTGAGAATATAGCGCGGCTCTTTGCTGCTTGGGACGGTTCGTCACCCACCCTTCACTCCTCGATGCATCTTTAAATGCTGGTGATGCGGTCAAAAGATTGTCGGTCGTTATCATGGTCGTTATCATGTTCCTGAGCTTCGAGCGAGTCCGAGCTTATTGCTGTGCGAGCGTCGCTGGGCTGACCCGGTAGTGGAAGGCTGGCTATTGCCAGGGAACTTTCAAAATTGGTTACGGTCAAGTTGGCATCACGATCCTACGAAGACAAGAAGCATGAAGACAAGGAGTCCTGTCGCCACGGGTAGCTGGGGCATTCTAGTAAGTCTCTTCTTCGGTGAGCGTTGCTGATGCGATGGTGCATGCCTCATTGATATTGTCGGTGGCCACTTTCTTTTCGGAAACCCGGCTCCTAGGCTGAAGAGCCCGGACTTGTGTCTTATCACTCTTAATGGGCGCCGCCACGCGCTCCGTGCTTCTCCATACATACCTTATATGTCTGTCACTGTCGGCGAGGGGAACAGGCTGCTACTTTTGCCATTTGGAGAACAGCACGTTATCCGCAAAGTCTCTGGTGGAAGCGCTCTCGGTACCTAGAGTAAACATCGGGAACGGTTGTGCTACAGATGACCTCGGCTTTCCAACTCAAAAAGCGCGGGTCTTGCCGTCGCGTGCTCAGACCACGGAGAGGACGTCGCTCCGGACAGTGCGCCAACTGCGCCTGCACGACCATGTGGTGAATAGACACAGTGCATTCCACACCGCGGCGCCGCAAGTACGCAGGCAGAAACGATACACAAGGGCGGTCCGAGCGTGGAGGTTCGACAAGCGCAACCAGCTGCCAAGCCCCAGCAAAGGCCACAATAGAGGGGATGGAGAATAATGCCCCTGATCGACAGGAAGGTCGTTTTGTTGAGGAACCAGAACCCGTACCTCGTAATCACCGTCAAATGTTACGAGCTACCAAAGTTCCCCGGTAGCATAGGCGAAGATCAACAGGTTCGCTGGGCAGACATGCATGTCGATGGTTGACGAGCCAGAATTTTCCCATCGAACCTTCTCGAAATCGATCTTCTATGGACACCGCGCAGTCGTCCACGGTACTTAGGTACGGAGTACGGAGTACTGTGGTAGTAGTTAGTTACCGATGGGCCTCTAGGCGTGGTTGGGCAGCCGCGAGTGGCTCGTACGGGTGGAAGCCACAAGGCCCCTCGGCTCCATGGTTTCTCGCAGGCACTCCCGGTCTATTTGCGGAGTGCTGTTGCTGCAGTAGCAGCTCGGAACGACCAAACAGGCCGTTTCAGCTGCTCAAGTGTACCCAGCACTCGCTTCTGAGATGAGTCTTAATGTACCGTGGTAGATGCCCGCCCCCGATCACGATCAAACTGCAGGACAGTGAAACACGAGCCATCTTCATAGACCACCAAGCAGCCTGGCAGCGTTGGTCGCCAGATCCTGCCACCTGTAACAACTGCCCTTCTCTTTGCGCGCCTTCGCAGAGAATACGCATGGCTTGATTTGACTTTCCAAAGGCCCACTGTGTTGATATGGGTCCCGCCGTTCATGAGCAGTCAAGAGGGCGCGCCAGTGGCCAGTGACAACAGGACCGAAGCTTTCCCTGCTGGCCCTGGTCCAGTGATAAATGGCTCCGGCCGCGCAGGAGTCCATCAAGGCCTAGAATCCAGAAAAGACGCCAACTGTCATCCTCGACCGTCCCCACCCATGATTGACGCTCCACAGCAATGTTCTGCATAGCCAGGCGCCTGTGCCTAATCCTCTCCGGTGTTCGAATGCCCATGTTACTTTGAACTCAAACGGCCTCGAAGACGACGGCACTGTACCTGCAAGTGCTCCAACTGGTCCTTGGCTGTGCCCCGTTCGGCCCCAGAGCCATCGAGAAAAGTCGCTCGCATCTCGTCGTACATGGTTTCTTCTCGCCCGACACAGCCGAGTCCTTCTTCGACATCTGTCCTTCCTGCTTCAACTGTCTCTTCACCGCAAACCCTTCGCTTTAGAAAGGCTGGCGGGAACATTTCATACTCGCGAGCTTCTGCATTAATTACGCACTCTAATAATTCTTGTCCTTCATGCGGCCTGAAAAGCTTCTTTTCTTGCTCCCTTGATATCCCGCCGACCGGAGAATTCCAGCTCCGCCCACAGATATCGTCGACTCCCTTGCGCTTGGACGTGCTTCGTCGACAGCTTTGATGGGCTTGCGACGTTGATCTCGCAAATGACCACCCGGCCCCTCTTGCTGGACGATGGCTTGCCCACAATATCAAAACGGCTCCCAGTTGTCCAAGTCCAAGAATTGCCATTGTGTACGCCAATTAGAGAACAAGGCGACGAGAGTACGTATGGACTTGTTGAAGTTGTTGGGAAGTCAGCCGATGGTCTTGATGGCAGCTCGAAGATCATGCTGATGGGCATGGGCTTGAAGAGACCGTACAGTGGAGGCGAACACATGGGACACAGAACTTCGCGGCCCGGGATACGAAGGAGGTCGTCATCGATAGGATCGCCTAAGGACGTCAGAATGGACCATAAAGACCATGGCAGTCAGGAACAGCTCTGTGTGCGCTTGCACAAGGCGGGAACCGTGGACACTGCGAAGTCTTTTGAGGTCAGAGTCGAAAAGGACAAACAGAGGGACAGCAGGCGCGACCTGTTCAGAGAGTGTCCGTCGCCATCAGAGCAAGCGGCTGTGCCCAGCGTGTTGGGACCTTTGCCGCCACGCGGCTGGTACAATCCCTCTCAATTTCTCGGACAATCTCTGAACGGGCCTTGTGGGATCGTGGCACCTCTAACACCCCCGGATGACATCGACTCCTTCAAGTGGGATTCCCCATCACACACGCAACCCGCCGAGGGAGTCCGAACAGTGCCAAATGTCGGACCAAGCCGCGCGCAGGGTCAGAGCCAACACACCCAGACTCGGACTAGTTCTACATCGCGCCCCTCAGAGATACAAATGCCAGAGCTATCGGATATGGCAGGAGGCGACTCAAGCAGACCTAATTGGCTTGGACGGGCCTGCCAGAAGCTTGGTACGACAGTTCGGCTTGCTATTTGGAATTTACTGACATTTTTCTGTAGTGTCTCCTCTTGGAAACTCGAGCACTCAGCAACAGGTGCAGATGGTGGCCCAGGCATTACCTGCGAGACCCAGCTCCGCCGACATGCGTCAAGTTATGGACAAAGTAGTCGAAGACATCCAATCTCAATTTACGATACCGCCCTACATCACAATCACCCATGCTTATGTTAGTGCTCCCCTCCCCTCCAGACAACCATTCCCTACTTGGAGCAGTGATTGGGATTGAGTCGTCAAGAACAGGGTATGCTAATGAACATTTCCAGTTTCAAGCCATCAGTATGGATGAAGTACCGGCCTCACCTCCCGCGACACCGAATGCGCAGTCCTCCTCCAGCGACGACTACTTCCAGGACCATACGATTTTTACACATGCTGCCACTGTCCCAGCTTACCATTTCCACTACGGTGCCGTTCAGCCCGGAGGTCCACGGCCGTCGAATATCATTGCTGCACCGAGCAGCATACAGATCTCGATCCTTGAGCGCTACATCCCCCCTACAACGGCCAGAGAAGTGGAAGATTTCTTTACACTGAGTAGACGCTCCTATCTGGCAGATCGATTGCTCGAGCTCTCGTCGGATAATGGTTCTCTGCTATTGGTATATCCGACCAAGCGAGGAGGCCAAGCATTTGCCAACCGATACATTGGGCCTATTATCGAACCCTTTCTTCGCCAGTTCATCCTGTTGAACAGTCTCTATACTGAGATCGCGATGAAACTGGGCCGGATGGCAGCAGTCAGCGGGATGAAATCTTTCGAGGAGATGACGGCGCTATTGGCCGCTATGTGCGAAGCGCTGAGCCGAAGAGCGCCGGCACGCGGCTTGCCCAGTCGTTACAATATTGTCCATGCAGAAACCGCCGAGGTGGTGCTGGATCGCACGCTCTGGAGAGACTGGTACATCGAGCAAGAGAAGCCTCGCCTTCGCCAGGACCTGGTAGACTATCACAAGTCTGGCGGGCGGATGCCATCTAGAAGTGGGCAGATTGAAATCACACCAGGCATGTTGGCGAGGGAGGTTGTCGATGGGATCCGCCAGAGCCGGGAGGTTGCAGGAGATGTTGGACTGGAAGTTGGCGTGTTTGTGATTCGGCGGTCCACCGTTGTGTAATGTCAAGCATTTATTGGCACGGGCGGTAGGTGGCTAAAGGTACAAAAGGGCATTACGTTGTTGAAGCAAGGCGTTGCAGGCTGGATTTGTGCTTGAGGTCAACCTGGGAACAAGGGCAGTTGATGAAGCAATGAGATACCCTAATGAACGACGTGTAATCCGTTTGATTATGACGACCGTCCCATCCATAATTTCCACGACATCGCTAGATATTGCAGCGCGTGTTGGCTATCCCTGCCTCACATTAACGCTGATGCCTTTGATGGAGGTGTCATTGGCAAATCTCAAGCATATCACTGTGAACAGTCATATGTGCGACGAGTTCTGCCAAACAATCAATTACGTGTGTTGTTGGGAAACGTCGATGCTCAAAGCATATGCAGCACGCAAGCTACAGCTACAGTAACCACAGATGAACTTGTGTGGCAGTCTCCGAAAGCGAAATTACTGGTATACGGTGTTTCGAAACTTTGAGGTTTCGCGATAAAGCAGTCACACAAAGACTCAAATTGGTTGACGACCTCTTCCAGATGATTCAGCGTCCACCACAAATCCTCCACCCATGCGGAAGACCGCTTCGGGCTTTCTCTCGGAGACCGGATAGATGTTCCTTCGCCTTAGTTCCCTTTCCTGTCTATATGCCGTGCGCCTGCGGCTGGGAGAAAAGCCAAGTCAATCTTGCGTCCTTGATTTCCTTGGCTTAGCTTGGTGTCTAGCGACGTCCTTATCGATTCGTCGTCATGAAAAAATGGGTTGGCAATCTTCACTCCGCGCTATTGCCCAAACCTGAATCGCGTCCTTTTATGGTTGTCCGCGATTGATCAAGTCCAGGGCAGCATGCAGCGGGAAGCCCACCTGGAGCTTTTTTAGAGTCCGTCCGTGTTTGAAGATCAAGGTCGCAAACCCGTCGATGGCTTGCTGAATCGAGCCAGATGAACTTGTGGCCACCCCCAACAACGTGTTGACTTCCACTCTGCTTCATACCAGCTTGCCGTCGCGATCATTTTCGTTGTCGGTGATGTCTGTCGCTCTTGGCTGAGTCGCTTCTGCCGCCGCCCCTCGTTTGGCTTCCTGTCGCGCCTGCTCCGTGAACAGACTGCGGTTGCGACTGCCCGTCGCTTCGCCCTGCGGCTCAGCTTGTCCTTCTTTCAAGTTTCTTTCGCTTAAACTTCACTCGCAGGCGACAGAATCATTCAAATCATTGCCTTTCAACGGGCCTCTTGTCTTCCCTTGCACATATTCTTTCGTTGCTGCGGGTGGTTGATCTTTGCTACCACTCCTGCTACGCTTTTGAGCAACCCAAACTCAGATTGCCGGTCTTGCGAGACCTCATCAATAACTCCTCTTAATATTCTCTCAGAGAAACCAACGATCAACCGAGTATCAGAGATCTCGACTGACGATGATTTCTCTACGAGCCTCTGTCCTCCTGCTTTTTGCGGCCTTTTGGCTTGGGGTGAACGCTATTCCCACAATCTCAGCAGTCGGTTCCAAATTCTTCACCAGCGATGGCAAGCAGTTTTTCGTCAAAGGCAAGTCCAGGGTCCCTTGAAGTCCACGTGGCGTGTTTTGCTGACTTCAGCTCTGCGCACAGGTGTCGCCTACCAGCTCGTCGAAGATGATCCTCTCGTGAATACCACCCAGTGCCAGCTCGATGCGTCTCTCATGCAAGAACTTGGTGCCAACTCGATCCGTGTGTATCATGTGGATGCGTCCCAAGACCACTCGGGGTGCATGAATGCTTTTGCTGCTGCTGGAATCTACTTATGGGTGGACCTCGACAGCTTCAAGACATACATTCGCTATGTAGGATCAAGAGAATTTGAGGTTGAAGAATAAACGCTGATCGTTCACAGGCAGATGAGTCGTCATGGAATGCGACCAAGTCAGACTCTTATCGAGCTGTCTTGGACGAGTTTCAGCAGTATGATAATACTGCGGGCTGCTTTGTTGGCAATGAGGTGCTCAATGTTTGTGCGTGGCATCTCTTGCTCACCTGACTCGAGCGAGCCGCTAACAATGCAACAGTGGAAGACTCCGGAGCTGCTCCTTATCTCCTCGCGGCGGCGGTCGACATCAAATCCTATCGAGATGCCAGAGGCTATCGGAAGATCCCCATCGGCTACTCGGCCACGGATACTGCGGTTCTTCGACCCATGCTTCAAGACTATCTGGCTTGCCGTCCTAATGCGACTGAACGCCTCGATTTCTACTCCTTGAACAGCTATGAGTGGTGCGGAGACTCACCTGACTTCCAGACTTCGGGTTATGTTGGCCTCCAAGCGCTTGCCGAAGATTACCCGATTCCCATATTCTTCTCGGAGGATGGTTGCAATACCGTTCCGCCCCGGACTTTCAATGACCAAGCTACCATTTTCGGCCCGGAAATGGTCGATACCTGGTCCGGTGCCATCATCTATGAATGGATTCAGGAACTGAACAACTACGGCCTTGTGGAATACGGCCCCGCCGTCGGACCAGAAGTCAACCAGGGTTCAACCATTGTTCAAGGGTAAGTCTATTGCTGACAAAGATGCAATTTGATACCCTTTGGAGCTAATCATGTACAGTTTCACCCGTCAAGGAGTGCCTACTCCTATCTCGCCTGACTTCAGCAATCTTCAAGAACAGTGGAAGACACTGAACCCCACCGGCGTCAACTCGGCTCAGTACGCTGCCACGGTCAAGACAACTGCTCCATCCTGCCCAGCTTCGACTGCAGGGGGATGGACAGTGGACCCCAGCGCGCCTCTCCCCACTGTTGGAGCAGAGGCCGTCTCACCAGGTATGCCAAGCGGCCTGCCAACTGGCAGCATTACCGTTGCCACCACGGCGCCCGTTTCCCCTTCTCCTACGTCGCCCTCTGCGTCTATCACTTCTTCTCCCGTTTCGTCGCACGCATCAACTTCGCAGACCAGTAGTACTTACAGCTCGACAGTCACCTCTGCACGGGGCAGCACGACTGCTTCTGGGGCCGCCAGCTCGGCGACATCACAAGGAGCTGCTGCCAGAGTGGTCTCCGCGCCCCCCTCGTTCAGCAATGTCGGATTCATGGGCATGGTGGTTGCTCTGGTGGCAGTGGGCGCAGGAGTCATGATTTGGCTATGAGCGTGGTTTTCTACTCGGCTGGACGAAGATGCTCATCTAACGAGTAACGAAACATGAATGTCGGTTTTCTATGGTTGTAAGCACTCAAATGTGCCAGGGCATCATCGCGCAGAGGTTGTAAAGCGGACAGTGCCGAAGCAGGACATGGATTGTGCGCAACCAGCATTATGAGGACCAGAAACCAGCAATAGATTAATATTAATCGAGAGGGTTATTGTGGTCTGTCAGCTCTGATGTGCGCTAATCGTGGCGGAAGACTGCATAGGTAGCCACTATTAGCGTTGCTCAGCCGCGAATGATTTGGCAATGAACTCGAAGGAAGCACTGTAATGCATAATTCGGACAGGAGCACATCTCTCCCGGTTGCTGCGGCACGGTTTGAAGGTGTAAGCCAGCTGCTGTAAGGCGACCTGAGCATTTTGACACGAAGATGGTACGAGTCATGTTGGAGGCACCTCGAAGTTAAGACTTTCGTCTGACGGTCCGAACAGGGGGTGCCAGTCTTGAGGTTGCCTTTTAGGGTTTTCGTGTCCCCCGTGCTCTTACCTCAATCAGCCTTTCCACTCCCTTCGCTAGACTGCATACGCGTGGGAATATTGTGATTCGCCGGCGTATGTCAGCTAGGCTGGTTGATCCGACATCTTCGGCCGATTTAGAAGGGCCAAATAGAAATCATTTTGGCCTGGCTCAATCTAACACGCGAGTGACTGCATTGGTAAGGTTGGGATTTCCGGCATCTGATCCACAAGCGTTTAACTCCGGCCGATGGTGACGCATGTAGTAACCATTTTTTCATCCTCACTCTCCCTTCAACGGGTCTTTTTGCTCGACGGAGAAATGCCAATATGACGTTTGTTCAACACGATCTTCGCTAATAGATGTGCCTGTATATCTTCAATTGCCGGATTTGCCCCTGCCCACCACAGTGAACCCAGAAGGAGGTGTACTCGTCCCATCTGAAACCTGTGCTTCAGCAGTGCCCTTAACGCCGTCCACAGTTGTCCCAACGAGCTTACCAATCCGTTCCCCTACCACGTGGTCCGCATCTTCACTGTAGTCCGCAATGTCCGTCCTCTGAGGATGTCACTGAGTTCATGATCCATCCTGAAAAGGACCCTGCATTCCTTCAGATTCACCGCCGGGCCGTTTCCCGCCGTTGATCTCTATTCGCTCGCTTTATCCTCTTTCTAGCTTCATACCTACGTCTCTCGCGCCTTTCAAGGCTTTCATCTCTTCTTCCAGCCACTTTAGCGTTTTGTTCTTGACCCCCAAGCAGTCGTCCGACAAGTCGCTTCATACAAAACCTTTCCGAAGGTACTCGACCACCTGGGACGAGGAGGTCTTGGACTGGCGAACGTCATCAGCGCTTTGGATTGAAGACTGGAGCAACCGACAAGATGTTCAACCAACATAGCGGGGAGATGTTCAGGCGTCGCTACCGCGAGGAGCGTAAGCACACTAGAAAACTCCAAGCCTTTTCTACATCTACTGACCAAGGCAGCGCCATTGACAAATTTACACAACATCGCCTTTCCTGGGCAGTTGTTACAGGACACCAGTACAGCGCCGTCTCCTCATGATTCTGGTACGCCGTCAAGGAGTCGCAGCCCAGAACGAAATGGGACGTGGGGCGAACGAGACGTGGGAGGGACCCTCAACCGAGAAGAGGCAATGGCCGAGTTCGAGGAAATCAGGCGAGAGATCTCCAAGATCAGCTTGCAGCGGACTGCCACCCGGGAATCAGGCGCGGAAAAGCCCAGGACTTGGTTATCGAGGGGTCGCTCACGACCGTCGCTGGCCCGCACCAGGACGACAGCCTCTCGAGCCACCAGTAACGCGACGGATGGCGATTGGGACAAAGAGGCTGGTCCCGAGCCGGTGGGAGAGGATGACCTCGATCTTGGCGCCTTCCTAAAAGATGGTCACTTCGAGAAGCGGACCGCGGCTGGAGAGTCTGCGAAGAAAGTGGGTGTGCTGTACAAGAATTTGACGGTGAAAGGAGTCGGCGCTCAAGCTACATTCACCAAAACTCTACCAGAAGCTATCGTTGGCACTTTCGGACCTGACCTCTACCGACTTGTCACCAGATTTGTTCCCACACTTCGGTTCGGAAAGCCGCCCCCAACGAGAGACCTGATACACGACTTTACTGGCTCGGTACGTGATGGGGAGATGATGCTGGTGCTCGGCCGTCCGGGGTCGGGTTGTTCGACTTTCCTCAAAGTCATCGCAAATCAGAGGGAGAGTTTTGCAGGTGTAGAGGGCACGGTCACCTACGGCGGTATCCCTGCGGAAGAGCAGAAAAAGCGTTACCGTGGCGAAGTCAACTATAACCCAGAAGATGACCAACATCTGCCTAACTTGACCGTATGGCAAACGCTCAAATTCGCACTGATGAACAAGACGAAGAAACATGAGGCCAGTACCATCCCAGTCATCATCGATGCTCTATTGAAGATGTTTGGCATTTCTCATACGAAAGGCACGCTGGTCGGCAACGAGTATGTTAGAGGCATCTCTGGTGGCGAGCGAAAACGGGTAGGCATTGCTGAGACATTGGCAACGAAGTCCAGCGTGGTGTGCTGGGACAATTCAACACGCGGGTTGGATGCCTCCACGGCGTTGGACTACGCCAAGTCACTCCGCATAATGACCGATATCTCCAATCGAACGACCATTGTCACGCTGTACCAAGCGGGTGAGGGCATCTACGAACTGATGGACAAGGTCTTGGTGATTGAGGAGGGGCGAATGATATATCAGGGTCCTGCAGACCGGGCAAGACAGTATTTCATCGACCTGGGATTCCATGCCCCCGAACGACAGACAACAGCGGACTTTCTGACTTCAGTCGGCGACCCGAACGAGCGCGAATTCCGAGATGGCATGGAAGCCTCGGCACCCAAGACGGCTGCGGAGCTGGAGGCCGCTTTCCGCAAGTCCAGCATCTATCAGGAAACCATTGCCGACGTGGATCGCTATGAGAAGGACATGGAGAAGTCGAATTGCTCCGACACCAGGCAATTCCAGGAGGCAGTCCAGGAGCAAAAGAGCAATAGCAAACTGGTCTCGTCACAGTCCAGCTACACAGTCTCCTTCTGGCGTCAAGTCATGGCCTGCACGCTCCGAGAGTTTTGGCTCTTCTGGGGAGACAAGTCTACGCTGTACACCAAGGTCTTCATCATCATTTCAAATGCTCTGATCGTTGGCTCGTTGTTCTACGGCGAGAGCCTGGATACTAGCGGTGCATTCCCGAGGGGTGGTGCTCTGTTCTTCTCAATATTGTTCCTCGGCTGGCTGCAACTGACTGAATTGGTGCGGGCCGTTAGCGGTCGCGTGGTCATATCACGGCACCGCGACTACGCTTTTTACCGCCCTAGTGCTGTGGTCATTGCCAGAGTCATGCTTGACTTGCCGGTTCTTCTGGCTCAGGCAGTGGTCTTCACCATCATCCTCTACTTCATGGCAAACCTTGACGTCGACCCCGGCAAGTTCTTCATCAACCTCCTCTTCGTCTACATCAGCACTATCTGCGTCACGGCACTCTACCGCATGTTCGCCGCCCTGAGCCCGAGCATTGACGACGCCGTGCGCTTCTCGGGTATCGCACTGAACCTCCTGATCCTCTACGTGGGTTACACCATTCCAAAGACAACCTTGACAAGCGATGTCATCTGGTTTGGGTGGCTCTATTATATCAATCCAGTATCATACTCGTACGAAGCAGTGTTGACGAACGAGTTCCATGGTCGAGTCATGGAATGCTCTCCCTCGAATCTTGTGCCTCGAGGACCCAACGCAGTGGCGGGTTACCAAGGATGTTCTCTGACTGGCGCGACTGTCGGCAGCACTCAGGTTCGTGGGGATGCCTATTTCGAAAATTCTTTCGGCTACTATAGATCCCACCTCTGGCGCAATTTCGGCGTGGTCATTGCCTTTACGGTGCTCTACATTCTCATCACCGCCATCGCGTCCGAAGTTTTCTCTTTTACCGGCGGCGGCGGTGGAGCCCTTGTGTTCAAGAAGACTCGCAAGGCGAAGAAAATGGTAAACGAAGAAAGCAAGCCATCGGACGAAGAGAATGCCGCGGTACCTGGTGAGCCCGTCTCAAGTGCATCTTCAGACACTATGACGAAGGAGCAGAAGCAAGAGACTGTAGGCATCGCCGAAAGCAAGAGCGTCTTTACTTGGGAGAATGTTGAGTACGAAGTTCCATACCAAGGTGGCAAGAGAAAGCTGCTGAACAAGGTCAACGGCTATGTCAAGCCAGGGGTTATGATCGCCCTCATGGGCGCATCTGGCGCTGGAAAGACCACCCTTCTCAACACCCTATCCCAAAGACAGACAATGGGAACTGTTAGTGGAGACATGCTTGTTGACGGGCGTCCTCTTGGAATCGAATTTCAACGAGGCACCGGATTCTGCGAACAGATGGACCTGCACGATGAGACCGCCACAATCCGAGAAGCCCTGGAGTTTTCGGCCATTTTGAGACAGGATCGGAAAGTCCCCAAACAGGAGAAGATTGATTATGTCAACAACATCATCGAACTATTGGAGCTCCACGACATTGAAGATGCCATCATTGGCTCGCTGGGCGTCGAGCAGCGCAAGCGACTTACCATTGGGGTTGAGCTGGCTGCCAAACCAGAATTGCTCCTATTTCTGGACGAGCCCACCAGCGGTTTGGACTCACAGTCGGCCTTCTCGATTGTCCGATTTTTAAAGAAGCTCTCGCAGGCCGGCCAGGCAATCATTTGCACAATCCACCAGCCTTCTTCCATCTTGATCCAGCAATTCGACATGGTCTTGGCTCTGAACCCAGGCGGCAACCCATTCTACTTTGGACCCATCGGGGAGAACGGGTCAGCAGTGATCGAGTACTTCGCCAAGAGAGGCACACAGTGCCCACCAAACAAAAATGTAGCTGAGTTCATTCTCGAGACTGCGGCCAAGGGAGGCAAGCGTCGAGAAGATGGCAAGCGCGTCAACTGGAACAAAGAGTGGCTGGAATCGGAGGAGAATGCCTCGATGCTGAAGGAGATCCAACGCCTCAAGGAAGAACGATCCAAGGAGACACCAAAGGCCGCGACCGAGCAACATGAATTCGCCGCGCCCGTCCAGTTACAGACGTACGAGCTCATGAAGCGCACGTTCCGCTCATACTGGCGCGATCCATCATACCTCTACGCGAAGCTCTTCGTGAGCGTCATCATCGGCATCTTCAACGGGTTTACCTTCTACAACCTCACCGACTCGGTGGCATCGCTGCAAGAACGATTCTTCACTTCCTTCCTCATCCTCCTGATCCCACCCACGATTGTCAACGGCGTGGTGCCCAAGTTCTTCCAGAACCGCGCCCTGTGGGAAGCCCGTGAGTACCCGTCGCGCATCTACGGCTGGTTCGCCTTCTGCACAGCGCAGGTCGTTGCCGAGATCCCATCCGCGGTCGTCGGCTCCGTCATCTACTGGCTGCTGTGGTACTACCCGACCAATCTGCCCCGTGACAACGAGACGGCTGGGTACATGTTCCTGATGACCATGCTGTTCTACTTCTTCATGTCGTCGTGGGGCCAGTGGATCTGCGCGTTTGCACCCTCCTTCACGGTGATCGCCAACACGCTGCCCTTCTTCTTCGTCATGGTCTCCATCTTCAACGGCATCGTGCGACCGTACAGCCAATTGCCCGTCTTCTGGAAGTACTGGATGTACTACGTCAACCCGTCGACGTGGTGGCTGAGAGGTGTCTTAGCGGCGACACTAAAAGACGTCACAGTCCGATGTGCCCAGGGCGAGTCGACCCTGTACAACGCCCCGCCGGGCCAGACCTGCCAATCATACACGCGCGAGTTCATCAATTCGTCGGGCATGGGGTATGTGACCACCATGGCCAACGGCACTTGTGCGTATTGCCCCTACGCCAATGGGCAGGAGTACCTGTCGACGCTGAACACCAAGCCCGACGAGCAGTGGCAGGACTTTGGCATCTTCCTGGTCTTCACCTTCTCGAACTGGCTGTTGGTGTACTTCTTCATCTGGAGCGTTAGGGTCAAGAAGTGGACCTTTGGGTTGGGTTATCTGTTTGGCCGGGCTGAAGAGTTGATCAAGGCTGCGAAGGGCGTGGTGCAGAGAAAGTGAGACGGTCGCATCAGAGAAGCATCAAGTGGACTGACAAGTGGTTTATTGTGTGGGAGAATGTGGTGCTACTGACTCGATTGAATCGAAGAATCGGATGCAGTGCAATCCAGTTGCATCGAGCAATACTTGAGGCAGTACCTTGTACTATGTAAGCCACGGAGAGCAGGTTAGCTACTACATAGGTGCGATGATTGAGTAGAGCAGAGCAGAGCATGGCGTCCATATCCGGTTGGGTTGGTGACAATAACTGTGCCAAATAGGTCATAAGAAGAAAAGTAGGTTGATCCCTGTTCACTCACGAAAGGAAGCGCCGCTGTGATACAGTACATTCTCGTGCCTTTTGATGCCTCCTTGCCTTACCTATGGCATGTGATTACAGTAACTGACGAAATGCGTCTCCCGCAGGAAGAAGAAGGCGTGGAAAGGACCAAATCATCCTCACCGGACCACCAGTTTTCATCGTGATCTCCTTTATCTCGATGCCGCCCTGCAACTCAGCCTCCGGAGGCCCGCTGATTGATGGAAGGAGAACGATTTGACGACATTGCATTGATCCGGAAATCTTCAGTAGGGCGGTATATATCATCTATTCAGCGAGACGTCGAAGATATCAGCATTCCGAACATCTGATTATGCCCAGTTGATGACCTGCTCGTTCTGCCAGAATTGTCCGTTTGACCCCTTGATATCACCTATGGCCAACAGCACAGGCGTCTGCGCTCCCTGGTCCGGCGTCTTGGACCCTCTGCCCTTGGTCATATCAGTGTTCACATAGCCCGGGCAACAGCTGTTGACCAACACCTTACTCCCACTTGCGGCATTCAATTCTGCAATCGTCTTCGTCATCCCAATGACACCAGCCTTGCTGACTGCGTAACCCGCACTAGGCCAGTCCGACGAATGCGTCCCTTTTGAGACGGCCGAGGCGAACTCGTCCATCAGCTCGGTGATTTCTTCTGGTTTCTTGGCCTGGAGGAACCGTGTTCTGATTGCGTCAGAGTACTTCGAGTTGCTCAGCTTGCCCGCCATGGAGGCGACATTGACGAGGCGGCCTCCGTCCTTGAGATGCGGCAGGAGTTGTTGTGTGGCTTCAAGAGTGCCGAAATAATTGCAGTGCAACGTCTTTTTCACCACGTTCTCGTCAAACCCGTCCATGGCCACCCCTGCATTGTTGATCAGAAAATCGATCCCATCGGGATGTGTCTGTTTTATCTTGGCCGCAAAGTCGTCGATGCTCTGCTTGCTGTCGATGTCGAGCGGGAGATATTCCACGTCTGTGAGGCCGCCTTGGCTGCGCAGCGCTTTGGCTTTTTGCAACTGTGCATCTGTCGTGATGGATTCGAGGGCGGCTTTGCCTCGTTCTTCGTTGCGCGCCGTCAGGTAGATGAGCAGAGGACCGGTGTTGAGGGGCGACTTGGGATACTGCAGGGCGAGTTGGCGGACGATGGCCAGGCCGATGCCCTTGTTGCCGCCGGTTACGGCGCCGACGCGTGCGTAGGTGGTCATTTCGTTGTCGACAGGGTGAGGTAAGTGCAATGCAATTGTATACAATACTGAGAGCTTTATTATTCAGGTACAGTACCTTTCTGAAGCCTACCTTCGGCGTTAGGCGATAGCAATGGACGTGTCATAGACCCGCACGCGCATTCGTGGGGATGGTGTCTTTCGAACCTACACAGTAGGGTCCTGGTCGCTGTCGGCGTGTAGAATTGAAATCTCGTTCGCGTGCGTCAAGCGCAGTTACCACAGTCTGAACGAATGCTTGTCTACAGAGAACGAGCCGCGCAGATTGTCCAGTGAAAACCCGAAACGGGTGGCTTCTCAAGAGTTATGGACATGGCTGATCACGTGCTGCTTTGGTTTGTGTGGCCGCTCATTGGAGGGCGGCGGAAGCTCGCTTCCGAAGCTGCTTTGAAGCCGAGGCCAACCGCGTGGTGGTGACGTTCTGCAGGATCGAAACCGCCGAAGCATTTCCCATCGAAGAGAGCGCAAATGTGAAAACGGTCGACATTTCCTTTCTCCAGCTCTGCATCGGTCCATAGAAGTCTCGATGGCCTCCAAACATGTTTCCAGGCCTTTGCTGAGGCTCGTCTCACCTACGCAGCCATGTCGTTCCTTCTCGAGAGCCTCCGTATCTCAGTTAACAGCTACCCCCGCACATCGTCGAGCTGCCAGTTCTCGTAATGTGTCACGAGCCACGAGACCCCTCTTCGTAGCTGGCCAACGAAGAGCCATATCCAGCAGTTTACAGCGTCGATACGCCGAGGCTGACGAAGGGTTCGATCCCGCCACGATCGAACGCGAGTCCGACGAGGTCGACGTCTGCATTGTTGGTGCCGGACCCGCGGGCTTGAGTGCCGCCATCAGGTTAAAACAGCTTGCCAATGAGGCCGGCAATGAAGAGTTTCGGGTGGTGGTGCTGGAGAAGGCGGGTGAGGTGGGAGCACATATCCTATCGGGCAATGTGTTGGAACCAAGAGCTATAGAGGAGCTGATACCAGACTGGTTAAGCGAAGACAATGAAAATCGCTTTACTGGAGCCACACCGGCGAAGAGCGATACAATGAGATTCCTGACAAAGAGTGGTGCGATCCCTCTACCAGCGCCCCCACAGATGCACAACAAGGGCAACTACATCATCTCGTTGAGTCAATTTGCGAAGTGGTTAGGCGAACGGGCCGAGGAGATTGGAGTCGAGATCTACGCTGGATTTGCGGCTGCGGAGATCTTGTACAACCGTGAGGGTGCCGTCAAGGGGGTTGCGACAAACGACCAGGGCGTAGGCCGAGATGGGAAAGCAAAGGCCAGCTTCGAGCGAGGAATGGAGTTCCACGCCAAAGTGACGTTACTGGGCGAGGGGTGCCACGGCAGTCTGACTAAACAGGTATCGAGGAAATATGATCTGAGGAGAGACTGTCAGCCTCAGACATATGGCCTGGGCTTAAAGGAAGTGTGGGAAATCCAACCGGAGAAGTTCAAGAAAGGTGAGATATCGCATACAATGGGGTTTCCCTTGAGCAAGGACACCTACGGTGGTGGCTGGATGTACCACTTTGGCGACAACCTATTGAGTTTGGGGTTGGTGGTTGGCCTGGACTATTCCAATCCCTGGCTTTCCCTATATGGCGAGTTTCAGCGGATGAAGCTGCACCCGTTCTACAAGTCCGTGCTGGAGGGTGGCAAGTGCATTGCATACGGTGCCCGAGCTCTCAACGAAGGCGGCTTTCAATCAATACCAAAATGCTCGTTCCCAGGTGGCGCTCTGATCGGGGACACAGCCGGTTTCCTCAACGTACCCAAGATCAAGGGAACGCACACGTCGATGAAGTCCGGAATGCTGGCCGCCGAAGCTGCATACGAAGCTCTCCAGAACAACAAAGGTGAAAACACCGTCTTCCTGTACAACTATGAGGATGCATTAAGGCAGAGCTGGATCTGGCCGGAACTCAAAGCCGTGCGAAACATGCGGCCATCATTCCACACTCCGCTCGGCATCTACGGTGGCATCATGTATTCTGGCCTGGAAGCCTTTCTGTTCCGAGGCATGACGCCCTGGACGTTGAAGCACAAGCAACCTGATTGGGCGGCCACCAGGCCCGCGGACCAGTTCGAAAAGATCGAATACCCGAAGCCTGATAACGAGATCACGTTTGATATACTGACGAGCGTGTCTCGGACTGGGACCAACCACGAAGAGGATCAGCCCGTGCACTTGCAAGTCAAGGACTGGAACGCTCATGCCCAGAAAGAGTGGCCGAAATATAAGGGAGTGGAGAACCGGTTCTGTCCTGCAGGCGTGTATGAGTACGTAGAGGACGACACGAAGGATATTGGCGTGAGGTTTCAAATCAATGCCCAGAAGTAAGTACCTGGTGTCTCTCTATCTGCTGAGATACGAAGCTGACAAAGGTCCAATAGTTGCATTCATTGCAAGACGTGCGATATCAAGGTGCCGGATCAGGATATCAATTGGCGGACGCCCCAGGGAGGCGAAGGACCAAGCTACAGTATTACTTGAGACCCAGCAGAAATGTATATTTAGAGCTCGTTGATATCGGCGATTTGAGAACATGCAATGCCCTCTAAAGACGTGTACCTTGGTATAGCGATGGGCTCTCCGATCGCTCTCGAGTCAGTCTTACTGCAGGTACGATCGGAATGTGTACAGTACAGAGATGGTTAATGCCTCCTCGCGTTTGACGACTGAGTCGATGCGACTGTTGATGCGTCTGTCTAACAACTTGGGGTGCTATAAAAAGGTTGAGAATGAAGCCGGACATAAGTATAAGGAATTTTAGAGCAAAATGAGCAATCTTGAAGCGAGTGTAGCTTGCTACAAGAGGCACTGGTTGACAGGATCCATTCAACAGTGGTTTCTTAACCGTCGACGACCCAGTCTAGGTCCTCTATTCATTGCTCCTTTCGTGCCGTTTCGAACTCCGCCATCCTCAGTCCCTGCTAGCAGAGGTCACCTAGGTCGCATGGTCGGCCCCAGAGAGATCCAACCAAGTTGAACCGCTCGGGGACTAACCCACTCGCCCTCCTCGCGCGTCGTGTTCTGTGCGTTTGCGCAAGCCTTGGGCAGAGGACGCTGGCGCGACTCTGCATCCAAGCCGGTTACTGTCTCGGCAGTCTGCTCCCTCTGCCTGATCTGGGCTTTGCGTGTGCCTCCCGGCCATACCCTCGGAGCCTGCTGTCGCACAATCTCGAAGTCGACCGAGCTGAACAGAAGACCTGCACTCACCGAGTACCCGATATGTAAATCTGCGTGATACTCGGATCTTGCCCGCCGCGGGCCGCGCGGAATGCGCCATCCTACCGGTCCCACTGGTCCGGGGTAGGGGTGTTGGTATTGACATTGATATCGAGGCCTACCGCGTACTCGTACGCGAGGCTGGGTGTGCGGGAGTCGGAGGGGGACCTGGGTAACGCTCTTCGCAGTAGGTGTAAGCGTGCTGGTGCTGGCTGTCAAGGTGAAGTTGGGGGTACTCGTATCCATGGTTCCCATATCCTATCCTATCCTATCCTGTTCTTCATGCGATACGGTATGGCTGGATGTCATGCGAGTATGTAGTTCAAATCCAGCTGCGCGACTCCTACCTACCGTAGTGTACCAAATCCTAGCGACTGTTCTTTTTGACGCAATCAGATGGTCGCGGGTGATAATACTCATCTATAACTTGGATAGCTCAACGAGCGGGAAACCAGCGTTTTTGGCGTGGGTTGAGCCTCGCCTTCCCTCTGGCGTTCGACATCACTGGCAGTGAGTGACTTAGCTGCCACTTTCGTGACACTTAGCAGATACCACAACCGCCTGTACCTCATTTGTGCTTTAACGAAGCAACAGTATCAGACGCCCGACGATCTGTACCCCGTTTGTGCGCTATCACAAAGCGACACTATCAGACACTCCGACCATCTTTCTATCTCATTTGTGCTGTCACAAAGCACGCACGCACGCACGGCTGATGCGGCAAACGCACCGACCAACGTTTCCCGGTTTTGCAAGTACCGTGGTCACACCGAACGACCATCTTGAAAGGTTCGACAAGTGAGTGACGTTGGAGTACCGGCGTGCCGATATCCAAAGAGCCTAAATGGCGATGCTAGATGCTCAAGTCGCAAGCGGGGTATACTGGTGATCGTCATTGTCGCAACACCTCGCTCAAGCGATCATGAAAGACCAACTGAACAAGGCAGGTCGATCGTTGTATACCGGAGATGCTTTGTCAATTACCATCATGGTTGGAATCGAATTCAGCCGAGATATTTTAGATCGCGGCTCGATTCGAGTTGGACGAAGAGTATTTCCTCCGCACGTTTCCCCAGATCGGTGAAGGTCTTGGAGTACGTATGTACTCCGTAGTCAAGCTTCAATACGAGGTACCTACGGCATAGTACAGGGTAACGAGATGCAGCTTCTTGGTCGCCTTTGTTTGTCGGCGGCGACGGTGGCGGCCCTCTTCTGTGCTGCATCAGCAGCGCCGGCTTCTGGATGCCCTTCAGCGTCTGCGAGCCCATCCTTGGCCACCAAGAATCCCCTGCTGCCGAATCCATTCGAGTTCTTGTCTGGAGCACCCGTGTCCAGTAAAGCAGATTGGTCGTGCCGCCGCGAGGAAATCTCGGCACTGTTCCAACAGTATGAGCTTGGCATCAAACCTGGTCCGCCCGAGCACCTCGAATCCAACTTTGGGGAATATGCAAACGGCACGGGTGGTAATCTCACCTTGACCATTTCAAACGGCGGCAACACAATCTCCTGGACGGCCACGGTCAAGTACCCCAACACGACGACTGGGAGTGGTCCGTACCCAGCACTCATCGCGCTCGACCTCTTGACGGTACCGGCGCCAGAAGGTGTCGCCATAATAACGGCCTTCGTGTCCGAGTTCGCACAACAGGACAACACCACGTCCCGGGGAAAGGGGCTGTTCTATGAGCTTTATCCGGACACATCGCCCCAAGCTGCTGGCGCGTTGATGGCCTGGGCCTGGGGCGTCTCGCGCATCATGGACGCCCTCACCACTACCACCACCACCACAAACATTGATCCCGCGCGGGTCGGTGTTGTGGGTTGTTCTCGATGGGGCAAAGGCTCGCTCGTCGTCACTGCGTTTGAGGAAAGAATCGCCCTGGGCATCATCCAAGAGTCAGGTTCCGGCGGTGCAGCATGCTGGAGATTGTCCGATGTCGAGAACGTCAGCGTCAATGGTAGCGACACCGTGCAGACGGCCCACGAGATCGTCGGCGAGAACGTCTGGTACAGCCAGGAGTTCGAGGTGTTCGCCAACGAGACCGACGGCACGCAGAGACTGCCATTTGATCACCACATGCTGGCTGGCCTTGTGGCTCCTAGAGGACTCTTTGTTGTTGATAATCTCGGCTTTGAGTGGTTGTCGCCTTGGAGCAGTTATGGATGCATGACTGCTGCGCGGGAGATCTATAGGGCCCTGGGCGCCCAGCAGGCATTCGGGTACAGCGAGGCTGCTAACCATACGCATTGTCAGTTTCCTGTCGCCGACCAGGGCGCCGAACTCGACACGTATGTGAACAAGTTCCTGCTCGGCCAGCAGATCCAGTCGGACGTGTTCAGGACGGAGGGCAACTTCACTTTTGATCTGGCGCAGTGGATTGATTGGGAGACTCCAATGCTCAGCTGAACGTCAAGCGCAACTGATTGACTGGGAGACTCTAATGCTTAGCTGAACGGTCAACTGATGACTCCCGTTCGGAGGCGACTGCCTCCACCTCGTGCTCAGGAGCAGTGTAGCACTGAGGTCGGTTGGAAAGCATCATCACTGCGATCGTAGCCTGTACATAGGCGGATGGTGTAGCAAGCTCAGTCATAGGAGGGCAGTGGTCTGACCGAAGAACATACCGCAACAGGGACAATGAAAGGCTCGGGTCTATCACTGGTGTCTGGCCTCGGTTCTTATCTGACGCGGCTGCGTTCAACACTACTCACCGTACGGAGTAGTCCATAAGGCCATAATTGCCCTGGAGAATTGCTTCTGTATCTACAAGCCACCTTGGAATCCGTCAAAAATAGCAGAACACGCATACAAACAAGCCAGGAGGCAAAGAGCAACATGTTTGCTAGCTCAGTCAACCCGGACCACTGACTGGCCTTTTGTACTCACCTCTGCTGAAGAGCTTTGCGAGCTGCAGAACTCCCTGGAAAAGGGACGATAGCCTGAACGGTAAGGCTGCAAATACTGTACTCCGTATAGGAAGGCGCTTGAGGGGAAGAGAAGGCTGTCGCCCGAAATGGCAGGATTTCGTTTGTTGTGCTATGACAGATCGGCGGCGTGTGAATGGTCAAAATGACACCGGTTTGGGACTTGCTCGCCCGACCATCAGGATCAGGACACCGTATCCGAACGCAATCATTGGCTCGCTTGCTAACCTGATCCCTGCACGGGACAAAAGTGACGGACCAGGGTGAGCAATGCCGGCCTGAAGCCAAGCCAAGCTTGCGCGGCGCTTTGTGTGGCGGGCACTGGCATGTGAAAAGTTTGAAACCGGAATTGCAGGCAACCCTTGCTTTGGAGCTTGTCTGGAGCGCGTCAAGGCGCTGGAATCACCAGGAGTCATGACTCACGCCTGCATCCTGACCCTCCTTTCATTCTTCTTGTTGTGCTAAAGAATTTCTCCTTCTTTCAATCACCCTCGTATTCCCATCCATTCGCTTCTGAAGAACGGTCATCGTCAACATGACAAACAACAGCGACAAAGCCTAGTGGAAAAGGGTTTGTTCAAAAGCAGCTGAGTGACCTGGTTCCAACCGCCCTCGTGCTGGATGTGCAAACCGGAGAATGAGCCCGGGCGGCAAACCCGGTCCAGGGCCCAACCAGCGACCGCCCGCTTGATCTTCCCTCACCCTTCCACCTTTCACCTGCTCCTACCCACTTGCACTGTAAACCTTAAGGGTACCACCGTGACGGACTCTCCGAGATCAAGATTCTGTTTTCAGCTTGTCACATCCATCTTTGTCCACACTGGCTTCGGTGATGGCAGACACAAGGCAGAATGTTTGCTTGCAACCAAGATCTTTGGTGTTGGTGCATCATGCAGACCTTAGTTTAGGGGCAGGACAAAGCGCAGGGCAGATCAAGCACCAGTGCGCCAGGAGTGGCATGTTTCGCTCCTGGTGGCATGAAGCAGAGAAAAGGGGTGCAGCAAGTGGCGGAGAGGGCAGGTGGGAACAGGTGGCAAGCGATGCAGATGGGCGCCGGTGTAGGACTAGCGTTTCTCTGTGTCACTTTCGGCCCACTTTAGCGTGATTTCCCTGGACGGGGTTTGCTGGCTGCTGCATGGCACGTGAGTCATTTGTAGATTTGAGCCGTCATTTCAATTTGTACTTAAACTGGGCGGCATCCCAGGTTGCGAGCAACCTGCTCCTCCCGACATCTCCGGTATTACTTCGGCTTACCTTCCCCCCGCCGTATCTCATTCTTGGCCAGGCCTCAAAGCGCAATTTCTGTTGCCAGCCTGCGATCACCATCCCATCTCATATCCTCTCCCAGGCATCGATTCGGTTCCAAACGATATCGTGCCGCCGTCAAGTTGGGCGCATCCCGCAAAGAAGATCGGAAGTCACGAGACAAGATCCCACCTGCGCCGCGCCTGCCACTCTTTCAAGGGCAAAATAAAGAACGAAGAAAGAACGAACCGCAAATAGACAGTCTCTTTCCGCGCATTAGTAATTCGCAATCGCACTCTTGCTTCCTTCTGCTCCTGTTTCCCACCTCCTCGTCACTCCTCAGGCCAGGCGAAAGCTCAAGTCCAAGATCCGATTTGATCTGAGGAACAAGACTCGTCGGTCAATCAATTGGAAGTAGGGCAGTTGTGTTGTAGGGGAGACATTGAATTGTTCATCTCCCGCATCTCGGTACGATACCATCGCATCCTTTCACTTCTACCTCGTTCCTCCGATCGATTCCATCGAGCTTCGATCCGCCGTCGTCGAGTTGACGCGAGACCTGCCTGCGGCCAAAGTGAAGTATCCCTCACTTCCACTGCCGCCTCGACTCGCGCCCGTCGCCGATACGACGTTTTCTACCTCACCCTCACCTTCGCGCCTGCAAACAAATTACCTCATCCTGACCTGACTTCTTCCTTCTCAGACTGCTTTCAGCCATCCTTCGATCGATCTCTCTCATCGACAAGGACGACCTTTTGCGAACCGCTTCATTGCGACCGCATCGAAAACCTCATATTCTTGCAATCATGGAGTCCCTTACCACTCATCCCTCCACTGCGCAACAGGCCAAAGCCTTCACCTCCCCCGCGTCCTTGTCATTTCCCGGCGGCGCTGGCGACTTGACACCGCCCTCCTCTGAGAAAGACGGACAAAACCTTAATGGTGGCTCCTACGCGGATGGGAAGATGGGTCAGCCTCAGGGACAACTTGCACCACAGACCCCTGGCGCAACCCCTGGCGCTGGAGTGAGTGGTATTGTGCCCACCTTGCAGTGAGTATTGACCCTTTGTTGTCCTTGACAAGGTCAGCAGAGGTTAACATTCTCAAAGAAACATCGTCGCCACGGTCAACCTTGACTGTCGTCTCGATCTCAAGACCATTGCACTCCATGCACGCAATGCTGAGTACAATCCCAAGGTAAGCCCCGCCTCACCCTGTGGTTCGTTCAAGGCGTCCGTACTGACTGCTCCAGCGTTTTGCTGCTGTCATCATGCGTATCCGTGATCCCAAAACCACTGCTTTGATCTTCGCATCAGGCAAGATGGTTGTCACTGGCGCAAAGTCCGAAGATGATTCGAAGCTTGCAAGCCGCAAGTATGCTCGCATCATTCAGAAGTTGGGCTTCAACGCGAAGTTCACCGACTTCAAGATCCAGAATATCGTTGGCTCGTGTGACATCAAATTCCCCATTCGACTGGAAGGTCTTGCCTCAAGGCATCATCCTTTCAGCTCCTACGAGCCTGAGCTATTCCCGGGTCTTATATATCGAATGATCAAGCCCAAGATCGTACTGCTGATCTTCGTGAGCGGCAAGATTGTACTCACAGGTGCCAAGGTCCGTGAGGAGATCTACCAGGCATTCGAGAACATATACCCTACGCTTACAGGTAAGCCTACTCGGCGATTCATATGGTGGATTGGAGCTGACGTGATCTAGATTTCCGCAAAGTCTAATTACTTCGGCCGAGTGCGAAGTCTCACGGCACTGTATCAACAAACAAGCACTTCTCCGACTGTTCTCACCCCGTCAGAGCATGCCAAACTGCTTGTCTCTGCATCTTGCAGTCCAAGCTCCGCCACCATCATACCACAACATCTTGCTTTTATCACTCGTGTTACGACTATCTACGAGCATTGCATGGCGTTTTGAGCGATAGTCTTTCATCTCGTTCCCCAAGCAGGCGCACCAAAATGGGGAATGGTGCCTGGGCCTGTTACATCACATTAGACATCGGGTCCTCATCGACAGAGCGGACATCACTTCCAATGGCGGTATTCGGCGCTGGTCGACTTCGCATACCGTCTTCCTTTCGGTGGTCTGTTTTACAAACCACCAAAATTGTTTTCCGGCGAAATGTTCCCGGTCATGGACGGGTTACCTCGGAATTCTTGGGCTTGGTTGCTCACCTGAAACCAGTATTTTTGCGTCGGAAGAGGCCATCAGCAGGATGGAATAATCCACGTCCTGGGTGCTCAGATTGTTTACAATAGAAAAGCAGCAGAGGCGAAGATTCTCTATGGAGGGCACGAAGGGGGTGAGAACTCACCAGAGTCACTGTAGTCGAGGTTGTTGATGCTTGTCCTAACCCTGAGCCGGCTACGAGCCGCAATAATATGCGGTCGACAGCACAGTAGCTCAACATGAAATTGTTTATACCCCCAACCAATCGCAGTCTCTCTGCATTCTTTCGCGTACTTCCCCCCTTCATTTATTCGATGCCGTGTGCCCTCGGGAAGGGTTTTTGAGCCCTGCTGTGCAAAGCAGACTCAAGTTGAGGTATGCTGTTTCGTGGAGACTGCTCATGTTGTTGCAGGGGGACTTCCAAGCGCATATTGCTGCCATTCTCGACACGGCGTCATGCGGGGCAGCAGCCGATAAGCCGACTTTGGCATCAGCGCCAGAACTCGAATTGAAGTATTCTGCTTGGTGTACTGTGTAGACTGCTGGAAGCCGTTGTAGCAGGACCTCCAAGTGTACATTCACCCAATATTGCTGACATTTGAGAAAAAAGTGATGCTGTTAAGGAGCTCACAAGCCGACTTTGAAATCATGATCAGGCCAGTGACGGAAAAGAAAAGTCCTTGTCCAGTCCAGAGTCCGGGTTTCTGGCACTCGAATTTAGAGTCGGATTTCGCATGACTTACTAAGAGTTGATTCGGATTCGCATAATGTTGTATAGTCTCGTGTTTGATATACCCTGCCAGCCAGCCGGTCGGCTAGCCAACCATGCTTGCTGATGGTCTTACCCATTAAACCCTTGCTCGTGTCGTGCGTATTTAGATGTGCGGATGTTCGAATGAGATCCTCTGCGCTGTGCCGCGTGCCTATGGCGGAGAATGAGAGCACGGCGATTGTGGAGATGATTGCCAAGTGTCGCGCGGACATACTCCGTATGTAGTGGTAGTTGGTAACAGTAAGAGAACTGATATAGAGTGAGCACGACCAGCATGGTAGAATATGCCTGAGGATGGAAGGACAGGGATGAACCAGATGAGTAGAAACGGTAGAGGAATGGGAGGACGGGAGGAGGAGAGGAATATCGTGGAAGATAACAAGTCGATATAAATGGGTTACAAAGGCACATACATACCTACTGTCACAGCCGGCCTCGACTGACCAATCAAACTCAAGACACGTGACCGCAAAAATTGCGCAGGTGGCATAAGGGCGATCTGCGCCTTTGCACACTCCACAGATAGACCTCGTCTCGTTATTTCATCATGATCATTGCCCTGCCTTTTGGCCCTGTGGTTCGAGATACTTACTAGGTACTAAGGTGTGGTGACATGCGTACATACCTGTACTTACCTAGACACGAGTACTGTGCACGCGGAAGTGAGATCCTTGGGATTTAGTCCTTGCTATAAGTACTTCGGTCCCAGAAGGTATCATGAGGCTGAGGCCGAGACTGGGCAAGGGCTGGGACAGCGAAGGGATCGGTGGACCATAGAGTATGTCTGGGTGCTTTCATACCTTTTACTCGCACCGATGAGTAACGTGGGCCTACTGGGTAGATAGAACACGTGAGCGGCTGTGTAGAGCAAAGTACCTAGGTACATTACCCCAGTATGTAACTACTGGTTGTTCCTAGCAGTCACGAGGCAGGAATTAGATGCTGGATCTCATGGCTTTGGACTTGGCTCGTGACTCGCCTCTACTGGGGGTAAATCCCTTGACCTCCACTCATGCGGTCGCGGCCGTGGTCTCAGTTGTTACTGTAAGACAGGAAACGGGCAGACAAGATAGTACCTACTACGTTTGAAGTCGTGCCTTGAGTTGGGTCGAAAATGGCCTGAGACCGGACAGGTGTTCCTGATTCACCTCGTAGAATCAAATCAAATCACCTTCAATGACAGTCAGCTCACTCGCAATCATCAATGTTTGATTCCCGCGTTGTGAATCTCTACAGATGACTTCGGCTTCCCGCTTCCTCCTGCCGTTGACAATCACAGCTTTGCTACCGCTGGCTTGCGCTCAGTAGGACCTCTCTTCCTCTTCATCTCCTCAGCCAGGAGCATTCCCTTCGGTCCGCCTCGACTCCCGTCCGCGCAGGCAATAAACTCTTCTCCACCGCCTTGACTTCTCATCACTTCCTTCAACTCGTCTTCACTCCTCCACCTCCAAATCTCTGCCAACTCGGGCTCGACTTTTCCTTCGATGGCGGCGACGATCTTGTCGCCGATGACGGGGAAGAATTTGAAGCCGTGCCCGCTGCCGCCGGTGGCGAGGAAAAGGTGTTTGTACGCCGGATGGTACGTTATGAGGAAGTCGCCCGTCGGTCTGTGTAGGAAGGGCGTTAGGGGCCCAGATCAGACTGGTGGCAAGAGTGGACGGGAAACTAAACTTACGTATCACAGTACCAGCAGATCCTCGTCCGCACGAACGGTCGATCTGCCATGTGAGGGACAAGTTCGCGGAGTGCCCCTCGCAAGGCCTCCTCGGCCTCGAGAGGGATGGGCACGCCCACGTCCGGCACACTGACTTCGAGGTCGCCGGAAGTGGCTGCGCCAGGCCGCAGCGTCTGCATCGGGATCTTCACCGGATTTCGATACCCGTAGCCATGCCTTGCCACTTTCAACAGCTTGTCCCGCGGCGGGATGATGAACATGCCACTGCTCTGGTTGATGATGGTCGGTCTGTTGCCCATCGCGTCCTGCTCTTCCTGCGTGATGTCGAGAAAGGCCATGGTTTGGCCGGTGGCCAGACATCGGCCCTGCAGATCAACGAGCGAGGGTGTCCATGCCCCGGCTGCCAGCACGGTCAGATCTGCGTGGATTTGTTCTCCTGTGGCTAACTTCACCCCCATGCACTCCATCGCCGCCGCCGCCGATACAAGGAGACTCTGAACCCGTGTGTGGGGACGAATATTCACACGGTCTCCTCCTTCGGTCCTGATCCTCCTCAGCGCGTGCGCGACGCAGGCTTCCGCATTAGCCCAGCCGGAGTTGAAGTTGGCGTAGCCGTGATCGCCGCTCACACCCTCGTAACCTGTCGCCCTACGGATCTCATCGCGTCCATGCAATTCCTGGATCTTGCGCAGGTCGATCCTCCCACGCTTGTCCTCCTGCGCGAGACTGCGCACGTTGGCCAGCGCTCCTGCCAGGTACGCATCTTGATCGGCCACCGCGGTCAACACGAAGCCCGGCTCATGATACCGACCCTCCCCGCCCCATGCGTTTTCGCTCCGGTCACGCCAAAGCTCCTGGGCCTGCAGAGCAAGTTGGGCGTACGGCTTGTGTGCGTAGTCTGCGCGCACGATGCGGTTCGCGTCGACCGAGGAGCCAGACGGGTTGGGCAACGTGGGCGAGCTGTCGATGATAGTTATGCGCGTGCCATTGTATGTTGGATTGTGGAGCAACGAGAGGGCAGTGGAGAGGCCGAAGACGCCGGCCCCGACGATGAGGATGTGCTGTGGTGGGAAATCAGACATGATGGACCTCACATAAAGAGGGGTGAGGACTATCACCTACCAGGAACACAGAGAGCCGTTACGTTACTTTACGTAGAGACCGACGTTCTTCTCCGCAAGTGAAGCTTCGAGATGCATGCTTGTTTCGTGCGCCCTCCAGGTGGGTTGCCGGTTCCGAGGTCGGCTTATGTAAAAGTCGGCTAATTAGAAAGGGAAGGAGATGGCTTGCAGTGCTTTGTAGCTCTCGCCCTCCCATCTTGCGGCACACCCTGTACTGTGTACCTACGTATCCCACGGCAATGGATCACTCATTCCAGAATCACTGAATATCGGGTCACTGTCTCACGTGGGCATAATGGCAGAAGGCGTCATGCACTGCCTGTCACGGTCTCAGTCGCGCGTTCCGCACCTCGCACTCTCCATCTCTGCGAAACGCGCATCTGCACCTGCGTCCGCTCAATGCAAGTCGAGGTCTCCTGCTCAGCAGCTCCCACTGCCGCGGTCGCATCGGTCCTACAGTCGTCTATCTCGCGATGTCGCGCGGGTGTCTTTTCCCCGCAGATACGCCTCGACGGCAACAAGTCGACCCGCGCCTGGCCTGCCGCCATCCCAACGCCAACCGCGACCGCAATCCAGACCACGACCCACGCTCCAGCAACGAGCCGCCGCCGAAGAAACCCTCAAGGAGATGCGTAGCAGAGACGCCCACCGACGTCGCATCCACATGTCCTCGACCACCTACCTGTGGGGGTGCTGCCTCTTTGGCTTCGCACTGTCCACCTACATCATGTATACGTACATGTCTTATACGCGCGCACTGGCGGAATACGACGCCGTGGATTTGCCGCAGAACGCGGACGTGAGTTCGCGGTGGATGGACATGTCGCGCAACTTTGACGACGAGGTCGAATTGGCCGAGAGGGCCATGTTCTTACGGCGCAAGAGGGAGAATCTGTGCCGCGAGGCGAGGGGGCACGTGCTGGAAGTGAGCGCGGGGACGGGGCGGAATATGGATCTCTACAGGCTGGACCCGGCACTGACGTCGCGGGAGGAGAACAAAGTCAAGAGCCTGGTGGTGAACGATCTGAGCGAGATCATGCTGTATCAGGCGCAGAAGAAGTTCAATGAGTTGCAGGACAAGATTGCGGACGAGAGGAGGAAGTTCAAGGGGCCTGTGCAATTTGTGGTGGGCGACGCGAGTGATAGGCGAGTGATCAAGAGGCCAGAGGGTGGGTTTGACACGATTGTGCAGACGATGGGGATCTGCAGTGAGACGAATGCCGTCGGGTTCTTGAAGAGGCTGGGCGAGCTGTGCAGACAGCCGGGCGAGAAGAGTACTGGGTTGGATATGAAGGTCGTGGAGAAAGAAGCGCGAGAACGGCTCGAAGAGCTCAAGGAAGCTCGGGATTATGGTGCCCTCGAACCGGAGCGAGAGCAGCTGGATGCGCTCGTCGCTGAGGCAGGGGGGGACTTGGGAGGCAAGATTCTCCTGCTCGAGCACGGACGGTCGAAGCTCGACTTCGTGAATCGAATCCTCGATAACGGCGCAAAGATGCACGCTGATCACTATGGGTGCTGGTGGAACAAGGACATTGAGCAGGTAGTAAAGGATAGTGGGCTGATCGTGGAGCGGAAGAGAAGGTACCATTTTGGAACGACCTACGAGTATGTTTTGAGGCCTAGACCGAGACGCGAGCCTGAGAAAGCGGGTTTACCTGACGGGGAGGGATCTCCAGTCAATCCCAGTGAGAGTACAAAAGCGACGGGCTGGCTTGGATGGTTCGGGAGGAGTTGAGCATATAGATAGGAGTTTGCATGACCGAACAAGCTCCACATGAGCGCGGTGAGCGAGGCCGTACCTGATGGTCCTGCACCTGACGATAGGGGTACGGACTACCGTATCAATCGGATGAAATAAGGCTGAGGCTGGAAGGGGTAACTCGGCGCCATGCTTGTCTCAAAAAGGCCAGTTCACCGGGTTTCAGTCGACTGCACCTTGCCTCATGTGCCAACGGCTGTGGTGCCTGGCATCAACCTGACCACGCCAAAAGCGCAGCCTAGCTGGCCACACCGCGCACAGAGTCATCTCCTCGGGATCTCTCCATGTACCCGGCTCGGCAGCTATCTACACAGTATGTTATTAAAGACAGCCGCTGCCACGGCCCCTTCCCGTCGGGTCGGGCGCATGGAGTAATGACCGCGCAGTCGCAAGTCCGTCCGAGCAGCGGTGGCATTCGGTACGGGCACATGGACTTGGCTCGAGCCGACGATCTGCAGTAACCCCACCGAGCAATTCTTGCCCGTGTACAATGGGCGAATACGAATGATTCCGCCGAGACGGAACAGCCAAACAGGTCCTGCGCTAGCCTAACTCCAACGGATAAATGTTCCCTCATGGCGGTTCACACGGGATAATCTCAAGATGAATTCATATGCGGCAAAACCTTCACACCTCAAACGAAGTGATCTGTTGAGCGTTGAAAACGTTGAGCACGCCATGATGTAAAGCCCTTTATCTTGCGTGGAGGCTGACTGGCGTTCACGCGAGGTTCCAGCGTTCACGCGCGGATCCCTGGAAGCATATAGCCGCAGTTTGTAGATCCGGATTAATGGTCCGGACGTCAGATGCTGAAACATTGCTTTGGGAATCCCATAACCCGGTGGAAGAATGGATGCTGGGAAAAGTCAGAGGTGTTTGGGACCTCGCTCCTCGCGTAGGGACTCTTTCCGCAGAGGTTATTGCATCATGGTGCGGTTTTGGTGCAGCTAATATTATGCTAGATTCACGGAAATGCGAACAGTGCGGGTGAACCGCATGCACACTATCAGGGGGTGCATGAAGCTATTCCGCGGCTGTGGGGTTGTAATTATTTCCATGGTGGCCCTCTAGCTGAGGTGAAGATCGTTGTGAGCATGTTATTCCGAATCATGGCCTGAGAGTCTGCGCCTGGCTGGCGCTCGTGTCCTCGCTCGTTCGACCGTCGGCACTTGGTTCACACAGCGGCCGATATCGCAGGTGAAGCCATGCACGATCCTAGATGTTGATATGATCCTCGTATACCTCACCATTGATATGTAGGCTTAAAATTCTAACGTGCTTGCGTTTCAGGCCGGATAGCCGGGCGGCCTGGTGAAAGACTGCTGCTGTCACTCTTGCCGCTGCTATCTCCGGGCAAGCAACGTCGGCTACGAGTAATGAGTACACTGTGGATCGTGAAGGCAACCACTCGTACTGTGTAGTGCTGGATATGTGGGATAAGAACCCTCGCAGGTCGGAAATACTTGACTCCTTGCTTCCCATATCTCGATCAACGTTCTCCGTAGCCGTCGGTGCCAGTATTCCCCGTGAAGTTAAGCAGAATTATCGCTCGGTTGCGCATGAGCGGCGGAATGCGGATGGACTAGCCGGTAAGTGGAGGAAGCGGCCGTTAAGTCTAATCCTTTTTATTTCTTTGTTGCTGACGTTTCATGTCTGCGTCAATGGTGAGGGTCAAGTCGAGTGGAGACGAATTATGAGGGGAAGCAGCTCGCGGTCAACGGTGAAGCAATTGAGCGACTCATGCGCTGGCATATAGAGCCGAAGAGAAGACGCTGTGGCATAATTACCCGAGACTCGTCGTCCAGGTCGCGTCTCTTGCACCACCGAATCAGGAAGAAGGACATCATCAGTGTCGCCTCGAGCAACACGCTCGCGTGTGCAGGCTGCACACGAGGTACTATTCTCATCAGTGCTGGAGATCCAATCGGTCTAATTGAGATATGTCTCCATATGGTGCTAGCGCCTCTCCGTCGAGTTGTGAGGTGTCAGGTAAAGTGCCGTTCAAGACCTCGATACCTCGTATTTCTGTGTGCAAACTGGTGTGTGGGCGGCAAAAATAAAAAAATTGATCCTGACGTAAATGGAGGGGCGGAGGATCGTTGATTGGTGGGGCACTGGTCCTGGTCGGCCAACCCCTGAAGCCTGCAGTAAAGTTGCATCAAGTGCATCCAGGCGCGTGTCCGGTGCGAAACTCTCAACTCAAGCGAGCCACCGCAAAACATGCCGCACCTGTTGTGAGTGGTCGATTTGAATCCTCGCAAGGTCGACTTCTCTCCAACATTCTTCCACACCACCATTTACACTACAAGAGCTTACTACTCCTGGCGCGCAACAAGTCTTGGCTGTTGTCAGTAACTGCTATTGCAACTGGTGGGTGATAATCCGATAATCGTCGGATAAACTAGTGAAGCGTGTACGAATATGTGGTGAGATGTAAAGAGTGTCAGCCGTCATGCAGTTCGCGGTTACGAGGTTGGCCAAGTATCAATATTCTCTTGACAGGACACCCACAGGGTAGATGAGAACGCTGGGCGCAAAAGGCCCTCGGGTACCGACCGACCTTACTGTGCACTTTGCCCTTCGAATCGCCGACATATTATACACAAGCTGTTCATTGATCTCTTGAGCCACCAAACATCACACCACAGTACCTCTCCCTTTTCTCGGAATCGGCAATGGTTCAACTATCTGAAGAATCGTGAATCTCGAATTACCTCATTGGATGGTCTCTGGCGGACGGCTCCGAAGCCGATTTGGATATAAGCGACAACCCACGACGTAACAGGTAAAGGTTTGCAATACGACGGATTGGGAGACTTGACGAGTGACTGGCGTCGGGCAGTCGTTGTGAAAAAGTCTGGCAAGTGCATCCGCGAAGTCAGCCATCAGGTTTTAGATCGGAAAGAGGCAGGTCAAGCGTTGTGCTTGCCTCAATCATGCTAGCCGGGCCCGGGTGACATGCAGTGGATAAAGAATGTCCCCAGTTCCAGCTTGTTGACTGGTCGAGCTTCGCCAAGTGGACTCTTCGGATCTCTTTCCAGGGACCTGAGTGCAGCCGTGGGACCCATTAAACCCAATTGTTCGGACCATCGCCTTTAGGCATCGTGAGCGCCATTTTCTAGGTAGCATTTGGGACCCTTAGGTATCCATCACGTCGCCCACGAGATTTTTCGTCAAGCTGCTAATCTCATGTTGACATCTGCCTCGTCTTTGCCTCAGCTTCACTTTTGCTTCACAGCTTTTTCTCAAGCTTCGACACTGGACCTCGTGGACTTCAACCTGCTGTCAGTCCCTGTAGTCGCACGTCTACCTGTATTCTAGAGCGTCTTTCGTCTGATCCACCTGCTCCTTTCAGCAACCTTCTCACGCGACCCAGCCCTGACCAAATAGTTCGGACCCTGAAACTCTCCTCGCATCAGGCTACCATCACCGCATCTTTCAACTTTTGGCGCAGGCATATCAAGCCGCTGTCAAGATCCATACACCGAAGGAAACACATCACATTTCTGTGTGTGATCTACCAACCGTGCTGTTTGCATTGCTTACCGCCGTTTGCCCCAACGCCAGTCGACTGGTTGGCGAAAGATCTCTGGACGCAAGGAGGCGAAGACGCAGCCAGTGAAGCTGATCCCTGCTCCATCCTGAGAGTTCTCATTGCTCCACGATCCGGCACCTTGCATTGCAGCCACGCATTCCAGCTGCCTTGATCCTCCAATCGCCGCCCTGGGCTGCGTGTACCCATCTGTCTAAACACTGCCCGTCCGTCACATCTTTCGCCCTCCCTTGTCCAGCACTAGGGAACACTAATCCATCCTTCGACTGGTGTCGCCGCAGCCTGAATCATCATTCCGCCATTCGACTATTCCACCCTTCCAAAAACGATAATTCCCTAGCCGGGGATTCTTCCAGGCTACAGAACTCCGTTCGGTGGTGTACACAAGTCTTCCCCATACACCTTCTATCCGCTGTCGTGCCCTCCTGTTGTTATACAACGTCTCGACGACAACAGTCCCTCCACTCGTACCGACACATGACAGTATCTCACCATGCCTTACAACACCCGTCGGAAATCGCTCTCCTTGCCTTCGCTGGGCATCCATCTGCCTAACGGCTCTCGCGCACACCGCCCATCTCCAAACACTCCTACACCACCTACCGGGACCACTACTTCTCCTTCACCTCCAGCGAAGAAGCTGAAGCGTTCTCACGATGGCAATGAACCTCTGTCACCAATTTCCTCGCCACGCTCCAAGGCTGGCTCGCCCTCGATCGACCACTCAACCGCCACTATAGTATACCAAGCCGCAGCCGGATACACCCCTCCGGCATCTCCAAAGCTCGGTGCGCCAGGCCGTAAAGTTGACACAGACGGGATCAACGACGACATTGTCATCGCTGTGATCGAGCAGCTGGAAAAGACAGGAAATCGACCACACCTCATCAAAGATCTTGCTACAATACTGGCATCGACCAACACCAGTATCGCCCAGTAAGTCCTCCGTAATCAAGCACCCGGAAAACAATGCACTAACCTGTCTGTCACAGCTCTGCGAATCCAGCTGCACTACTGTCGTCCCGCCTCAGTCTATACCTTAAGCGGTCATGGACTGCTTTGTCGCCCTGCCCGCTGGCGAAGGAGCTGATCCCAGTCCACCCACGGAAAGTCTTCTTCTTCCTCACCACCCAACCACGAATGCCTTTGCCCTCCTCGTCAGACGACATTTTACCGCCGCCCCTCTTGACAATCAAGGACATCACCCCTAGTGTCTCGGATCACAGCCAAGGCGATGATGAATTGGACCTCGACCGGCGAGATCGAGCTCGCCTGTCTCCCAGCCCAGAGGTGGAGTTATACTCACCTGACCTGGATCATGATGACCCCATGGAGCTCCCTACGCCGGGAGAGCACTTCAGCGCCAGGAGCAGTTTGAACCCAGACGGCACTCCTGACGTACGTCGTAAATCAAATCGTGCACCAAGCCCACCGCTGGAGGATGACGAGCGGGGCTTCACAGAGACCGCAACCGCTGTCCGGGCGCGCGGTATGAGCCTGCACAACCCTACTGTGCAAGCGTCGATAGAACTGAACGAGAGGCCTGCCACCGCCGAAGTCTCGGAAGAAACCCCCGAGCAGCGCCAGAAACGTGATCGGGAACTCGGCTTGGCTCTCTTTGGTCAGTCTCACCAAGCTCTTCACATCCCCGAGCAGAAGGTATTGGCAAGCAGCCCCATGATACAGGCTAAGCCTGATCATCATGCCAACGTGACCAAGGTAAACTTGTCACTCGATCTAGATGATATCGAGATGGGAGAGGCTTCTTGGAGTACGATGAGCCCTGAACAGATCGATGTCGAAGATCTCGATGAGATGTTCGTGGGGTTTTAAACAACCACTGTGTCAAGGCTCTGTTGGAAGTCGTGGTTGACCCTCTACCTCTCTACTCTGCACTCCATACCTGCCCATCTCTACTGTATTGCATCTGTGCTGATTAGGTTTTTTTACCATCGACATTTGGGCATTTCCGGGAGCGTCTTGCTGGGTACTTCGCGTTCTCCTTGCGTTGTTTGCAGCGACATGAAGACTTTGTTCGTTTAGAACCATGTCTTTACGAGAACGACGAGATTTGTAGCACTAGAGACGCTTGTTAGCTGGTAAGAGGCGATGGGCTCGTTTGGCCGAGTTGAGCCTCATTCTGGAGGATGAAAGAACACATGTAATACTTGAAAACAAATAGACTCCTCTTCAATTGCCCAAGAAATGTCCGTGGAAGCTTCGCCGTCCCCGTCTTCAACAACGTCTATCAGTCCACATGTAGAGTCCGCTGTTGGCTGTGAGATGCCGATTCTGTGTACGAGTACTCCGTACTCGCGAAAAAGCTCTCGACTTGGCAGGTTTGCTGGCGTGGACCTGCATGGCATATTCTTCATTTCGCCGAGCATGTCCACAATTGGTGAAGGGTCGACGAACTTATTACGGACCAAGTAGCTGTTTGTGACAGGATTGCAGCAGGTTGGGGTGAGGGGGGGGGCGGGAGAGCTCAATCTCTATCACGGTATCAAGCACGGCTCCGATGAATGGAGGGACATATCGACGTGCATCCGTTGAGGCGAGAGCATGCTGTGTCCGACCTGAGAAGAATCTTCGATACGAACAGCTTATCAACTGTCTTGTCTCTCAAGACATGGTAGTTTGAGCATCCAGGCAATGACTCCAGGTCCTGAAATTCAACGCATAACAGACTTTAATGATCTCTTGTTGCCAATCACGCCAATTTTCAAATGGCGCTAGTCCATATCTAGCTTAATTCGATCACGCCCAAGCTGGCCGTGATGCGTTTCCTTCCTTCTCTTGAATGAATAAACGACTTCTGTGCCCTTCTCGGCTCCGCATCTTACTGTGAAAGGGGTTCCAAGATAAGGAACTGTTGTTGAGCACAGAAACTCAGCTAGCTTCTCGCTGGCTAGGAACGCAAGATGAATCGGTGAGTTTCGTCGCCAGCACTTCGTCAGAGCGGTGCACGGCGATCGGGCTTCTTGACCACGTGTTCTGCGGGAGCAATCTACATATGGAGGAACCAACACAGCCACTCTTGCATATGGCTTCTGAGTTCGACGCCGCCTACATCCAGGAGGCATCGGAAGGTCGCCGTACCACCAGCACAGTCTTGTCCTTGACAACCGGGACCGGCTACAGCGTGTACAAATCCACAATCATACCCGCGATCAAAAGGGCGGAACGAGAAGTCATACTTGTAACTTGCTTTTGGGCGGCGTCAGTCACACGAGATCTTATTAATGAGGCTCTGGTATATTTGTCTCAGAAAGCCCTATCTTCCTCCAAGAAGATATCAGTACGGATATGTTTCTCTTCTGCGTCCCTGGCGCGGAATATGCTCCTACCGACACCGAAGGAGGGCGAACAGTATCCATCCTCGTCGTGGAGGAAGATAGGTCTGCCGCGCCCAGAAGAGCTCAAAGGTCTCACCCTGCGGGTCAGCCGCAAGTTTTTCTGGCCATTCGGGATCATCCACTCCAAGTATGTTGTGGTGGACAGGAAGTTTGCCATATTCCCGTCCTGCAATGTCTCATGGGAGCGGTGGTATGAGGTGGCTGTCTTGTGTAGCGGTCCCATAGTGGATCAATTATTATCGTTTCACGGCCAGTTTTGGGACAATGGACGGTCCTTGGCAGCAGCCTCTGAACGTGCCGCAAGCAAGAACCTACTGCTACATCTACTTCTACTGGTTATGGTGGTGGTAGCAGGTCATCTTCAAACAACGATATACCGGCACCGACTACTCTCCTGCCATCACCTCATACACCCTCTCTGCTCCCCAACCACCTGCAACCGCAAGCACTCGCTGGCCACTGCCCTTGCCTGCCATCTACGACGTCCACGCCGGCTTTCAGCCCGACCCCACTGTTGCGGACCACATATCACTTGCTGGCCACGGCAAAATCTAGAATCATTTTGCTCACCCCAAATCTTACAGAGCCAACCGTTGTTGACCTCCTGTTGCAAGCTCTGGCGCGTGGTGTCAGTGTACGCGTCTGGACAAACCGGACGCTTATGACGATGGAGCAGCTGGTCACTGCCGGTACGACTACTCCCGCATCCATCCAGAGACTCAGAAGACGGGCGGAACAGATGGATAGCGATAGTCTTCTGCAGGTGTCGTACTTCGACAGTGACGATGGCCGGGGTACGCAACACCCTGTCTTGCGCGAGATTGAGCAGTACCGAGACACAGTCCCCGTCAAGCTGCATGCGAAGGTGACGATAGTGGACGGCGAGATGATACTGTTAGGAAGTGGTAACATGGATGCTGCGAGCTGGAAAACGAGCCAAGAGCTCGGAATCCTGATTGAGAGTCGTGCCGTGGTCGACGAATTCATGAAATTGTGGACGTACGAAAAGTTTGGAGTGTGACATTGGGTCTGGAAGGCCTTGTTCCACGATTTGAATTGCACCAACGAGAATTCCAGCAGTGGTGGACTACGACGCAAGAGGCCGACTCGTTGACCAGCATATATTACATTCATGCCTTTGTCCCAGGTCGGCGAAGAAGCATGAGCGGCTTCCCTGCTGAGACCACATCGTTCGGCTTGACGAGAAGTTTCTCCACAGTTGCGCCGTCCATACTTTGTTCGGCTTTGACAGGAATTTCCAACTTCATGGCCTCCAAGATGGAAACGACCTGCTCGAGTCTGACGGCATCACCTTCCTTGACTTCCACCTTCCACACGTTGGCATTCAAGGGTGCTTCCACAGCAATGATATTCGGATCTGCAGACATGTTAGGTCCTGCGGCGCAGAGGACGGAACGCGGACTGAGGAGTGGGAATGGGAGTGAGACAAACCATTCATCAACTCTTCAACGGTATCCATACTGATCTTGCCAGCTTCTTTCTCTTTGTTCCATTTCTCGAGAAGTTCCTTCTCCAGCTTGTCCATTTCAGCCTGGGCTTTCCGCTGTTTGGCCCGGATTTGCTCGACCTCGTCCTTTGTGTCTCTCAACAGCTTGTTATGTTCCTTCATGTCAAACTCGGTGTCCTCGTACTGATACTCGTACCGGCCACTACGAAAGACCGCCATCATGGCTTCGTATTCGTCCTCGGTGACCTCATAGAAGGTGATCTGGTCAAAGTCCTCGAAGAGCCACGGTCGCTCGGAATTATAACCCTTCTTATAGCCAAGAATGTCCGCACCCGGGATAGAGAGACCCGTGTTCATGTACCCGCCCGGAGATTCGACGTTGTACAATGCCATGCAGGAGCCTCCCCACCCCACTTGGCCCTCCGGAGTATGCACACGAGAGGGATTCATCTTCGGGCACTGAATGCGCTGCCGAGGATCAATAGGCAGAGCGATTGGCAGAGCGACGAAGAAGCCGACGGCGACCACCATCAGCGAGGACTTGGTGTAGATGTCACGAAGCTAGCAAGCGTCAGCAGCGAACCGCACTCAGAAGGACCGCTTACCTGGTGCATGGAAAAGGCATTATTCTTGGCCACAAATTCCATCGGGTCAGGGAGATATGAGGCGTACGGCCGCTGCGTCTCCATATATCTCTGCAAGCTCTCCTTCTGCCTCTTGCTCTCGAAAGTAATCGGGAGTTTGTACTTACGGCTCGGAAACTTGGCTTCACTCAGGTCGCCCAGTTCAGTCTCCAGCTGCAGCAAATAATCCAGCATGGTCTGGCGGGGCACCTTTGTGGAATCATAGTACAGCATGAGCGAGTTGCCGCACGCCATGCCGGTATGGAGTGCGCCATTCGAGAACGAGATCTCCCCAGTCGACTCTCGAAGCTTACGATATAGCGCAACCGCACGGCATCGATAATTGAGATCGAATGAGCCGTGGCCATAATCGATCAGGATAAAATCATCAGCACCCTGCCTGTACGAGACGAGAGGTTGGTGCTTTGCCGAGTCTTCGTGGATTTGATGGATGATGGCAGGCTCCCAGCCCTTACTGTGCACCGAGCTGGGGAACTCGTCATATTTCAACGGAGCCACTTCCTCGAACTTCGATTTCCCATTACAGCAATCGTGGACGGCGCCGAGGAAGCTTTCAACCTCTTTTCGCTTGGCCATGGCGTCCTGGTAGGACACTCGCTGGAACCTCAACTTGTTGCCAGCCTTCATCTGCCCCAAGCGCCAGTAGTCGGCTTTGATGATTGTGGTCGCCGAGACAAAGCCACCAAAGTCAGGAGCATCGATAGGGAACAAGCACGGATCGTCCCCTGTCCAATTCACCGTCCCAACGGGGTAGCCGTATTCGATCACGTTGCTAGGATCTGTGGTATAGGTCAGCCAGGCCGGAAGTTGACAACATGATGCAGCTGCAGTTTTGAAGGAAGAGAAAACTCACGAGCGCCGCCTTCGCCACCATCAGGCCTCGCCCATTTGGGTTTCGTGCCTATAAGGCGTATGCCTCCTCGCGCAGCATTGTGCGAGATTGTCCAGGTGGTGTTGTAGAATTCCTCGATGGATTCGGTGGTGATGAAGCCTTCGTCGTACGGACCGGGCATGGCGAACAGGTCCCATTCCGTAGGGTACGATGGAATCAAATCGTCGGGCAGCTTCAACTCGCCACTGATTTTGGGGAGGTTTTTCGCAATGGCCAGAAGGTCGCCCGCAGCGAGGGCCCTTCCTTGGTAGCCACCGACGCCGGTCATAGGGGCCGTCGACTTGGACCCGAACCACGTCGCGATGCTGGGCAGTCCTCCATGGATCGCAAGGTACGATCTGCAGCCTCCACCAGTTGTTTTACCGATGGTCAATCGCTGCCCGGCTTCGATCTTCAGCCGCGTCCACATGGGCATATCCTTGCCGTCCAATTTGACTTCCATGGGGGCTCCGCAGATGGCAATAATTGCCGCGCCCAGAAACTTCAGATCCGGTCCGCTCAGGGTTATCTCCATGCCTTCCTTGCCCGGAGGATTTCCCACCAGAGCGTTCGCTATCCGGAATGCAAGTGGATCCATGGGTCCTGAATGGGAGAACCCTTTCCCAACGGTAGGGCGCCCAGGCCAATCTTCCACCAGAGTGTATGCCCCGCCTTGGAGGACGTCTATTGCAGAAGGCTGATAATTGAAGGAATCCAAGAATTTGGTCATCGTCCTGCCGGACTTGAAGGTCTCGTCCTTCAGGATGCTCGCGAGAAAGTCCATGTTCGTGGGTGGTCCGAAGATCTTCGACCCATCCAGCATTTCGGCCATCAACTGGATGGCTTCGGTCCTCTCTGATGCGTGCACCATGACCTTTGCTAGCAGGGGATCGTAGAACGAAGTCACTTTCGTGCCGGTGTGGATCCACCCGTCGATACGAGAACCCGGCACTTCCTTCCAAGAGACGTGCTGCAACGTGCCCGGCGAGGGTGCGTAGTCCTTGGCTGGATTCTCGGCATATACGCGCACTTCGATCGCCGCGCCGGACGGACCCTTGGGCTGTAAATTCCGCAGATACTCACCGTCAAGCCCGCCTGAGCCAGAAAGCTGTGCGTCGGCTTGCTTCAGCATCAGCTCGACCAGGTCGACGCCGTAGCACATCTCCGTGATGCCGTGCTCGACCTGTAACCGCGTGTTCATCTCCAAGAAGAAGAAATCTCCGGACTCGTCGTCGACAAGGTATTCAATGGTCCCGGCGGAGCCGTACCTGATGGACTCGGCCAACCGGACAGCCGCGTCCCCCAGCTTTGCGCGCAGCTCGGGACGTTCGACGACAAAAGGACTCGGGCACTCTTCTACTACCTTCTGGTGTCGACGCTGGATCGAGCATTCGCGCTCGCCGAAATGGATCGCCTGGCCCTGGCCGTTGCCAAAGACTTGGACCTCGATGTGATGGGACGAGGGGAAGAACTTCTCAATGAACAGACCAGAGTTCTTGAACAGGGTCTCGCCCCGAGACTGCACCGTTTTGAACGATTGTCGGACTTCCTCCTCGTTGTTGCATGTCAACAGGCCCATCCCGCCCCCTCCTGCTGTTGCCTTCAACATGACCTGAAGGAGTGTCAGAACCGTTTGGGTGCCCAGCGGTAGCTAGGCGAGTGCACTGAAGGTTCCTTACCGGAAATCCCAATTTCTTCGCTTCCTCGACGGCCTCATCCTCCGACTGGACTAGACCTCTCGTGCCAGGCACGATCGGGACGTCTGCTTTGGCGGCGAGCTCGCGGGCCGTGTGCTTGATCCCGAAGTCGTCGATGCACTTGGAACTCGGCCCCACGAATACCATCCCCGCCTCAGAGACCTGTTGGGCGAAGTCCGTGTTCTCGGAAAGAAAGCCATAGCCTGGAATCACGGCGTCTGCTCCCTTCGATTTGGCGATCTCCACGATCTGCTCGCCGTCGATGTAGCCCTTTGCGTCTGGGCCCGAGAGAAGGACGGCCTCGTCCGCAGCGCCAACGTGCGCCGACGCGGCATCAGCGCCCGTGTAGATGGAGATGGTCTTGACGCCGAGTTTGCGAGCTGTCTTGCATATCCGGACCGCGATCTCTCCCCGATTCGCAACCAGCAGGGTCTTCAGCTTCTGCATCTTGGGCAGGCGGTGATGCGGTGAGGTGATGAAGCGATGTCGACAGCTTTAGCATGGACGGCCTGCTCCTAGCGGGCTGGAAGTTGGAAGGATCATTGGCATTATCAATTTACTTCCTCGGCGAACCTTGCTATCAGTTGACGACTTGCCGTCATTGGACATTGTTGCATGGAATTCCCCGATGCGTGGGCATGATGCATGATGAAGAGCGGGGAGAGCGCGAGTCTGTCACTCCACACTCCTCGACTCGTTCTTCTCCGCTATCAGAGTGACGTATATCGCGGATGTCTTCACCTTTCGAGATACTGTGCAATTCTTGTGAGCTGAGGGCAGGCCTCTTGCGCGAGGAAGAAAGGAACCGACCTGTGTGATCAAGTTGTTAGCTTCAATCGCCGCCACTGGCCCGTGTGTTTTCGCCCTTCGCAAGTAAGACCTACACATACGAACCTCAGGCCTCCATACCGGGATCCAAGATGGCACCACCACCAATCAAACACAAAGCCCTGCTCAATGTGGATTTGGGAGAGGCTGTAAGTCCTTGAGAACTGAGTCGTGGCTGACCGAAACTATATCTGACAAGAGGATAGTACGGAAACTATGTGAGTTTCTCCAAGACGGTACCGTCGTTGTAATTTGTCCCACCAACATCGATGCCTGGAGCTTTGTCCTTGCGACTAACGGAGCCTTGCAGGTCTGTGGCCCCGACCTGGAACTCCTACCGCTCATCGACCATGCCAATGTCGCGTGCGGCTTCCACGCCGGTGATCCGTTGATTATGCAGGAAACCGTGCGGAACTGCAAGAAGCACAACATCAAGGTCGGCGCACATCCGGGGCTGCCGGACATACAAGGTAGGATCTGCATTCCCAATATTGCTCAGACGCCGTACTTACCACGCAAGGCTTCGGACGGCGCGAAATCAAAATGTCCCCCGAGGAATTGACCGCCATAACGATCTACCAAGTCGGAGCCCTCAAAGGCTTCCTGGACCGCGAAGGCGTGCCCCTGCATCACGTCAAGCCGCACGGCGTCCTCTACGGGATGATGTGCCGGGATTACGAAATCGCAAAGGCCGTGATGGAGGGCATCCCGAAAGGCACGCCGGTGTTTGGCCTGGCCGGGACGAACATGGAAAAGGCGGCCAACGATCTCGGCATCCCCTTCTGGGCCGAAATGTACGGCGACGTCAAGTACTCGAACGACGGCATGCTGGTCATCGACCGGAAGAAGAAGGCCTGGGACCTGCAGGACGTGAGGAAACATGTCAGCCAGCAGCTCAACTCGCAGTCCGTGACGGCCACGGACGGGAGCACCGTCCAGTTGCCTGTCAAGGACTACCCGATCTCTATATGTTGCCATTCCGACTCGCCTGGTTGTCTGGGGATCATCAAGACGACAAAGGAGGTGATAGATGAGTTCAATACGGAACATGGGCGATGAGATGGGATGAGATGAGATGAGGTGAAGTATAGGACTGTCTCCTCAGTCTTGAAGGGTACAGAGGTACACCTTGTAGAGCTACCAGTGTTAAATGCGTTTACGTATCATTCATGATCACATGCGTGGTGAGTAGGAAGAGGGACGCCTTCCGGCCTTTATTTTGCCAAGCTCTGATGCAAGGAACCCACTAAATTGATGAGCGCCAACACACCTATTATGTGACTACCACTTTTATTACGTTCTCGCCATCCTACTAAGATGTCTATAACGAAATGACTAAAAAAATCCAGCTTCCTTGCAATTCCAATTTAGGGTACTGGAGTCAGCTCGAGTTTCTTCGAAGTCGGAGAAACAGTAATTAGATGGAGTGCTTACGAAGTGTCAGGAATGGCGACCAGAGCTTACTAAGCCTGCCAAGAGGACGCCTTCATCTCTCATGCAGCTCGCATAAGAGTCTTACCCTCCTTTCATGCTTTGAGTCCTGTTTAACCTAGAGGTCTAGGGACACCTAATATTATTGAATCCCACCACTATTACTCTCTACCTATCGCTATAGGCTGTTCTTAACATTCTTAAAGCATCTCAACACGATCAGTCGGACGAAGTGATAGTATAAGCGGTAATAGCGCCTAAAAGAGCTATACCCGCAGCTCGGGGGTCACCTATAGAAGCCGGGTCTTTAACTACAGCCCCCCGAGAAAACCTAACAAACGATAAACCCATCGAGGTACACTTAATACTCCCGACGCTTACACGCGAGTCGAGGACACCTCATACCTTAGAGGGTGAAGATAAAGAATACTAATAACTCGTCGCCCGGCGAAAAGCGCTCGAGACCGAGTTAAGACGCAAGTAACTCCGGGATAAGATTTAGGCGATAGAAGAAGAGAAGGCTGGCCGCGAGCCACTATAATATATAGAAGTTATAGGTATAATGTATTAAGAATAGCGACTAGAGCTTACTAAGCCTACTAAGAGGACGCCTTTATCTCTTATATAGCTTATATAAGAGTCTTACCCTCCTTTTATACTTTAAGTCCTATTTAACCTAGAGGTCTAGGGATACCTAATATTATTAAATCCCACTACTATTACTCTTTACCTATCGCTATAGGCTATTCCTAATATAATATTACCGAGTCGTAAGCGACCGTATAGCTCCTCGTAAGTAAATAAAGATTACGAATAGTTATAGCGGATATTACGAATACTTAAGCAGCCTCTAAAGTTTAATAAGAAGAATATACGAGCCTTACGCGACTTTAATAATAGCTAGTAAATAGTATTTAATGCGATTCCGCCCGAGGTCACCCCCGACTAGGGATACTATATACGAACCGCGGCTAACGGGCTCGAAGACCGCGCGATCAACCGCTAGCGATAAGACCGCTAGCTAATATAATCTATCCCCGAGTCGTAGCCTCTCTTTATCTTATAGTATAAGGATATTATTAAAGACGTAAATATTCGTAAGGGAGAAGCACTAGTCGCGCTCACGACTCTTAAATAAGAAGTAGGCTAGTCCGTACGGGACTTAATATACTAGATAAAACTCTTAAAAGAGGAGATTAGCCTTTTTATTAAAGAGGAGCGGTAAGGCTAAACCCTCTTCTATACTTTAATACTAGTACTACGAGATACTATCTAGAGAGACTTAGAGAATATTACCTCTAGAGTATAAGTACTAATATTAACTTAAAGACTAAAAAAGACTATTAGTAAAGAGAAGCGGGAAAATACTAAGCGAGTCGCACCCTTTATAATAAAGAGGGTTATATTAACTATAACTACTACTAACCCCGCTCGCTACCGATCCTTACACGGTTCCCGTGCGCCTCGCGAGCGGACCTCGCCCTTACTAACGAAGAAAGCCCGTTATAGAGATAATAAACTAAAGTTACCCTTCGACGGAGAATATAATATCTACTATAAGAGAGGGTATCGGGCGAGAGATTATCGCTCGCGACTAACTAAACCGCGAGACGCACTCTTCTTATATATAAAGAAGGAGACTAAGGGGAAGAGGAAGAAGAGCGACTAGTTAAAAAACTAAGTATTAGCCTACTAAGTGCCGTAGTAGCGCTAAGCTTAGATACTAATAGGGAAATCGCTAGCTCCGAGGTAGCACTTAAGGCACTTATATTAGAAGTTCACCTTACTAAACTAAATAGTATAAGGACGGCTCGTACACTACTCGATAGCGGTATATAAGCTAACTTTATTAAATATTTACTAGTAGCGGAGTTAGGCGTAAAGTTAACCGAGCCGAATATCTAAGTCCGTATAGTAGCTAGCTAGGTAGTAAGAGTCTACGGTTAATACTATCTTAATATAATAGTAACCGACTACCGATATATATATAAGTCGTACCCTTAGGATTTCCTTATAACTAAAATTATATTCTATAACACTATTCTTAGATTTCCTTAGCTAAGAGATATTAACCCTAATATAGATTAGTTAACCGGTATATAGAGCTTCCGAGATAAACCCGACTTATATATAATCGAGATATTATTACTAGAGTTAGAGGCTAAGGCGAAGAAGGACGAAGTCCTAATCACCTATATATAACTTATCTAGAAAGATAACGAGGATAAGGGCGAGTTATATAAAACTCGCGGTAAGATAGCACTTAACGCGAGATTAAGTCGATTCGCTTTTATTTTTTAAGAGCCTAGTAGCGATCCTTTCGCTACTAATATAAAAACTAAATATTAAATCCCGATTTAAGAGGGCGAAACAGTCCTATACAGCCCTATATACCCTCTTAGTGCGAAGGAACTACGGGTCTTACGCGAGTACCTTAATTCCAGCCTAGAAAAGGGGTGGATTTAACCGAGTAAATTATCGGCCGAGGCACTAATCCTCTTCGTACCTAAGTCCGACGGTACCCTACGACTTTACGTCGACTATCGGGGCCTAAACCGGATTACGAAGAAGAATAGGTACCCCCTACCCCTTATCCCGGAGATCCTAAACCGCTTAAGTAGCGCGAAGGTCTTCTCTAAGCTAGATCTTAAAGACGCGTACTACTATATTCTAGTTATAAAGGGGGACTATTAAAAGACTATATTTTATATATAATATAAGTACTTTAAGTATTTAGTTATACCTTTTAGGCTTACTAATACTTTAGTAATATTTTAGAGTTATATTAACGAAGCCCTTTAAGGCCTTCTAGATAATATCTATATTATATATATAGATAATATACTTATCTTTAGCGCCGATGAAGAGGAGTATAAGAGATACTTACTATTTATACTCGAGAGGCTAAAGAAGTATAGTTTATATATAAAATTATTAAAATATAAGTTCTTTACGAAAGAGGTCGACTTCCTTAAGTATCGTATAGAAGTCAACGGCGTCTCGATAAACCTAGAGAGGGTCGCGGCGATTCGGGATTAGCCTATACCGAAAACTTTCCGGGAGATCCAGGTTTTCTTAAGCTTCGTAAACTTTTATCGAGGGTTCGTTTACCGATACTCGGTAATAGTAGCACTTATTATAAACCTCCTTAAGGGAATAATTACTAATAAAAAGATAAGACTATTTAAATAGACTATAGAGGCGGAGTATATATTTCGTACGTTAAAAGAATACTTTATAAGTACGCCGATACTTACTTATTTTAATTTAGAGAGGTAATCTTAAGTTAAAGTAAATGTATCCGACGAAGCTATCGACGGCGTGCTAATATAGGCTTACGAGACGTAAGGGGGTTATACACTATAGAAGCCGGTCGTATTCTTCTCGCGGAAGATATTAACCGCGGAGAGGAACTACTATATAGGGGACGGGGAAATACTAGCTATTATATACGCGTTTAAGGTATAAAGACACTACCTTAAGTCGTTTATAAGTAGCACGATAGTCCTTACGGACTATAAGGCGCTATAGAGTTTTATAACTATAAAGATACTAAATAGGCGTTAAATACGCTAGGCTAAAGTACTAGCTATATATAACTTTTAGATTTAGTAGAGGCGAGGAAAGGATAATCTAGCTAATAGGCTATCCCGCTATCTAAACTATATAGGTAAGGAAGAACCCCCGGAAGAGAATCCCCTCTAGGTATTACTTAAATATCGTATACTTATTAAAGACGATAAAGACTAAGGATATATATAAGTAAATAACGAGGTCTTTATCGGGGTATTAACTCGAGCTATAGTATAGTATAGTTAAGAACTAACTAGGAGTAAGTATAATATCGTAACTTTATTAACCCTAAAGGCTAAGTTAAATCTATAACTAAGCTTAAGCGGAGAAGAAGCGAGTATACTAAAAGTACGCCGCGACTCGCTTATAACACGCTTAAGAGAACTCTAACACTAGGATAAATAGTATCTAGAAGGAGCGTAAAGATCCGCACTAAATAAGTAAGTCTAAAAAGGTATATTCTAAGGAATATAGACCGTAGACTTATAAGGTATTATCCGTCGCGGCGGAGCCGTATATATCCTGTATAATCCCGCTATAAGATAGGAGATTCTCTAGGTAAATCATAACGACCCTTAGTAGAGGGGATATTTCGGCCGCCGGCGGACTACTAAAACTATTATATAATATTACTAGTAGCCGTAAATAAGAAAGGAGATATATAAGTATATTAACTTATATAATTTATACTAATAAATAAAGGTATCGAGGTATAAACCCTATAAGTACTTAGAGAGCCTATCTATACTAAAAGGTCTTTAGGAGAATATCTCTATAGACTTTATAATAAGATTACCGTTATTAATATATAGTAAAAGTATATATAATGCGATACTTATTATTATAGATAAATACTTTAAAATAGTTATCTTAACGCTATATACTAGCACGGTAAATATAAGCGACTTAAGTAAGATTATTCTTAAAAAGATCGTAGCGAAGTATAGAGCACTAAAGTTTATTATAAGTAACCGAGAATCGGTGTTTATCTGAGCTTACTAGGGAACTCTATACTCGTACCTTATAACCCGTAGGCTTTCTTTTACCGCTTTCTA